AATTGTTGCAACATTACAGTATATCATGATTGATATGAGAACAATACAAAACAAACTAGTATCAAAACTAAGGAAGATGATAGAGGTTCGCCATTATGGTTGAAAGAAACCGCCTAAAACCGTTTCGTTTTCTTCTTCTTAGAGAAGCTTTCAGGCGTCCGGTTTTCTTGTTTACGCTTAGTCCCTGCAAATCGCTTACCACCGCTCTCTTTCGAACCTTTTGAGTTTGCTTTCGCCTTTCTTGCTGCAACCGCTGGCCGCTTCTGACTTCGCTGCTTCAAAGCACTATTATTCCCAGATTTCTTGTTGTCTTCATTGCTGCTGCTACCTCTAGGTCTCATCTTTGCCTGTGCGGGGCTTTTCTGATAAGGACTCTTCTTATCATCACCGGATTTTGAAGCTCTTACACCTTGATATGAAAGATTAGCCTTCCCCGTTGGAGTTGGTGTGACCACTTTGTCCTTTTGCAGTCTTTTCTGGGCCGGATTGCTCTTTCTCTTTGATGGCATTGCATCAGGTTTGACTCGAGAAATCCGTAACTCTCTTTCTCTAAGCTTCAAATATCCTTTCTTGATTACGAGATTTGCAGCTTCCTATAGTTAACAAAATAAAAGGTCTCATCAGATCTAACTAGTTATATTACTCAAACCTTAAAACGATCAAAGCTAACTTAAACATACCCGTGTTTTAAACAAGACGTACGCTATTCCTTTCCCAATGTTCAAGTGAGGATCTCTAATAACACGAACAGCTTCTATACTGTTCTCCAGATTACTCTTACCAGTAAACAGTTGATACACTTCCTCGTCCTGCATTAGAAACAAACAAAACTTAGAATCTAAGATAATGTTCGATTATCATCGCAAATTGAATAGAAGATCCCCAAGACTATTACTACTAACCTTCACATCGAAAGGGAGATTACCCATAAAGACTGTCCTCTTAGGATCATACAAATGAGCATCATCCTGACCTTTCTGTTTCTTACGAGGCGGACATGCTCTATCAACACGGACATGATTCCCATCAATCTACATATAACATAAAACCATTAATCAATCCACACATAACTCCTTAAACTCAACCACAGAGAACAAAAGGCAATATATTACCAGAGACATGTTATGAGCCAAAGAAGCTTCAGCAGATTGCTCTGTTTCAAACACAACATAAGCATGAACACTGCAATTCCACAAACATTCACATTAGAAAACTTTTCTTCACTGAAACTTCAAAATCAAAAGATTTCAAACACAGACCTTGAAGCTTTCTCATTGATTTGTTTCAACATAATAGCTCCTTTCCTTGTCCTCTTCGACTAATCAATGAATCAAAAAAATCAAATGAAATCAGAAACCATTGAACACAAAACCTCAACCAAAATTACTCATCTTTAGCTATAAGAAGAAACTCACATCAACAATGGGCACAGAGCGTATCCTCACAGATTCAACCTCACCGAATTTACTAAATTCCTTCAAGATGACTTTTTTCTTAACCTTCAAAGGCAAATTCCCAACGAAAACAGTTCTAAGAAGCTTACTCTCATCATCAAAACCTTCCTTTGAAACCATTGTATCAGCTACTTCATCAGCTTTCTTCCTCTTCTCACCAACCTTCTTCTTCTCAACGCTTCCATACTTCTTCGTCTCGTATTCGTTCTCAATCTCATCTCTCTTCCTTTTCTTCCTCTTTGAAACCAACCCAGTCTCCGAATTCGTCTCTTTCTCGTCACCGGAATCTGTAAGTTTTTTCTCCTTTTTAGATTTCTTCGTCTTCAAAGGCAAAACTGTTTCTTCTCCTTCTTCTTCGTTCTCTGCATTTCGTTTATCCCCTTTATTCTCATCAGGACTTGACGACTCTTTGATTTCTTGAGTTTTTTTTCGCCGGAAAGGGTTATCATCGGAGAAGAGACTCGCAAAGCCAGAAGTTTCGCCTTCAGCAACCTCGCCGGAGAAGAGAGTAGAGAAGATACCTGATTTGGTCTGAGATTCATCGTTTAAAGATTCCGTCTCCGTTTCCTTCGACTTCTTCTTCCCCATCGTCGTTCGATTTCAATGAGAGAAGAGGAAGAAAGAGAGAGAGAGAGAGAGATTGACGAAACCCTAAAAAAGTTTGTTAGTATGTTTTAACCAGAGAGCGCCATAGATTGACTTATACCGGGTCGGGTTAAAATGATCCGAATCAGCCCATTAGTTTTTTGTTTGGATTAAAATGACCCGAAGTAGGCCCATTAGTTACTGGGCTATTAAAAACAACACTGGGCTGAATACTTGTATTTTGTAGATTAAATTGATTCTTTTTAATCTCATCACTACACCATTAATATTTAATCCATTGCAATTAACCATGGACTAGAAGATGATTAGTAGTACGAGATAGAAATGATAACTCCATTTATTTGATTGATATTTTAATTTTAGGAATTGGACATATTAATGATACAAATTGGAACCCTAAAGAGTTGTTCAATTAATTGTTTGTGGATGATGATGATAGTCCTCTAATGCAGCAACAAGTTAGACCCTTTTTAGTTGTTTCACAATCTCCTCCAAAGTAAAATCCTTTATCTATGCAATCTTGTTGACACTTGCCTGGATATGTACATTTTCCGATCCCAAATTTACAAATCGCATTTGTTTCCCCTGCAAAATCCATCAACAAATTTTAATTAGAGGACAATATCTTACCATCATAAATCTGCATTCATATATCTAAGAATCAGATTCTACCTGAAAACAAAAGCACCACAAGGATTAAAACCGAAACAAAAGCATAAGAAGATCTTTTGCTCTCCATTTTTTTTTAATGAAGAATATTTAGCTTGTGATGTGTTTTGGTTTTTGAAACTATATCTTATAACAAGATCAGTTTCAAGCTTAAGAAAATATAGATAGGTATGCTTTAAATTTCTTCTTTGAAAAATTGAAAACAAAGATAGCAAGAAATTGTTTGTCCTACGCACCTACTCAAATTGGTAGGAAAAAAAATAATCAAAATTGGTAAAAAAGTGAGTTTAGGACAATAGACCAATATCCTTTATAGATTAAAAGATAGTGTTTGATGTTTATGTGTAAAGCTCATAATTATACTCAATTTTTTTTTTGTTTTTATTTATATAATATTTCTTACTAAACACTCTTATTTCCTAATAATACATATTTTGGTTATTCTAATACTAATTGTCAAACACATAAGAATCCTAAACTTACCAGAAATAATTACTTAAAATTCAAATATGAAATCTTACCATTAAATGTGAACAAATTTTTTAACATATACACCAAAATTTAATGCATTTAAACTACAAAAAATACTTTTCTGAAATTAAATTTTCCTACAAAACAAATAAGATCAATAAAATCCATAAAGCAAATTTTAATAATCTTCTATTAATTATGCATAAGACTAAACAATATTATTAATTTGTCACCAATCCAAATTTAAAAATTATAAATTTCTATGATAAAACCAAACACAGCAACTTTGTAATTTTCAAACCTTATTAAAAATTCATAATAATTTAGTCAAATATATTTCTAATATATAGAAAATTGATATATTAAATAACATAAAATTCACTCGTGCAATACGGGTTCTTACCTAGTACTTTTATGAAAGTTCTCAACAAAATAAACATGCTCGTCAAACACTCCATGAATTGTATTACTAGATCTTATTTATCTGCACTTTGTGACCATCTATAATCTTAAAAGGGAGCAATTATCTAAAATACTACATTTTCAAGTTTTTGTTCTAAAAATACCATCACTAGTTTTTTTTTTTCATTAATACCACAAACTCAATATTAAAATAAATCAAAAATTAAAATGGGGAAATATAAACTCTAGATTGGAAATAGGACACCATGTGGGACACTAGTTCTAGAGTCACTACACATTGTTTATCCATATGAAAGATAAATGGATATGGCGGATAGAAGAATTATTCAACAGTTGGCATGCTAGTTTGTTAATGATTCACTGTCTCGAAACATTCTTATTATTTCTGGCGATGGAGATTTTCATCCACTAGTTGACATGTTAAGAAGAAATAGGCATACTGTAATGATAGTGGTTGGCAAGCTAGAACACGAAAAAAGAATATATACGCAGCACGCCATTCACATGGTACTGGGAGACGATGACTAGAAAACCAGAATAACCTGCACGTATCGAGAAAGCTATTGTTTTTTTTTTTTTGCACGTATCTAATTTGGAAGTAGTTTAAAAAACATTACAATAGCTATATATATTTGTGATGTACAAATGAGTATAGTAATGAGAGCCGAAAACCACATGGACTATTTTGTAAGAATAACTGAACTTCCATATTGTGCATTGCATATAAAAAAAATTCATCTGCTAAAAAGAGATGAATAAGATGAAAATTATTCATCTCTAGTTCTTCTATTGCTTTTTTTCATTTCATTCTTTTGAGGGTTGACAATTTGCAACATATCTTCCTATTTTTCGATCGAACACAAGATTTGACCCGTATATACTCCAATAAGTTTAATTTTAAATCGTATACTACTTTATAACAAACATTGACATGTTGCTAATAACATGTTGTCCTGTGCACCTACTCAAATTGGTACAAAGTGAACTAAGGACATGAGACCAATCTAAATAGAAACTAACCTAAAAGTTGTTTAAAATTATATCACACCGGTTTTTTAGTATTTTTATAAATTTATACAATTATCAGCTTCCAAACATAAACTTACTTTCTCTCTTTCATTAATTATGGACATAAATTTTACAATTAATTTTCTTAGAATTAAACTAAGATTTGATATCTAATTATACCATAATATTTGTTGACAAAAAAAATTATACAATAATATTTATTTTTAGTTGTTATATTTGTAAAATTTTGTTAAGATTTAAAATTATAATTCTTTTATCATCTTTGTTTGATTTTATTTTCAAACTATTTTGAATTATCTTTGTCAAGTGCGCAAAGGAATTTGTTGACGACACTAGACAAAATCTAATCCAACGGCCGTTAATTTATTAGAAAATCACAAAACTTAATTACAGTTTGACCCCATCATTTTCTCAAAACACAAAAAAAAAACTCTCAGCTAATTTTCGATATCAACACATCCCTAAGCTCTTCTTGCTTGTAGATTCTCAACCCCATCTTCACGTTTGCTTGTTGTATCATAAAATCGTTCATCACAGACATGCTCGCGTTAATCACTTCTAACTCCAAATCCATCAAAGCATTCATCAATCTCGCTCCTGGATGATGACTCTTACTCGATTCCACTCTAACCATCGCATCACTTCCCATAATCTTCACTTCAATCTTCATCTCCGACGCGTTTTCCTCATATTTACAAACCCTATGAACCGCGTTTCGTTGTCCTGCCATCTCCTTAAGTTCATTCAGCTGAATTTGAATCGCGTTTTTCTCCGATTCAGCGTTTTCAGCTTTGGATTTCAGCTCGTTTATGTAATGAACCGCGTCTTCGAGCAAGGACGTTTTGTCCATCTTCGATATGTTTGGTACTACCGCTCGTAACGCGTAGAATCTATGGTTTAGCTTCTCACGTCTCATCCTCTCTGCTTCCACGTGGTTCAACGGCTGATCTCTACCATGCGCCGGTTTTCTCCCGCGCTTTTTTCCCTGTTTCTTCTCCGGCATCACCGTCGCGTGATGGACAACGTTTTGGATCTGAGCAGAATAAGTATTAGGGTTCAGATTTTCAGAACTCTGTTTAACATTGTCACTAAAACTCAGTACATCGCCACAACGAGCTCTCGCCGATGTTGAAGACGACGTCGAGAAATTCAAATTATAATCGGTTACGGTACTTGAACAACCGTTCTCTAACTGAAATGAGAAAAGATCCGAGTTCAAATTCGGGGCTCCGAAAAAATCTTTGGATCCTTCCAAATGAAAAAGGAACCGGATCTTATTAAAAAGATCCGAGTTTTGTCGGATCTGCTCCGTGGATCCAAGCTCCAACACTCCGTTATCCGAAGGAATACACACAATGGTTTGTAACCCCAAATCCCCTCCTTGTTTAGCCCGATCACAACCCGACCCATAAATCTGATCCGACCCGGTAACCCAAACCGGGTTATAACTAGCAAACGCCTTACCCGCTAACCCGGATCCGTTACCAAAACTCCACGTCATGGAAACCAAGAAAAACCACTCCATATCAGTCACTTCTGCTTCCACGTCATCATCTTTATTGACATATTCGTCTTCAACCACCGGGAAAGCTTCGCCGGAGATCATCGAGTTAAGTTCGCGGAGAACATTACTCCGACGCTCTTTCTCCGCCGGAGACGACGGAATCGTCTTCTTCCTCCTCAACCTCCCTCGTGTCTTTTCCTCGTCGTCGCCATTGTAAACTCCGTCGCTCCATTTGAGTACTGATTCACCGGAAATGTCATAGTACGACGGTTTCCAGAAAATGACGTAAGTCCAGGGCTCGTTGGTTCCATTCAGGACAGCATGTAAACGCTTCGGGAGAGTAGTCTCGAGGCTGAGATTCGCCGGAGGTAATGGCGACAGATCGGAGGTGAAGAGAGCTTCGATCATTGATAAGTTATCGTCGGAATTAATCATCGTCGCCGGAGTATTATAAGTCATCTCTCAAGTCGTGTATTTATATATACCTAAACTAAGCAAGAAGAGAGCGAACTCTTTTGTTTTGTTTCACACGCGTGCATGGAAATATATAATACATAGTTACATACATAAATGTGATGATCCATGTGCGATGCTGATATATCCACCAGGCGAAAGGACCACATTTTGCTAGTTTTTATTTTTTTTTACTTTAATAATATATGTTTATGTGTACAACAATATACGTTAATAAACAGTCATATGTTTATATGTACAATACTGTATATGTTAATAAAATGAATATCAAAATGTAGAAAATTTTATTCATTGTCAAAAAAGGAAAACAAAATACGTTTTGGATAATATATATAATTGAAAAACTGGGTTTAACTAGTTGAGGATATAACATTCAAGAACATCACAGTAAATATGTAAAGAAGAGGCAAACTTAGCAATGTATTTTTTAAATTTCGAACCCTAGCTTTTGATGATTTATAATATACTTTTCATGTGTGAAGGTGTAGCTTAAGATTGGCTTTTTATTTTAATGGTTTTTTTTTTGTAAATTAAAAATGAATGCAACAAGTAGGTGAGAAGTAAACACTTTGACATCTTTTTGATAAAGAAAAAGTACATCTTCTAACCCTTGCATTTGCATAGTTGCATGTATTTTAGCTTCTCAATCATTTGAAAAGAAACGCAGAAACTTTATCATTCCAATCTAAAAGCGTGTGAATATAACTTTTGATTAACAAAAAAAGTGTGTAACATATATTCAAAGACAATACTTTTTGAAAAGACGTAATCTATTGATTCAACCGTGAAAACTAAATACTGACAATTTTTTTTTTGTCAAAATATATTAATTAGTTAAAATTAAGTAAATATTGACACTTACGGTTTAAAAGAAAACTATTTTCATTTTAACCGTATTTTTTTTTCATTTTCACAGTGAGTTTTTATTCACTCGTCTATATATTTCTAGTTGGGAATTGGGATAGACAATAAAAAGAAAATAGAAAAATTAGTATTTTATATAATAATAAATATATGAAAATAATAAATCACAAAATATAACTAAAAAACCATAAATATATTCAGATTAATTTCATAAACATTCTAGAATATATAAACCATTTTTGTTTTACTGCCATTTACCTAATTTTCTCTCAAATATTGTTATTACCAAAAAGAATTTTATTTACACTATGTTAATACCGCCTAGACTGGTTATTTACAACAACATAAATCTGAAATTATAGTTTATTTTTTTCTTTTTCCAAATTTCATATTTTTGTGGGCTTCTAGAAGGGAGAGGTTGTATGAAGATAAGAAGGCCACGAAAACGTGGGGTGGAGCAACTGACCAGTTACCACCACATCCTCTCTTTCCAACATTAATGGAGTATCTTTTTCTTCATTTCTATAATTTGTAAGAGCATCTCCAACCCACCTCTATATTTGCCTCTAAACTCTATTTTAGAGGCAAATTCACTCCAACCCATCTCTATTCTCACCTCTAAAATAGAAATCTCTATTTTTTTCTCTATATATAGAGGTGAGAATAGAGAATCTCTATTTTTTCCTCTATAAATAGAGTTAAATTTTTTAGAGAAAAAAATAGAGAAACACATTGGAGTAAAAATAGAGAAAACTTGCCTCTATTATAGAAATAGAGATAAAAATAGGGAAATACATTGGAGATGGTCTAAGGTCACATTCTTTAGCTTTAATTAATTTGTTGAAACAAGATATACTTATTTGTATTAGCACAGTTTATTCTTGAATTGATAGAAACTTCTATGTTAGTGTACGTACATAGTTTTATCACGATTTTCCGGTTGGATTTTTGAGACATTTTTTCAAACCTTTTAAGAAATGTTAACAATTTTGGAAACTCAGCCAGTTTTATGATACTTTCATCATTTTAAAATTTTTATCAAGAGTGACCATGACTGTTTTCAGTAATTCTTACAAATGTTTCCGTCTTCTGTAAATTTTAATGTCTAATTTTTATTTACTTCAAAAATGTTTTTTTGGATAAATGTTTATTAACTTCTACAAGTTCTTGGAAAATATTACATGTCTTTCGTTTAACAATATTGTTTGTCTTAGTTCATTGTTAATGGCCAGTGTAATCATTTATATATATTCATTTTAGCTAGATGACAATTATGTAATCATTTTGTTGATGTCATTTTTTGCTCTCCTCTACAAAGAAAGGTGTCTAGGTACAGAAATATTGTCGTTTTCTAATTATTTGAGATATTTGTAACTTTGGTACCTTCTCTTCGACTGTGTTACGTACATCCATCCACCTGTCTGGCTATGTAAGGTAATTGCAGATGATATAACTTTATTTCCGACAACGAAATAAATAACATTTATGCAATTTTTCGTCTACAACCAATTTTATACAAACCACCGATGTTAAAGAATTTGGGAGACGCTTTCCAAAAGAAGAATTTGGTAGACAGAAATCGGAGGTCTAAATGTTGATTTTTTTTGGCAATCAAATATATTGATATCAAAAAGTGTTTACAAGATACATAAATATTCCAAACAAATTGTTATACGCAAATACGGAAAATTGAAACAATTTTGATGAAGAAGTCAAAGTCACCCAACTATCTTTCGACAAACTTCTAGGCAAAACTCTTGATTAGCTATTAGCTTGTTGCTAAAACTCCAAACTGTTCGCACCATTATATTAGGAAGTAGATTTAAATTTGATGTCATTGGAGATGATTCTGAATATTTTTGCCTATTTAAACGACCTTATCTAGTATTTTAATAAAAATGGTCAATTTACAATATGAAAAAAATAAAATTTTACATCGTTTAACCACAACGTTTTTCGCATTCTCATGTAAATATGTTATTTAATTAAAATAACATGTCATAAAAAATATTAACAGATAAAATAGTATTTACATATAAATAAATAAAGTATATAAGTAAAATATAGGGTAAATAAAATTGGTGTTACAATAAATAATGAACAATTCTTGGGTTCACCCCTAGGGGTGAACCACTTTCATTCACCCCCTCTTAATTATCCAATTAGAATTTGCCATGTCATTTAGTTAAAAAAATTAAAACAATTATTTTTTAAATATAACCATAAGATTAAGTCATAACCACTCTTTTATAAACCCAAACCGATATATAATCTCGTTTAATTACAAAATCTAAACCCTAATTCTCTTTTGTAAACCCAAACCGTCATTTAAATTCGTTTAATCGTAAAAAATCTAAACCCTAATCGTACTTTCTAAACCCAAACCGACACTTAACCTCGTTTAATTGTAAAATCTAAACCCGTTTATAAACCCAAACCGATAGTTAAACTCGTTTAATCATAAAATCTAAACCCTAATTCTCCTTTGTAAACCCAAACCGTCATTTAAACTCGTTTAATCGTAAAAAAATCTAAACCCTAATCGTACTTTCTAAACCCAAATCGAGACTTAACCTCGTTTTATTGTAAAATCTAAATCCGTTTATAAACCCAAACCGATAGTTAAACTCGTTTAATCATATTTCTAATAAACTTAAACCAATACATAATTTCGTTTTAGTGACAAATTAAATTTTATAATTAAATAATTTTTTTTATTATTAATAGGTGGCAGATTTTGATTGGATGAAATAAAGGGGGTGAATATAAGAGGTTCACCCCTAGGGGTGAACCCAAGTATTTTTCATAAATAATATACTTCTATTCAAAATTCGTGGCGATATACTTTCAAGTCTTAACCATTTGTAAATTTTATGCGGAAATAAAATTATAAATTTTATCGACGACGGTTTGGAAAGAATCACCCCAACCATCGCTCAAACTTCCAACGACACTTTCTGTGTACTCCAGCAACACTTACGTCACCATCATTTGTTTCATTATTTGTTAAGAAGCATACAATTTTTAAAAGAGACATTTCATGATGTCAACTTCGCTCTTCACTCTACACTCTTCAGTCTTCACTCATTGCCTCCAATATGTTGCCATATGCCAAATAACATTACCCACAATATTGGATTTCACAAATTTATTTGTATTATTGTTGTCAGCAGTAAGTGGGATTGGCTGCCTTGAGAATCTTTGGGGCCATATAAAACTAGATGATAAATATACTTTTGGACCGTCACAATATATTCAATATATGTATTTTTTAATAATTTCATAAATCATTTAAACTAAAAGAAATCTTAACTCTTAAAATAATTAACAATTATACAATTGCTTTTTTCAACAACAATTTAGGAGATGAAAAAGTAGTTAGCATGTATGGTTCCTTGTTACTTGCCTAATATTTATTTTTCTAAAAATGTATATATATATATATATATATATATATATATATATATATATCTACTCTATTTTTTTCTCGACGAAATAACGCTATATATATATATATATATTGAGAATATACATAATTTGAATACAGTGATTGAGTTAATCAAGTAGGTGGATTTGAACTATGAGAAAAGAAAATCAAATCAGGAGGTCCATGTTTTCCTAAAATATGTGATGATGAGGTACATTGTAACTGATTTTAAAATTTTAGTCCCAAGAAATGATGTCATTGATGATGGCTTCCACTCCTTCATCTCCATTGACCCCATGTAATATGGCTTCCTCTCGTCTTGTGTATGATTTAAGTCAATCTAAAACATCAGCTTTTGCTTGTTCTGCATATTTCTCTTTGATAAACCTACAGGGAAGTATATATCTCTAGTACTAATTTAACTAGGAGACAATACAAGAAACTTCTTTAAAATAATTAAGTCTTTTGTATTTTTGGACAAAATGTCATTCGAGAGAGAAAGGCACTTACGTGTAGGAGGAACATAAGAAAGAGACGTGCCGAGGTGGTGTGTCCGAAGGTGGTGAGTTGCAACAACCAACAAGGATCATTATTTCTTATACATTGACATGAGGTAACTTTAACCTTATTTCTTAATTTGAGTTATTTTTTCGGAAGTTTTTAACTTTTGAGATAACATTTGTCCATTTTCACCAAACTATCTATAAGGTTAGTAAAACGCTAAAATAACATTACCCACAATATTGGATCATTATAGATTTTCCCATAAACAAAAACCAATTGTAAGTTTCGAAAAAGTTGGTAAAAAATTTCAGAAGTAGTTTCTGAAATTTTTTACCAACTTTTTCGAAACTTACAATTGTTTTCACGTGTTTTCTTCTTAAAACTATTGTTCATTTTCTTCATTGTTAATGACCAAAATTATTTGTTATCTATCTAAATCCTAAACGGCATAATCTAACTCTAACCACGTAACCGTAAAATTTCAGATCGACGAGTTCCACACAAATAAACTTACCGCCACCGCCTCTTCTCTCTTGCTAGGGCATTTTGAAATTTTCATCAATAAGAAATTTAAACAATTAATCAGTTTATAATAGCACATAAAAAAACCTTTCGATGTTGGTTAAAGAATCAAAAGATTACTCGCCTTTTTACCATATATCAACATTTTTCTATATTTGGTAATAAATAAATTTTGTCAACCATGTTTGTTCAAATTTGTCTAATTTCAGTACTATTAATATACATAAACCATATATAGATATATATAAGAGAATATATGTTTTCGCTGTCTTGATATAACATATAAATTTTAGATTTGTTTAACATTTCAACATATATATTTATTTAATTTGCAGCTTTGTATGTCGTCGTTTTATTTTAGTTTTCAACAAGGCACGTGATGAAATTTTGCTCCACAAAAGAAAATGTCAGAGACAGGAAGGACACAATTGATTGATTATTGCAACTTTGTATGTTTATCAATTTTCTAGGTAAATTTGGCATCCTTATAACTTTGGTCCCCACTATTCTACAGTCCATATGTCCGACTGATAACGATATCAATAACACTGTGAATATGCCACAAGGGAATATGCCATTTTGAAGTAGAAATTGTTCAAAAATATCTTGACACAGAAATCATCAATTGTTAGATGTTTTAAACTCCATTTATCAATTGTTTACACTTCCATTAGACAGTTGTCTAGACGACATGAGAAATGAAAGTTGAACTTGGTAAGGTTAGTAGTAAATGACGTGATTGTTGTTCATCCTATATATAGTTGCAAGTTTGCCATTACATGTTTTTATGCAAATATACTTCCAATGTGTATTTATGGCCATTACATCTTATCTCTTGCTTTGATGTCCATGAGTTTTGGTTATACAAAAACATTGTAAAAGAATATAAAGCTATCAAAATCGACTAGGAAATTAGGAATTTTAAAGATTGTCTATTGATTAAAAGAGAAATAACAAAATATCACATAAAGGAAGATCACACATCACAATAACCACCTGGTCCACCGAAGGTAAACGCTTGTCCATACTGCCCAAGTTTATCAAAATAAATCACGTCGTAACATTTACCTGCGTCCGCAACTTCGGTGACCTTGTCGGAATTAATATCGACACTCTTATAATCTGGTGTCACATATTTAAGAGAGTGCATATAACAAGTATGTTTTAGATCTACTTCCTCATCCAGCGGTTTATTCCCGTTACCCATCGGTGGGCTAACTATATTAAAGAGTTGAATGTTTTCGGATGGAGCATTCGTGAATCCACCATATATAACTGCCTCTGCTCCATTAAAGAAATAAGGTAGAAGTTCTTCTGGCCAATACCCTACGTAAATCTTCCCGACTGTTAACAACAAATTCTTTGTTTTTGGATCCTATTATTTGTATACATCCCAAAAAAAAGAAGTGTTAGGTTTTTTTTTTTTTTGGTAAATTATATTAAAGTTTGGGAAGAAATTTCACTAGTTTTATCTAGTGAAAATTTTCTTCGAGTTTATAGGTTAAGGAATAATACTAACCCAATTGAAACTAAAGAACTGGTTTTAATATATAAAATATTTGAGAAATTTGAACTTTTATTCAACCTATTACTGTATATACCTGAATTTAGTTTAACTCAAAAACGTAGTTGTTATACTTATATACCTGATTGATTGAAAAGAAAGCTTTAAATTGTGTGCCTCCCACCACAGAGGTCTTCGAAAAACCGGCACCAAGAAAGATTCTCCGGTCAATTTGAACGAAACCCTTACATTTCGTATTGTAACATCCGTTTTCGAGTTTATCCGGCTGCAAAACGATTTGCAGTTAAAGAAGAGAAAAAAAACCAACATTATTGTAAAAGAGATAGACGAGAAATGGTGACATTGTTACTCACACTCCAATATGCAGTAAGTCTTGTACGGTAATCGCCATATAATTCAGGAATCACCTTAATATATTCATACATATTAAAAAAAAAGTTATCAGTAAAACTTTTAACCATGATATTTATTCAAATGAACTAATTGCACATATATATGCTAAAAGGTGGTTGCACTAAGTGGGTATATCACGAGTTAAAAAACAAATTAAACAAAATTCAAATTCTCACAGCCCAACCAAACTGAGCACTGGTGCGTTCGCCTTGATTCTCAGTATTGAGCCAAATCAAAGCCATGCTGAATTGCTCTTTATTTTTCAATATAGGTTGGTAAATACTAATCCATGCTGATGCTCCACGCCACGGGATGGCATCGATTTTCTTCATTATCGCAGCCTGTATATATAAACGATATGTTATAAAATACTCATCAATTTTTTCAAAATAAATATACACATCAAATGGTTTGGATCATATAGAGTAAAGGTATAAAATTTTAGGAACTTCACATGTTGACCAACAGTTCCATATCCATTAATAGGCTGAAAAGGTTTCTCGGTGTGGTTGAAATTTCTTGGTTTATGGATTGGTACTTGTCCTTGAGGACATCCTTCTTCTGGTATATCAAACTCAGCAACCATTTCATCCTCTGATAAGTTTTCTGCTGATGTATCTCCTGATAGCATGGCTAAGAATTCGTCGCTCGGTCTCATCTATGTGATGCATCAAAAAATATATCAATTAAATAGGGATAATTATATGATCATGCATGATAAAAATTAGGTGCAAGAAATCGATCGACACACAAATGTAAATATATAGAAATTTACTTGGATTCGATGATTTTTGAGTTTAGAGTGTTGTAGCGAAGGTTGTTTGTAGATATCAACACATTCGTATTCGGGTTCTTGAGGCTGCAATATATGAGAATTTTAGAACTTTATTTGTATTATATATTTAAGTTTATATCAAAGTGCTCACAAATAGGTGACATACCTTAGTATTTTGAGACCTTCCATGGAAGCAAAGTAATGAAAGAGAGAATATGATCAACAACCAAGGAGAAGCCATTTGCTTAGTCTGCATCTTTTCTATGTTCAGCCGTTGGTATAATAACAAAGGCGGAGCCAATATATAGGGAGGGGAGTCAATTATGACATTTGAAAATTCTTAATTATAAGGTAATTTACTTAACAATATTAAATGTTTTGGTATAAAATGAAATCTTCATGTTGACCCCTATGTATAATATTAAATGTTTTGATATAAAATTTCATGTTGAAAATTCTTAATTATACGGTAATTTACTTACTCATATTACATGTTTTGGTATGATCATTTCCTACCTTTGACTATTTTGGTATCAAGATGACAAGATGTATGTACTTTTCCTTAAGAACACCCTTTCTTTTGGTGGATCCAACTCTGTAATCAGTTCATTATTACTCGATAAGTTTTTCGATGATGCATCCTTCGATAGCAGGGCTTCGATAGTTGGATCCTTTAGTATTCTGTCAGCTATATGATCACAACAAACAAGACATAGCATGAGTAAGCATAGAATTTTGGTAACATTCCCAATTAGCTATATATATATCTAAATCGAAAACCACGAACAACCACCAAGCCTTTACGAGTTTCCCCTATCTTTCAAGGTAGAAAATGTTTGGGCCTTATCAAAGAACTACACGGCCCATCATCATACATAGATGATAGATCCCAAATAAACTTCAAACCAGCTCAATCCTTAAACCAAAGACTTAACCAAATTGGAATCCTGAACCACACGTGCTCGTAAGACGTTTACCTATAAACGTACCGACCGATCAAGCTGATCGAACGTCTGACCAGCCAAACTGATCTACATTTTTCACCAACCACTCAAAACAAAAACGCTTTTTTCTTAAAGAGAAAAACAAAACAAAACTTCTGTCTCTGCAAAGCTCCATCCTTTGTGGTTGTGTTGTGGCGTAGAGAGCCACTCGACGAGTTATTAAAAGTTAAAACTTTTGTGTCCACTTGAAACCTTTTCTTTTGGATTTTATCTGATCATCACTCGTTTGTGTCTCTGATTCTCTATCCCGTGGATTCGCATCTGCCATTTTTATTCTTACCTTTATCGGATCCATCTGATATCGAGTGGATTTTCTCTAATCAATCCCTGGTAAGCTCATATTTATTGAATTTTCTTTCTGGGTTTTCGATCTGATTTCACCTCATTGTCTTATGAATCCACCATTTGAGTTCTGTGTATTAAAAGATTCAAACTTTCTCAAAGACAAATTTCTGAGGAAAAATGACATGTTTTTAGAGTCTGAGTTTGATTACATTTTCAGGTTTTGTTGAGTCCTTTGATTTGGTAATGATTGGAAATGATCATAAGATTCCTACTTTCTTGGAAACAAATTAAAAAAATCCAATTTTTATGAGAAATAACTCTTAGAAACGTCTCTGATTGGCTAAGTGGTTCAGGTCACAAGTAACAAAAGTACTGATTTTGGTTGATGATACTGAAGAATTTGGTTATATAAGTTAATCTTGATTCTTGAAGGATTCTTCATTAACAAAAAGTAGTGACTTTGGTTGGTTTCTAAAGTAGTAGTATTTGGTTAGTTGAAGTGGTTTAGGTCACAAGTTAAATGTGAAGGATTCTTTTTGTTAACAAAAGTTTAAATTTTGGTTGATTTAAGTGGTTGTCAAAACTTATTCTTCATTAACACAAAATTTTGGTTTTGGTTTTGTTTTTTCTTAGAAATGGCGGATGCGTGGAAGGATTTAGCTTCAGGGACTGTTGGAGGAGCGGCTCAGCTAGTTGTTGGTCATCCATTTGACACAATCAAGGTCAAACTTCAGAGCCAACCGACTCCAGCACCAGGCCAACTTCCAAGGTACACCGGTGCAATCGATGCCGTTAAACAGACCGTTGCTTCTGAAGGAGCTAAAGGTTTGTACAAAGGTATGGGAGCTCCTCTTGCAACCGTTGCTGCCTTCAATGCGGTTTTGTTCACCGTGAGAGGTCAAATGGAAGGACTGCTTAGGTCTGAAGCTGGAGTTCCTTTGACCATTAGTCAACAGTTTGTGTGCGGAGCTGGCGCTGGTTTCGCTGTTTCGTTCCTTGCTTGTCCTACCGAGTTGATCAAATGCAGGTTAGATTCTTTTGACATATTACCAATCAGAGCCTATATATACTTGTGTGTGCTTTTAACTCAAGCTCTAGACTGCATTTTGTGGATACGCAGCCTCGAAATTTAGTTCACTGGCCAGAAAACTGAAACAGAACTAAAACATGTCTCTTTTTGTGTGTGTGTTCAATCTTGTTTCACCATCAGGCTGCAAGCACAAGGTGCAGCAGTTGCCGGCGCCTCTACCACAAGCTCAGTTGTTGCAGCCATTAAATACGGGGGACCAATGGATGTAGCCCGTCATGTCCTACGATCTGAAGGCGGAGCACGAGGTCTATTCAAAGGTTTATTCCCGACATTCGCCCGTGAAGTCCCGGGAAATGCAACAATGTTTGCAGCCTACGAAGCTTTCAAGCGGTTTTTAGCCGGTGGTTCAGACACTTCAAGCTTAGGACAAGGGTCATTAATCATGGCGGGTGGAGTCGCTGGTGCGGCGTTTTGGGGAATTGTATATCCAACCGATGTCGTGAAGAGTGTTCTTCAAGTCGACGATTATAAAAACCCGAAATACACAGGGTCGATGGATGCTTTTCGGAAGATTCTGAAATCTGAAGGTGTTAAAGGTTTGTATAAAGGGTTCGGTCCAGCAATGGCTAGGAGTGTTCCTGCTAATGCTGCTTGTTTCTTGGCTTATGAGATGACAAGGTCAAGCTTGGGATAAACCGGCTCGGTTCGGGTTTAACTGTTGGTCCGATTTCTGGATGTTCCATTGCGATTAACCTTTTATGTTTTTAGATTTGATTCTTTTAAATTTTCTGCAAAATTTATGTATCTTTTACACAGTTTATTTCAATATCTCTTACACAGTTTATTTCTGAGACTTGATTAAGACCAAAAAACTAGTGGTTGATTTTGTCCAAGACAAAAAAAAACTAGTGGTTGACATTAACATTTTGACCGAACCAAATTGAACCGAACAAAAATAGAACAAAAACAGAATCGGAAACTAAACCGAACATAATGATTTAAGAGTTGGATTATGGGTTTGTTAAGGGTTTAATCTCTTAAAATTACGTTTATATTCTGGGGTTAGGAATTTAAAGTTTTAGGTTTAGAGTTTATAATATAGGGGTTTAGTTTTTCTATTTTTGGTTTATAAATTGGAGTTAAATATTTAGACTATTTTGTTAATTTTTAATTAAATAACAAACTAGCGTATGACTCTGCACAAGTAGAGAATGTCAACAGGAAAAAAAGGAGGGAACTCAACTGCTTTTTCTTTTATCGTTTAGCATTTTTTAATTATTTATAAAACTTTTTATCACTATATAAACCAAAAAATTAATATCACAAGTTAGAGAAACAATAATCACAAGTCTTATGGAGACGATTGAGCAACAAAGACATTCACTCTCTTCTTTGCCTATGCTCTCTAGGCTTGAACACTTGGATTTCGTTGTAAATTGTTTTTTTTCTTCTTTGGTTTCTAAGTTAAGGAAACATACTTTACTAATTTGATGAATTTACTCTTAAGTGTTTGTTTTTTTTACGTAGATAAAGAATCTAGAGAGACAACAAAACCTTCCGATTCCGAAATGGAAAGAGGAAAGCGCGTCTACCACACGTGGATTGATCGATAGAGGCACGGCGATCAGAGAAGCGTATTTCAAAGGATCATTACTAGATCGAATCGCGGCCTTGGAGACAAGACTTTTTCAGGTATGGTTTGATCAGTTTTCTTTTAAAAGAAGTGTAATGCTTTAAGGGTTTTTGTATAATAAGGTTTTAAAGGGTTTTCATTTGTATAATGTTGTAACAGATATGTTTGGAGTTGGAATCGAGCAGTGCATCGTCTACTTCAACTGGAGGGTCCGGTGAAACATCAAGCCAAAGGATTAAGAGAGATTTGACAAAGACAATACCCATTTTCAGTAGCAACATTAATCCTTTTCATGTTCCCTTACAACATCCACAAGACCCTCGGGTATATTAATTTTTTTTTCATTTATTTATTTTTGATGTCTATTTATAGACAAGAGTTTAATATTTCAAATACAAATTACAAGAAAATTCAAATATTGTTAGATCGTCTTGACTAAGCATTTAAAGAGCGAAATTATGTCATTTTTGTTAGGATCTTACATCGCAACTTAGAAAATACATAAAAGTAATTTGACCTACTAGATTTGTCATTTTCATGTTTAAATTGTTTTAGGAAAGAAAAAAAGAAGAAGTATTTGTCATATTTTGTAACAGAATTTTTGCAATTGTGATTCATAATGTTATTGTGAAATGTAGGAGATGGAGGAGAAGATTGAAGAAGAGAAAGAGGAAGAGATAAATGTAGAGAAGCCATTACTGGAGAAGAAAAATAAGAAGACTAAGAAGAATGATGCTACTGAAACTTGCAAACCAAAGAAGAAGAAGAAGACTAAATCTCCAAAGAAATGGTCTCGTTTTAGCTTATTGGGCTGCTAATTTTATGTTATCTAAAATTTCATGGACTATGCATTTATTTCATCTTTGTTTAAATCTAAGTTTTTCTTTACCCATCAAACTTTAGGATTAATATCGATTTTTGCTTTAACATCTTTTTTACTCTTGTGTATATAGATAAGATACTAGATAAGCTCAGGTTTTGACATGATTGAAACAAACAAATGGATTAATTTAGTTTCGTGACATGATTTTTAAAAATAAACCTAAAATTTAACTAAAAAGTTAGCAGTAGGAACTACAATAAGTAATCGACATCAACTATGTTTTTTTTTTTTTTTTTGACAACCATAGTAATGTAGCCAAAATTGTACTATACAATAATAAAAATTTTGTTGTCATATTAACTTTTAGGATGTACTATAAAGCAACTACCCTCCAAAAAATACAAATGTGTGGATGTAGAGATATGTATAACTGTATATTCCACTACTTTTATCCTTTTTTATTTTCTTATAAATGTATATTCCATTATAACTTGGTCAGTGGAGTCTTGAAAATATTATATTTGAAACTATTCTTTCAAGCCAGATTTTAGAATAAAAAAATTCGCAATGATCAGAATCAATATTATTCCACCAAATAGACTTTTGATACTTTTATTATCTCTATAATGCTTAAAGAATATATATAGCAACCTATATATTCATAAATATATGAATTATTTTCTAACTTTAACTTTAGGAAAAGGTAACATTTTAAAATTTCATTATGATAGTTTTTTTTTTTTTTGGTCAGCTCCATTTCATTGTCTGCCACTGCCAGAGTACTATTCTCCTTTTCATTTAAAATTTTAAATACAAGAACAAATTAATTTAGCCTAATGATACAATTTATTAAATTGTAGTGATTAGTGAAAATATTAGCATCGTTTTACACCCTTGATATTTAAACTAAAAAAAATTATAATCATATTGATATTAAAGTTTTAAAATAGTAGGATGTATAGAAAAAATAATGTTCCATAAATATATGCTTTTTAAAACGAAATAAGTCAACTTTCAATAAATTATGAGGAAACAAGATCTAATTTACTAAACTACTTCGAATATCCGTACAATTTTAAAATGTTGATTCATTCGTAAACATTGTTTACCAAAAAAAAAATCTAAAACCAGAGAAAATACTTATACATACTGCAAAAACGTAAACGATATAAATCTGAGATACACACATTAGGGAAAAAACGATATGGAATTGATCAAACTAAACTATATGAAATAAAATTCAAATTAAATGTAATACATTAAATATTAATCATCAAATTTGATATAAGTGTATTTGTATATGTGCACAGTGCACGTATATACACATATAGACTTTAAAATTAAATGTCTACAAGACGCCAAAAAAAAACAGCTGGAGACTACTTTTTATGGTTTATAACTTGTACCTACCGTATCTTTTTCGATTCTACTTCTTATGTACCCAATTATTTATCTTCATTTTTTTTCTATATATTATTATCTTTGTAATAAAAAATTAAATACTTAATAAATCTTGTATAAGAAAAAATTTAAATGCAAAAAAAAAAATTGTCAAGGTAATAAGAGAAAAAAGGGATTTGCACATTTCGGTTGCAGAATAAATAAACATGGCCAAAACTAGTAAATGTATGCACGGAGGCTTCGTGCCCACATTTAATTATCACTTGATGAAAATTCTCTAAAATAAGTAATATGAAATTTTTATATACTTATATTTTAATGAAAATGGTTTTATGATCATTACAATTATTTAGTTTACTTGGCCAAATTTACTTTCTAGAGAAATTGGGAGTTATAGAGAACAGTAATAGGCTTATAATAGCTTCACGCACAAAGGCTAATGGCTAACCTTTAAATGCATTCGAATAATTAACGATTCTATATATTCGAATAATCATATTTTCAACGATTGCCAACCAAACAAATAAAATGAATATTTCAACGCCCCTACATAATTTTTTTATTTTATTACTTAATTCCTGTCCGAGTTGACCAATTTTCATTAGTAATATAATTACCAAAGTAGGAATTCATGAAGAATATGTTAAATGATGTATTCTATTTTAAAATGTTGAATAATCGGTATAATAATATATTTTTAATTAGCATCACATCTATAATTTTGACTTATACATTCAATAAGAATATAAAAAAAATAAAATGATAAGTCTAACTAAACAGTGTTTATTGTACGTTAAATCGGATTTTTAAAATGAAACAAAATAAATCTATGTATTATATTGAACGAATATATAAATTCTTGTATTATTATAGACTCTACAAAAGTGTACATAATTTTGTAATAGTTACTAAATTTGATGTACGTTTCTACAAAAATAGTAATAATCAACTAAAAGTAGAAAGATTTAGTGCCTAATGACATTTATGTGGTAGCCATTAAAAAAAAAAAACTCAACTCTATTAAATTCCAAAACTACCCTTCTTCTCTTTCTTCCTCCTTCAAATTTCAACTTTCTCTCTTTCAACGACATCAATGGCGAATTCAGAGTCCTCACAAGTAAACGAAGAAGAAGACAACAACCAAAGAATCTCAACACTCCATCACCAAACGATGCCTTCCGAGTTAACTCAAGACGAATTCACCTCACTCTCCCAATCAATCGCCGAGTTCCACACATACCAACTCGGTCACGGCCGTTGCTCATCTCTCTTAGCTCAACGAATCCACGCGCCGCCGGAAACAGTCTGGTCCGTCGTGAGAAGATTCGACAGACCACAGATTTACAAACACTTCATCAAAAGCTGTTACGTCAACGAAGGTTTCGAGATGCGAGTGGGATGCACGCGCGACGTGAACGTGATAAGTGGATTACCGGCGAATACATCGAGAGAGAGATTAGATCTGTTGGACGATGATCGGAGAGTGACTGGGTTTAGTATCACCGGTGGTGAACATAGGCTGAGGAATTATAAATCGGTGACGACGGTTCATAGATTTGAGAAAGAAGATCGGATCTGGACCGTTGTTTTGGAATCGTACGTTGTTGATGTACCGGAAGGTAATTCGGAGGAAGATACGAGATTGTTTGCAGATACGGTTATTAGATTGAATCTTCAGAAACTTGCGTCGATCACTGAAGCTATGAATCGGAACAACAACTATAACGCCGGTGACGGAGGAAGAAACTCTTCTTCTTCTCAGGTGAAGTAAAAAGAAAAAAACAGTTGGGGGGTTTTTAATTTTATTTTGATTTGTAATATGTTTTTTTTTTTCTTGAATTGTAATTTCCTTGTTTGATTTATTATGGTTATGTTTTTTTTTTCTTTTTAATTCAGTTTCCTGGATAATTGGAATGTTTTAGAAAAGTTAAATTTAATAGCTTACTTGTTATAGATATTGTGGGTTTAGGGATGATAACATACTAATTATAGTAGTTCGTTTAATTATTAATTTGGTTGACAAGGTAAATTTTTTGTTAGTTTTCTTTGAATGTTTTAAAGTTAATTTTTTAATTTTATTCAATTTTTGTATTTTAAATGAGTTATGGATCTGCTTAGAACTGATATATGTATATTTGTTTTTTTTTTCATGGCTTATTATTATTATTTTTTAAATAGTAAGTGTGTGTAGTAACTTTTCATGATAAAACAGAATCGAAGCCCGTAAAATGGTTAATCTCATTACTAAAAGTCAATATTGACAATCCGTAAACTGGCAAAATTATTTGTTTTCTATTGTTTATGAAAAAAAAAAAAAATCATCTGCTTCGTTGTTTTGTTATATTCTTTTTTTTTTTCAACCACACATTAATTTGTTATATTCTTTTTGATTCAATAATTATTTTATTTTTTCATTTATAATTTCGTAGTATATTAATGTCATATTTTGCTTTTATTCTGCGCTAACATATTAGAATGGAGGAGCTAAGCATTTTTTTACACCTAAATATGATTGTGTTTTTAATTTATCACATTGTCTACTGAGCCTGACCAACACAAAAAAGGAAGAAAGAAAAAGAAAATGTTCGTCGTTCCCGATTACTGTATTAGAGAGACTCTAAAGTGGATGATCCATCATGAGGCAACACTTAAAAATACTGTTGTAACAGCCGACAAAAAATATACATTTATTACATAAACTATTTTCTCAAATATGGTTGGACGGTGACAAATTATGGGAGCCACTCCTTTATATTTTTTCTGGCAATTGAGGGAGCCACCTTAATTTGCAGACCCCTAGTGGCTAGTACTATACTATTCTTTTGTATATGTTTTTTTTTTGTGCACATTAATTATATGCTTATTTAGTTTTCATTTTTCTAATTTGGTGGTTGCATGAAAATATTTTAGTAGTTGTCTAACTAAATGTTTTCTAGTAATCTACCTAAAAACGCCATTTATACCCAAAAAACTTGCTGTAACATATTGTAAATAGTATATTATTATATATAATTCAGAAACTAGTCGTAAAATATAATGATTAGTTTCGTTTTTATCTATTTATTCTATAAAGTAATTGATTGTATTTAGTAATTGAAGCAGAAAAGTGAGGAACTGAAGATGCTTCTAGTTTTATTCCATTAGGGAAAGGGACAAATCTAGTGGGGTACTAGTACTACAAGTTGCCAACTTGGTTAATAAATAAAGTCAGAAGGTTAATTTTGAGTTTTATTTGATTGGAGGATAAAGCAAAAAAAAAAGTGAAATCAAAGGCTCCGGACTTTAACGATGGTGAACCAATTAAAAGATAGGATTTTTCAGCACCACGACTTAATGATTAACATCGAAACTTCTTTTTGGTTTAATTATGACTATGGGGTACCAAAAGTTTGAAAATCTATCTAATATTCCATTTAATTTTTTTTGGTGAGTTCTAATATTCCATTTAATTATAAACTCTTTTGTCTCCATTTATAAACTTTCTAAAGGTGTTACAAAAAAAGAAAAAAAAAATACCAAGTGTCGTTTGCTCAACCGGTAAAGACTCTAGGCGAAACTTAGAAGTCGCCGGTTCGAGTGACGCTTAGAACGAAACTAATATTACATTATGTGGTTTCGAACTTCCTGGTATTCAAAAAAAAAACCTTTCTAAGGTAGTTTTGTGATGTTATCTTATGATTGAATATGATATGTTGAATTCATCTTCCCTTCAACTGTCATGTCACATATGTATGATTATGATCCTAACGAAGTTAGCAAGCTTGGTACATGTTATTAGGAGTAGATGCGTCTATCAGGTTCAACAAATTTCAGACATGTATATGAACATTTTGTCACTTATGCTTACGTGATTCCATAGGCTTTGGTTGCTCATGCGCCATGCGGGAGGAAGCACATTTTGTACTATGCCAAACATGAAAACCATCATGAAGAAACTACACTTGAATCGTTTGGTTTCATGATAAGTTGAATCACCGAGACTCAATGAACGAAATCGATTCATAATGACAACATTTCATAGTTTGCGTTTATAATGAAACCACACAATCGTGACTGACACCAAATTCATGAAATCAAAATTGGCAAAACTGAAAAAATATCACGAAAACGGGATTAATTTTGACACAAATAGCAATTTGTATCAAAATAAATTTTGAGATTACGATTTGACGTTAAAGAAAAAAAAGAATTCAATAATAATAACATAATAATTAAGAGTTGTATTTAGTAATTTTGATATAGGTCTAGCTAGACTCGCATACTTTTCAAACTAAAGACCAAACAAAAAACAAGTAACACATTGATGTTGAATGATCTTGATATCGTATCTAGTTTATCAACATTCAAATACATAATGAAATGAGCAATTTTTTTTTGCTAAATGAAATGAGCAATTTTCTTTCTATTTCATATTACATCATGCTTGGAACCCTTAATCCATAATTAAAGAGTTATTAATATACTACTACTAAGCTATTGATTTTTCCATAATGGACTGAGCAATGGGAAGAAAAAACCGGGTGATGGCGGTGGTAGCGATTCGGTACCGCCTAAAAACCGCGGCGAGAACGCGAAATTTGGTGAGAACAATGGAAATGGCGATCTTGGCGGCGGTGACAAAACAAACTGTGAAGCTGGAGACTGGAATGACATTGGATTAGGACCGGTTTGATGTGAAGGAAATAAACCGGTTGACGGTTGAACCGGATTTTGGTTTTGTGGCTGCGCTCGGTTTCCAACAGGGCTTGATTCGATTAGGTAACGCATATAAGCCGAGATGGGAGATTCGGCCGGGTTAACCGAAACTTGGTTAACAGGCTGAACCGGTTCAGATGCAATTGGAACCGATTGAACCGGAAGTGGAGGTGGAGGATGGTTGAGTTGGGTCAAAGGAGCCGGTCTAACTTTAACCAACCGTGAATTTGGAGGTTTTGGTGGGTTTGTTTGCGGAGGATTGACTGAAGAAGATGAACCAAGTCCGGTTAACTGTTGAACAATGGATCTGAAATCGGTTTTGTTGATGTTGTAAACCAAAGCTTGAGGGTTTTGTTGTTGATTTTGCTGGTTTGATGGATCTTTACGGATGTTTTTTCCCATCTTATTCACACCTAGATAATGATGATGATCATTATTATGATAATCATTAACACGATTTCTCTGATCATCCATTATTAAAACCTGAAACAAACAAACAAAAAGAGAGAAAATCTAAATCTTGGGAAGCAAATATAGTAGAGAAACCACAAAGAGTTAAAATCTTTTAGGAAATTATAGTTCTTTGGTTACTGATTTAAACCAAGAATCTCTCTAAAACAAGTAAAAGGGTTTTATAACAACAACCCTTTTAACGAGAAAGAGAACTTACGCGTTTTCTGAATTTGACTGGAAAAGAAGAAACAAGAGAAGAAGAAGAACAAAACAAGAGGCTTTAAAAAGGAAACTTTGACTTTTTTTGTCTCTCTTTGTCTCTCAATATAAGTTGTTAAATCCTAATTTAAAACTAGTTTCTGATAACTACTATTCGATTTTTACTAGTTGGAAAACCAACAAGTGGATTTAATTAGGATACATACATAAACAAGTTGAGGATTAGTGTTTATAATATGACTAAAGTTGTTTATTTAGGAGTCGTATTCTTATACCATGTTTTTAGTACGATTCATACGTTACAGTTAAATCAGATGATAACACGTGTTTAGTGTCTTATCGTTGAAAATTGTAATAGTGTTTAATGTACAAGTTGGTAATAGTATTAAACTGTTGAAAATATTGCCCGTGAAAGTATAAAATCTAGTCGAATATACAAATAAACGATAGATCGGATCCAACTAGTTTAGTAGTAGATATGGATGAGATATTGAGTCTGGGCTGGGTACAAGTACTCGTTACTCGTCCCGTACCCGTTACTTGCCTCGTACTCGTCTTGAAAAAACAAGTACTTGTTGTTGTCAAGGCAAGTATCAAATAGTATAATTTAGATACTTGCAAGTACAAGCCAAGCAACAAGTAGTGGAAAAAAAATTAATACTCGGCTTGTTTGACCCGTTACTCGTTATTATTTTACCATTTTATATACATATATTTCATATTATATTAGTTTTAAGAACATATTTAAAAGTTACATCAAAAGTAAAGTAAAATTTAAATATGTAAAAAATTTGAAAGTGTTACTTGCAAATTACTTGCAAGTAATTCGTAAATACTTGCAAGTAACTCGCAAGTAGCAAGTAATAAGGCAAGGCAAGTAACTCGCAAGTCGCTCATTTTTTAGCAAGTACTCGAAATTACAAGTACTCGTTTTCAACAAGCCAAGTACAAGTACTAATTTTTATTACTCGTACAAGGCAAACCAAGTAATAAGTATCCCTAAAAGAGCAAGTACTTGCCTTGTGCCCACCCCATGAGTCTTACAGGTTATACAAAACGATACAGATTTTTAGCGAACATAGAAAACAGTAAATAATATTTTTTCCGTTCCTAAAAAATTGATGTTCTGGTTTTTTTTTTTGTTTTACAAAAATTAATTAATTTTAAAAAAAATTTCTTTATTTTATTGATAAATTTTAATAAATCGTAAATTTCAAAATGCAATGATTGAAAAAGATTAACTGAAATTATTATTGGTTTAAAGTTATTAAAAAATATTTAATATATTAAAGTAATTGTCAATGAGCTTGCCCGATCGATCGATCCCTTGACTGCTCTTTCTCTAGAACATTCTTGGCCGGAACAAGCCAATTAACACTCGAAAACATTTAAATTCCTCATAAGCACTTAGAACATGTACAAGACTCAAGACACGACCGAAATGACACAAAAGACAGATTTCGACACGACAAACGATCCAAAACAAAAGTTAAACAAGGGACAAAAGACATTAAAAAACGCAACATATCAATTATTAAATTGGTACATCCTATACATACCACAACGATATACCCTGTATGACAACGATAAGGAATTACCAATCGAAGCAATTAGTATATCGAAAGAAAAAAGATAAGCTATACCACAAAAGTATCTCTCAAGACGAAATCTGCCATGTCAATTTTCTGCCTTATTATTTCGAAATTACGCAGTACGAAAAGTAGGCCCAATTGTAATGATAATAATCTTGACTTTAAGTCGATACTCATAGAGAAGAATTAGAGATAAGCATTGTTGTTTTCTCTTATGATTAATTTTTGTTGCTTTGTTAGTTGATAGGTTTCTTAACGATAACAAAAACTTTATTTCACTTGCAATTTGACTATATATTAAGAAGGAATAGTATACCACACCGATAAGGATGGTCTCTCGTGTATACGAAAGAAACAAAACACGTTCAATGAAAACGTATTTTTTCATTCAAAGAAAAAAGAAACACAAAAACAAATATTCAAAGAGAACAAACGTGACAAGTAATAAATAAATGGAAACATTTTTTCCGCCAAATAATACTATAATATATCTCACATATTCTATCACGATTTATGTAATCACGACTCTGGATTTGAAACTATATGTAATCAGCTTTATCCTCTCTTCCAATCGATGATATATGTCATCTTAAAACATTCATATAAAATCTCAGAATCATGATCAATCATGATCATATGTTAATCTTCCTTTTCTCTTCTATTAATCCTTGATCTCTCAAATTCTCAAAACTCCAATTCCTTCGGACTCCAGTGCTCCTTACAAGCTTTGGTTGTTCGGGCCGGGTCGGTCCATTGCTAGGGCTAGAACCAACAGGACCACTTAGCCTAATGTGATGAATCTTTTTCACCTTCTTCATCTTATGCGCTAAAGACGATCCTGACCGTCCAATCTTCTCATAGATCCTAGGACTCAAATTCCCTGACCAATTTCTCCCACCAATAGGATCTACACAACATGTTTTACCTAGAACTTGGTTAATCTCGACCTTTGGTGGTCCAGGACCGGAGAGATCAACATTTTTGTTGGAATCTGTTCGTGGAAGGGCTTGACATGTTAGACAATTTAGGCTCATGGCTTTTTTATGATCTCCTTACGACAATGGAGATCAATAACGAGAGAGAGAGAGACAAAGGAAGAAGAAAGAGAGAGCTTGGTTTTATTTAGTTAGTAATATGTTTCTTGTTTTATTTTAGTAAAGACTAACGAAAACTAATCTAATTTTAGTGAAAAGTGTATATTTGTAAATTCGATTTTGGGTAACACATACGTTGTTGTGTAAGTAGACATATCGCCTCACACGTTAATTTAACAACTATTAACTTCATAGAAATGAGAGAGTTTTATGTCTTTGGTCGTTGGTTAATTAAAGACAAACTTTGTAAGAATTAACAATATAGTTGTAGTCATAATTTCATTACAAAATTATAGTGTGAACGAATTGAGTGAACTATTTAATATACATAGCCAAAGATAGATGAAAGATGGCAGCTATTATTTCCTAACATCCTTTAAAGAGGGGTCAACTTTATGGTACTACATGAAAACTATTTTTCATATATTGAAAAAAAAAAAAAAAACTTAAGTTGGTGGTTTTTTAATTATAACTCATCAATGATGGAGAAAAGTAGTTTATTGGCCACTTTCTTTGTTTATTATTATGCAATAAATGTTCTTCATTTTTGCAGAAAATCAAATGTCTTCACATTTTTGGTTTAAACAAAATTTGAGATTTAAATTCGAATACTAATACAAACTCCGGTCCAAACTTTATAAAAATCTTGATTTTCGCTTATATATGTCGATGAATTTTAAACCAATCTTTACTAAAATACTTAAGACTAGTCTTTAGAAATGTACTCAAGACTATAAGAAACATAGGGTAGATCACACGGCTCTCTAAGCATAGAGATATACTCAAACTCACACATAAGATAAGATAAGATATGCACTTAAAGACTTCCTACTCATTACTTAAAACTAACAAATCTTTGTTTTAACCTTTAATTTCTTTTACTTAGTATACAAACAAATAACACATGTTTCCACATTTTTGGCATTATAAACAGTTTCCTCATATCCCCTCACAAAGATAAGAGCACTAACTCTCTGCAAAATCCATTTACGACCACTTATTTTCCTCAGCTTTTTGTACACTACAGTTCATAAATTTGGACTTTTATGTTATACAAAGTCACAAACTAACCCAAAAGTGACAAGTGATTCCTAATTGACAAAATCTCAATCATAGAACCAAAAAACTTCAATATAATTTACATACAAGTACAACCAAAGATTTTATTATTTTACTAACTCTCTCTGGTCTGGTCTCCAACTTCGTTCTCACTTAAGGCTTATGATAACACTAAGCTAAGAACTAAACAAGTTCTCCTAATGAACAACACCATTTAACAACATGAAGCGAGTGATGCAAAATGAGTACTTACTACTTACAAAAGACCATACATTTACCCGCTAAATTCGATCGATGAAAACACTAGTTTCATCTCTTTAACATGCCGACTTTGTTCAATAGTTTTCTCCGACTTTCGTCATTAAAGCAACTTTAAGCTGATCATGATTGAAAAACTGGCTCCCCATCTTCACGGTAGCTTGTTGAATCATCAAATCATTCACAACGGATAAACTCGCATGATTCACTTCCAAATCCAATTCCTTAAGCGCTTCCATGAATCTAGCACCGGGATGATCCTTCTTGCTGCATTGTACACGTATCATCACATCCCAACCTATGATCTTCACATCAATCTCCATTTCTATAGAACTCGCCGTAGAATCTTGATTCGAACTTTTCCGTTCTTTCGCCCTCGACCCGCCACCTTTCCCATTATTTCCTTCCTTGCTCATCCCCTCTAGCTTCTTCTGAATCTCCTCTTTATCAGATTCCGCTTGTTGCAGCTTCGACTTAAGCTCATTGATATACGAAATAGCATCTCCAAGAAGAGAAGCTTTATCCATCTTCGAAACATTAGGAACCACAGCTCTCAAAGAATAAAATCTCTGGTTTAACTTCTCTCTTCTCTGCCTCTCTGCTTCAACATGATTCAACGGCTCTTCTCTCCCATTCGCCGGTTTCCTCCCCCGTTTCCTCGGCTTCTTCTCCGGTGGCTCAACAACAATCGCTTCCTTAACAACCGATGCTTCAAGATCAGAATGATCCGAATCAACCGATTTCGCAGCGGATCGAACCACAGTACTAAACGAAAGCATCCCTTCATCATTATTACTCCCTTTCGAAACCGGAGACCTCTTCTTGCTACTCTCGTTACCACAGAAACTCAAAGTCTCGTTCGATTTCAACAACCCACCTTGAAAGTTCCCATTTTGATTCAATCCAGAACTCGAAAAATTCAAATCTCTCTCAACAAGACAAGAACTTTGACGATTCTGATTCTTCTCCACAGAGCTAATATCATTCTTATCAAGCTTCGAAATTTGATGAGAATCAGACTTTGAATTAGAATTCGAGTTATTACCATTATCAACCCTCGCCGGAGATTCGATTCCGGTGGCCGGTTCACTAATCCACAAAGCTGGATCATTCTCTCCTTGATCTGGATTCAGATTAAAACCCCAAGAAGAAGCTTCACCACCATTGTTACCACCACCGTTGTTGAAGTTAAACAAGTTATTAACTTTATCCATCAGATCTGAGCTTTGACTTATAACTTCCGACGAACCAAGCTCAACGACGCCGTTTTGAGTCGCGATACACACCATCGTCTTCAACCCGTAAATCTGACCTTGACCCGCTCTTTCACAACCCGACCCGGTTAAAGAACCCGACCCAGATAACCAAATCACACGAGAGTTTAAGAAAGATTCTCCGGGAAGTCCAACACCGTTCACGAAGCTTTGAGTCATCGAAACTAAGAAGAACCATTCAGTATCTGTTACTTCTTCATCGTTTGATTCATCGGAAACTCCAATTCCGCCGGAGATTAACGAATTAAGCTCACGGATTACTCTTTTCCGATGCTCTTGCTCCGCCGTGTTCGTGTTGTTCTTCTTTTTCTCTTTGTCTTCTTCTCCTTTGTAGTATCCATCTCCCCAGCCGAGGATTACTGTGTTGTCTCCGGTGGATGAATCAAAGTCGTGTGAGATCTGCCAGAAGATAGCGTAAGTCCAGTTTTCTCCGGCGGATTCGATTAAAGCTTGGAGACGTTGTTGAAGAGTATCTTCATTGAATTGAGATTGAGGAAAAGAAGGTGGTGGTGGTTGTGGTGGTGGAGGAAAGAGAGACGAGTGGTGGTGGTTTGTTCCGATGAAAGCTTCCATAGCCGCCGACGCGTCATCGTCGGAGGGTAAGAAGTTGATTGATGATGTGGTGCCGTTCATGTGAACATCCGCCGGTGAAAAGGTGAAGACTTTTCCGATGAGAAGAGAGAGAGGTGACGTGTTAAGAAGAAAAATCAAAAGAGGGAAAAAAGCTAAGCAAATGGCGTTTAGTGATTGTTTGGAGAAGATGATTCTTCTCTACAATAATATATTTTATTTTTAATACTGAAGTATTTGGTTAACGGTTACAAAAACGTAAAAAAATATTTCATGGTGTGACAATTTTCGTTTGGACCACTGTTTTGTCTGAAACATAACTAAGATGCGTTTATGATTCATCACAGAACCACTTATTTTATTCAAAATAAATTTTGATGAAATCCATTTATGGTGATATAGTGATGAGAGTTTATCATATGGACCAATGCTAGAATTCAAAATTTCATAGTTAGAAACTTACTATACAGATTTCAAATTTTTTTATATTATGTATTTTTGACTGCAAGAAAATTGCACTTTAAAATAAAAAATAGACTCTACTCTGAAATAATATTTCGACTGATTTCATGTTAGTGAGAGGAAAAAACAAATATATATAAAAATAACATTTTTCTTTTTTTCTCCTAATCATCCTTTTTTCTAATTCAATTTTTTATATCCATCTTATAAAAAAATTCAATTTTCTCCGGTGTGAAAGCTTTTTTGGTCTAACGATTAACTAAAGATCCATTAAATTAAAAAAAAAAAAGATCCATTAAAGAAGTTTGATTTTCATAAATTACAAATTATTGTAAATTAATATAGACAATAAATTTTTTATCGATATCTTACATATTATACACACCATATATGAAGTTTGATTTTCATAAATTACACACCATATATGAAGTTATTGTAAACTTCATATATTATACTCACCATATATGAAGTTTGAATAAAAAGAAAATGTTTTAAAATACTAATGTACCCAACAAAATAGCAAACGTCCGATTATAATAAAAAAACAAAGAAAATTAATGTATAAAATTGATAATTTTCTCCTTTTTTTTTTTGTCATCATTGATAATTTTCTCTATTAAATTGATATTCGATTTTTTTTTTCTTAGACATTTTACATTATATTTTTTAAAAAAATATTGGAATTATGTTGTGTAGCCCACTTTAATTGTTTGGGTCCTCTGTCTAGGCACAGACACAGTCCTGTCTGCTTTCCATGTTTCTGTCACCATAATTGACATTTTTATTTATTAACATCTTCATATTTTTAGTCATGGCATATTGTAAGTTTTCTTTTAGGAGATGCTTAAGCTGTTTTTCTTTTATTCATTATACTTTACTCCTTCCTTTTAACCACATTTTTTCATAAATACTTAATCTTATCGTTTGCTAAACTTTAATGACCGTGGAAGCTCCTTTGGTCCATTGGTTGACCAAAAGTTAATTATTATAGCCGTTCGCCAGGATTCTACGCAGAGAGAGAATGTCCATCAAGAACATGAAGAAGGAGGTGAACGCAGAGAGGGAAGTGTCTATCAAGAGCATGAAGAAGGAGGTGAAGGAGTTGAGCATGGAGAAGGAGGTGAAAGAGGTGTCGTCTGTCGTGGATCTAATAAGGGTCGGAAGGAATTGTCCGTTGTAGAATCGTCTATGTAACAGTTTTCAGAATTTGCAATAAATAATAAATCAAGACGATAAAAAAAAAAAAACTTTAATGACCAGCCAAAGTATCATTTAAAAAAAGTTACACATGATAATTGACAAAAATTACACATGATAATGCCAACCATTAATAATAAATAAAATATCATAAAAAAAAAGAAGAAGAAGAAAAGTAAGTCAGTGAAAAGGACAACATGTACAATAATATTCAATGGTTAATCACGATGGCTAAAATGCTCCAGTTCACGTGATTCTCGTGGATGATGTAATAACAAAAGACTTTAGACCCACTAATCGTACACTAACATATGATTTTTGACATTACATAATAAAATATCTCTATTTCTTTAGGTTTTTGCCGGTTTTTCTTACGAGACGCTAATAAACATGTCACAGAAACATTGTATCAAGTAAAAAGTTTTACTTTATCAGAAAAAGAAGAAGTAAAAGGTTCTAGATGAATTAGTGTAGATAACCTAATTTAATACCTTAATATGCTTCCATAACAAGTCCCATTTTTGGATTTTTGGTATTTAACAATTATTTTGGTTAATTATGAACAAAACTGTCTTCATCTTTCAATCAATCCTCTTTGTGTATATAACAAGATGGAGAAAATCATTCTAAAATTTAGCGATAAGCTTCGATGAGGTTTAAACGACGATTAATGTTTATAGTTTTATGTTTCATGGTTAAATTTTGTGATTAAAGATTTATAACCTTTTTTGACAGGTTTTAGACTATTGTTAGAGATTATTATATTGTATAGTTACATTTGATTTAGAATTGTGTGACTAAAAAAACGACAACTGCGAATAAGAGATTAAGATCAGTAATACAACTATGGGCCTTTATTATTGGGCCAAAAAAGCCCATCGAGTTTAGTATTGATCCGCTAATCTTTAAGATATAAAATGTGGGCTTCTTTAAGATATTTGTTACATTACATCAATATCAAAAAACGTAAACAAATAAAATAAAATAAATTACCTTTACAGGTTTCGTAAGAAAACAGAAAAACAAAAAAAAATAAAAAACAAAATAATTTCTCTGCTTTGAAGAAGAAGAGTCGATCTATCGTCACACCAGTTTGAGATTTCCAGATTCTGGCAAATTACACCTGTGAAATCTTCAACGATGGCGACTGAGAATCTCACCGATAAGAATGTTGTTTTCAGAAAACTGAAATCAAAATCCGAGAACAAGGTTAGGGTTTTCTCCATTCCCAATTTGAATTTGGGTGTGGTTTCGATCAGATCTGGAGCTTATACGACCTAAATCTTCCGATTTGATATCTGATTTTACTTGGGTTTTTTAGGTTTGCTTCGATTGTAGTGCGAAGAATCCAACTTGGGCTTCGGTTCCTTATGGGATCTTTCTATGCATCGATTGTTCTGCTGTTCATCGAAGTCTCGGTGTTCATATTAGCTTCGTCAGGTAAAACTTTGGATCTTGAAGAACACAAAATTTTGATAAAATTGAACTCTTTAGGCTTAATTATTGCTTCATGGACCTGGCTAGGGTTTAAGCTTGTGATTAGGAAGATGTTGACTTTTTTTTTCCTATTGACTAATCTATTTATAGCATTTTACTTTGTTGTAGATCTTCTAGTTGATTATAAGATCATATTGTATACACACATTCATTGTTTTTGTGAAGGTCAACGAACTTAGACTCGTGGAGTCCTGAGCAGCTAAGAACAATGATGTTTGGTGGGAACAACCGAGCTCAGGTGTTTTTTAAGCAACATGGATGGAATGATGGTGGTAAAATTGAGGCTAAGTATACTTCAAGAGCTGCTGATTTGTATAGACAAACACTTGCTAAAGAAGTTGCTAAAGCCATGGCCGAAGAAACTGTTTTACCGTCATTATCCTCTGTTGCTACTTCTCAGCCAGTGGAATCATCTGAAAATGGGTTTACTTCTGAATCTCCGAAAGAGAGTTCTTTGGTTAAGCAAGAAGCAACTGTTGTCTCCACTTCTTCACCAAAAGCTTCTCAGAAAGTTGTTGCTAGTACGTTTAAGAAACCCCTTGTGGCGAGAAAGACAGGCAAGACTGGTGGTCTTGGTGCTCGTAAGCTTACTACTAAGGTAAAGAGTTTAGTTGTTTAAAAGAATGAAAAGCTCGCAGTCTAATTTCTCGGTTTTGATTAGATTTGTCCTTGTTGTATATGTAGCCAAAGGATAACCTCTATGAGCAGAAGCCTGAAGAACCTGTACCTGTGATTCCTGCTGCTTCTTCAACTAATGACACATCATCAGCTGGATCATCATTTGCCTCTCGATTTGAGTACTTTGATGATGAGCAATCTGGTGGGCAAAGTGGCACACGAGTGCTTAGTCATGTTGCTCCACCAAAGTCATCGAATTTCTTTAATGAATTTGGAATGGACAGTGCTTTCCCCAAGAAGTCAAGCTCAAGCTCATCCAAAGCTCAGGTAATGAAAGTTGCATTTTAACAGGAACTGAAGAATGAGATAGAAATCAATTCTCAAGTCCTCTTTGCTTAACTGTATTTTTCTTACTTAGGTTGAAGAAACAGATGAAGCAAGAAAGAAGTTTTCAAACGCCAAATCGATTTCCTCTGCCCAATTTTTCGGAAACCAAAACAGAGATGCAGATCTAGACTCAAAAGCTACCCTTCAGAAGTTCTCGGTATGTCCTGAACCAAATCAAACTCCAGATTAGTTTTCTTATGTCTCATTGTCCAAATGTCCATTTATAATGTGATTACAAATCTAACAGGGCTCAGCAGCTATTTCAAGTTCTGATCTTTTTGGCCACGGACCAGATGATTCCAACATCGATATCACTGCAAGCGATCTCATCAACCGAATTTCTTTCCAGGTAAAGTTCTGAAGTAGAATCAAATTCTTCAGCTTTTCTTAACACTGCTTATAATTTTTTTCTGATTTGACTTTGGTTATGCACAGGCGCAGCAAGATATGTCATCTATTGCTAACTTAGCTGAGGAAACTAAGAATAAGCTTGGAACATTTGCCTCTAGTATATTCAGTGATCTTCAGGATAGAATGCTGTAAGAAACATACACAGATCTTGTCTTTCGATTTACAGAGAACAAATTGTCGGATATAAATGTCATTTTTACTTTTGGTTTGTAGTTGAAAGAGTGATTTTTGAGGTAAATTGTTAAATGTGGAATTTGATCATTTGATATGAATTAGTAGTATACATGTTGCAGTATTATGTATGGTATTGAATATCAATTTAATCTCTTGATATGGTTGCATTTTGAATATAAATATAAATATAAATATGGTTGCATATTTTTTTTAAAACAGCAAATTGAAATAAAGAACTCAGCATGTAAGAACTTAAGAAGAAATTATTGCCAATCAAAACTTTTGTGTTTTGTCGAAAAGAAGGAATACTGAAAAGCAGATGGATTTTTTTAACGATATCGGAACTTCTATTAAGGCCCTGTTCGTTTCTCCATTCAGATAGATCATTTGGATGGAGATGAAAAATGATGTTCGTTTTTTACAATTTAACAGATCATTTGGATGAATTAGTTGGATGGATCATCTGAATGAGTTTGTAATTTTAGGCAAATTTGTCAAACTCATCTGGATGAACATGATTGGAGCATTTGGATGGAGATGATTCAGTCAAAACTAACAAATGACAAATAAACCCTCATTTATTTTCCATAGATTTTTCATTTTATATTCTAAAAATTACATATTTGCACCAAATAAAATCTCTAAAAATCGTGAAATTAATGATTATCATTTTCCGTCAAAATCATAAAATCGCGGAATTGTGTTTTTTCGCGCCAAAAAGTGAAATCATGATTTTTGATAGAAAATTATGGAATTCATCAAAACTGCAAAATCATATTTTCTCGCCAAAACTGCAAAATTATTTTCCCGCCAAAACTATAAAATCACGATTTTGGCGGGAAAATTACGGAATTCTGTTTTCCCGCCAAAACCGAAAATATTGAAGAATTGTGTTTTCCACCCAAACCGTAAAATCATATTTTCCCGTCAAAACTATAAAATCACAATTTTGGCGGGAAAATTACGGAATCATGTTTTCCCGCCAAAATTGCGGAATCATTTTTTCTCACCAAAATCGCAAAATCATGTTTTTCCGCCAAAACCGCAAAATAACATTTTCCCGCCAAAAATCGCAAAATTAATGTTTCCCGCCAAAAATCGCAAAATTATGTTTTCCGCCTAAACCGTAAAATTATCTTTTCCGTCAAAACCGTAAACTTAATTTATATGTTAAAATAATAATTTAAAAATTATTTAGTTGAAAATATATTTTAGAGCAATAATTAAATTAATATAGCTTAGATTAAGATTTAAAATATAAGTAAATTAAAGTATTGGTATTTTAGTCATTTTCTTGTTAAAGTCATCTAGATGAAGATAAAGATTTATAAAAATTAAACAAACAAACAAAAATTCATTCAAATGTTCCATCCAAATGAACATCCAAAAATTGAAACGAACAATATTCAGATGAAGCATTTGGATGGAACATTTAAATGGACCATTTGGATGGAAATGGTAGATGATGAAACGAACGGACCCTAACTAGTTTCATACTTTCATTTTTATGTTAGATATAACTCCCATCTTTCAGAGAGAGAAAACGTTTTCCGATCTCTACTTTTCCGGTTAACCGGATTTTTTGTTTTGTTTATAGATCTTGTTCTTCTGATTCAAACTGGAGATTGATATCAGATTGAATTCCAGTCTGTTTCGGATTTTAAATTTCCTTCTTAGTTTAACTAAGTTTGGATGTTTTTGTTTCTCATCTTTCTACAAAACTTGAAGATTCAATCCCGCTAGTTATCAACTTAACTCTTCTCTTATGTTGGAGTAATATCCTCGCCGTCTCTCTTATGAAGTAGACCTCATCTTAGGTCTTTGGCGTGGCTTCCTTCTAGGACTATGGGTTGAGAAGATTCAGATCTGACTTATTAAGATGGATCCGAGCAAGAGGCACTCAGATCTACTGCGGATGATTTCGTAGAAGGATGTTTCAGAAGAAGTGATTGAAGCCTTCATCTGGTTTTTTCAGGATTATCATCAGATTTGCTAAGATGGCAAACTCAAGATCGGCGATGAGCAACTGACGGTGCTCCGGTAGTTTTCTCATCTGCAACATGAACCTAGGTATAGAATCAAACACGTGTATGTCTTACGTGTCATTTTCTTATGTTTTTGGGTTCATTTAATATTGGGCTTCAAAAGGCTTTTGTATCACTTTTCTTCTTGTAACTTGCCCTTTGGACTTTCTAGTAAAAGCTTTGGTCGACAAAAAAAAAAAAAAATGTTAGATATATTTTAAAAATTGATTATGGGCATTTTTTGTTAAATAGTCAAAAAGTGTTTTAGACGAAAGTAGAATATATACTTTTGGGAAAATTTGGGAACCTATATAAAAAGGGTTAAATTTGGAAATCTATATTATAAAAGAGATAGAAACGTTATATTTGGGCAACTATATAAAGAAAACGTAAAATTTGGTTGGATCTACTTAAAACGCTAATTAAAACGTTAAATTTGGGCAACTATATATAAAAAAGAAAGATATAGAAATGTTAGAAAAGTTTATTTTTCGAGGGGGGAAATTTTTTTTTTATTTCCATCATTTCTAATAAAGAAATTAATTAATCTAGCTTTTAGAAACAAATGACAAAACTTACCAAAAAAAGAAACAAACTGACAAAATATGATGTGGCATACAGTAATTAGATAAATTTTACAAAACAATTGTTTGGAAAAAATTAAATTAATCTAGATTTCAGGAAAAAATGGTAAAAGTAATTGTATAAAAGTTTTTTTTAATATATATTAACTATTAAGTATATAACATAAAAAAGCAACAGTATTAAATTTCAGTAAATTAATTAAACAAATTAATTTGCGTTTTCCCTATTTGTTCCTTCCTCCTCCAACTATTTAACGAAAGGAAAAAAACTTATAATCATAGATTAAAAATCAAATTATAAAATCTTGTTTCGTCAATTAAACTTGTTTAAAAAGAAATAAAATAATTGGTCAAAGAGTCTCTGAGAAGCCAAACCCAATTCCTAACCATGGTTGAGTTAACCACTTAACTTAATCACCGTCTAATTACGCTTATTTTATCTATCTTTGAAAAGGTCAAAAGAAACCCTAAATCCCCAAAAAAATGGCGGCTTGATTTTCCCTCCCAATTCAAACCTTCTTCTCCACTCCAATTCTCATCTTCCCTCCAAATCGATTCGATTCGCTCTCAGATTTCGAAATTTTCACAATTTTTTTGGAGCGCAACTCAAATTTTTCTTCTTTCATTACTCACAGATCGATTTACGAGATGCAGAATTCTCCCAAAAACTAAACCCTAGCTTTCCACTTCTTCTCTTTTCCTTCAATTCTTCAGAAAATCCGATCTGGGTTTCGTTGTTAATGGCGGAATTTAGTGACCCACCACTATCAATTCTCTCTTCGTCTCCTAAATTAGCTAAACCCAACCAAACCCTAGATGAGTCTTCACCAACCGCGCCAATTCGTGACCTTGTTACTCACTCGCTCTCTCTTTCGTCACCGATTCGTCAGATTCAACCTTCTTCTCCGGCGAACCCAGATGGGTCTTCCTCTTCCCCGTCAAATAAAACCCTAATTACGCCACCAGCTCAGATTTCGCCTGTTAGCAACAACAATCTTCTCCAAATCACGAGTACGTCAGATTCGTATCTTTATCGTCCACCAAGGAGATACATAGAGAATAGTGACGGTCAAAGCGACGACGATGACCTTAATAAGACCGAGCCAACAAAACCTCTACAGCTCTCATGGTGGTATCCGAGAATTGAACCCACCGGTGTTGTATGTTTCTCTTTTTCCCTATTATCTGATTTTGTTTTTGGTATCAATTTAGCTTTATATCGAAAATGATGTTTTATACAATTTCTTCAGGGTGCTGGGCTATACAATTCAGGCAACACTTGTTTCATAGCTTCTGTGTTGCAATGCTTCACTCACACTGTGCCTCTTATTGAGAGTCTTCGTTCATACATGTATCAAAACCCTTGCAACTGTAAGATTTGCTTATTTGGTTTGATTTGAGTTGGTGCCTTGTTTTGTTTATGGTCTTAATCTTATAGCTTCTTTGGGTTTTCAGGTTGCAATGAGAAGTTCTGTGTTATGCAAGCGCTTCGAGATCATATCGAGCTTGCTTTGAGATCTTCAGGACATGGGATAAACATTGATAGATTTCGTGATAACCTGACTCGTATCCTTTTTCGACTGTTTTTTGTTTATTTGGTTCTATAATTTTGTGTTTGAGGTTTCTTCTTATGAATGGTTTTATCCTTGTTTTATCCTTAACCAATCACAGATTTTTCATCTGATTTTATGATAAACCACCAAGAAGACGCACACGAGTTTCTACAGTCGTTTTTAGACAAGCTAGAGAGATGTTGTTTAGATCCTGAGAATGAGCCTGGCTCTATCTTATCTCAAGATTTGAACATTGTTGACAATGTCTTTGGTGGCGGTCTCATGAGTACGGTAAGAAAGCGTTCATCCATTACCATACTATTAATCTAGTGTTGAAGCAGTTTCCATATATATAATGACTCTTGGAAATATGTTTGATCTATTCCTTTTTCAGCTTTGTTGCTGCAATTGCAATTCTGTTTCCAACACATTTGAACCTTCTCTTGGATGGAGTCTGGAAATTGAAGATGTTGATAATCTCTGGAGTGCTCTAGAATCCTTTACACGTGTCGAAAAACTTGAGGACCAGTTAACATGTGATAACTGTAAGGAGAAAGTCACAAAGGAGAAGCAACTTAAGTTCGATCAGTTGCCGCCGGTTGCTACATTCCATCTTAAGAGATTCAAGAATGATGGAGTTACTATGGAGAAGATCTTTGAGCATGTTGAGTTCCCTTTGGAGTTGGATTTGCTCCCTTTCATGAGCGGTAACCAAAATCCTGAGGTATGTAAAAATTTCAGACCTTTTTGTTTTGTAAATCTTGAGATTTTTGAGTCTTAACAACCAATTTTGTATCTTCAGGTTTCCACAAAATATCACCTTTATGCCTTTGTGGAGCATATTGGGATTAGAGCAACTTTTGGTCATTACTCCACTTATGTGAGATCAGCTCCTGAGACATGGCATAATTTTGATGACTCCAAGGTAATATAATATAGTCACTTAGTCGATTTCATTTCATTTGTGTGGATTAGTCCTCCCTGAAGGGCTTCAATAAATTTAACTTTCTTTATGTTTTTTTTGGAAACTCTGGCAGGTCACCAGAATCAGCGAAGACAGAGTTCTATCCCGTCCTGCGTATATATTATTTTATGCAAGAGAAGGAACTCGTTGGTTTTCCAGTACTTTTGAACAGTTGAAGGCAGTGTTTGAAGCTACTCCGTTACATTTTTCACCAAACTCAGTGCTTGAAAACAGTTACGATAGTGTTGGTAATTCTAACAAAGACTGCAACGACTCGGGGGGAGTGTCGATCCCTGATGGAAAGTGGTCAGATTTTTGCTGTCATGAGCCAAAAGAAGAAGTGTTCCATTCAGCCGAGTCTAACAACAGTGAAGATTCTTCAACCATGATTGATGCTCTCGAGTCACCTGAGGCTGATGAATCTGAGAAACCTTTTGTTGAAACCTCTCAACAGAGAGAACCTGAGTCATGTCCAGCTGGAAACAAAGCTAACATTGATGAATCTGAGAAGCCATTTGCTGAGACCTCTCAACAGAAAGAACCTGAGCCAAGTCCAGCTGCTGACAGAGCTAGCATTGATGCCCCTCATGTCCCTCTGCTCAAGGTTCAGAATCAAGACATATCTCCAAAACGCAAAGGTACTATCTCTTACTATGTATTTTTGATAGCCTACCTGTGGAGAATACTAAGACAGATAGGAGATTCTGATAGATTCAGATAAAGTATTGTCCTTTAGTTATCCGTAAATCATCGGTTACAAGAAGAATCAAATCTGATCTAAAACCTAGAACAAACTAGAGTGTATTGATCTCTCAGCAAAGCCCTTATACAGTGTATGTGTAACTCTATGTACAGCTGGTGAGAGAGCTACGCTTGGTGGACCGAAGCGCAAGATTCAAAAAACAAATTCCCATCCGAAACGCCAAGGTACCATGTGTTTTGATAGTTATTAGTCTCAATTATAGTAAAAATGTGGAAGAGTTTTATGTATTTAAGTGGTGAGAATACGAAAGATCCGAAGTCTGAGTGTGTGTGATTCTGTAACAGGAAGCTTTCAGATTCAACGTGCGCATTTGCAAACTAAGAACCAAGAAGAAACTCGTAGAACAAAGCGGCCGGCGTTTAGAAGCAATGTTGCTGCTTCTGCTCCAGATCCTAAGTACAAAAATCATGCTATTTCATATCTCAACAGGGCTCAGACACCTCGCAATCAAATGCTCGCTAGAGCTTTGGTTGGTTCTCCGACCAAGAAAAAGAAAATCTCAACAGGGCCCAGACACATGAAAAGATCAACTATTAAAATTTGAAGAGTTAGCTATTAGAAAATGAAAAGTTGTTCCTCTGGTTTTTGTGTTTGGGGTTTTCTTGTGAATACATCTCTGATCAATTTTGTTTTGAGACTCCAACCAAAAATTCTTAAGGTCATATATATAACATTGCTCTATAAGATTATGCTTTCGATGATAAAATGACAAGACAACAAAATATTCAATTATTAGGAAAATACAACACAACGTTCAATAATAATGGATACAAAATGTTATGAAATAGGCATTTAAATTTGTATACCCCTCCACAGATTATCTTTTATTGTTCAGCCTTTCTTTTGGCTGATCTTAAGTTGGTTTCTTCATGGGGCATAGCCTCCACCGCCGTGACCACCACCACCACCGTGACCTCCGCCTGAACCACCTCCATGTTCACCACCATAACCACCGCCTCCTCCTTCTCCTCCTCCACCGCCACCACCATATCCTCCTGCTGCACCTCCTCCATAACCACCTCCTTCACCACCACCACTTCCATATCCACCTCCATGTGCTCCTCCTCCGCCGTAAGCTCCTCCTCCTCCACTTCCTCCACCGCCACCACCTCCATAGCCTCCAGCACCACCGTGAGACCCTCCACCACCAGCTCCTCCTCCTTCACCGCCTCCGTAAGCACTACCACCATGAGCCCCTCCTGCAGATCCTCCACCTCCTCCTCCTCCATGACCACCGCCGCCTCCATAAGCTCCACCTCCATACTCACTTCCACCGGCGCCACCACCTTCACCAGCTCCGTTTCCATAGCCACTAGCATGCTCTCCTCCAGCACCGTAAGCTGATCCTCCACCGCCTCCGCTACCACCACCTCCACCACCAGCATGACCACCAATTACACCACCAGCTCCTTCACCACCACCACTTCCATAACCACTAGCTCCTCCTCCACCGCCATGTGCAGCTCCACCACCACCACCACTACCTCCACCACCACCACCAGCATGACCACCATAACCACTAGCCGCTCCACCATAACCACCACCTCCTCCTTCTCCACCTCCACTAGCATAACCACCGGAAGAAGCAGCACCACCACCGCCTCCACCATGCCCACCACCACCACCACTAGCATACCCTTCAGCACCTCCATATCCACCACCAGCTCCTTCTCCACTACCACCACCATAAGCACCACCACTCACTCCTCCATAACCTCCACCACCACCATGTCCTGCACCGCCACCACCACCATGACCGGCAGCTTCTCCGTAGTGCAAAAGATTGCGGCTAGTGGCGTAGCAAATGCTAACACCGAGTATAAGAAAAAAGACAGTTGAGAAAGCTTTGAGAGAAACCATTGTGTTTGAATTTGATGAATAAAAATGGAAAGGCTCAGTGAGGTATTTATAGTAATTGGGGTTTGGTATGTTAAGCCGCGTCCACTGTAAAAAAAGAGTGGTTGAATATTCACATGCTTACGACCAAAAGTGCAGATTTACTGTCCCTACCATTACTCCTAATTTTAGTTTCAATTTCTTACTTTTTCTCTAATTCTTAGTTATACTATAGCAATCTCCAATGACTAGCTCTGGTCAAATCTCAATCGTCCAAAACAAGGTCCGCTCACAAATATTATGGCCTTGTATAATATTTAAAATTTAGACTCTATAACTTATTTATATGTATATAATTGGATGAATTAAGTAGAGGGTAACTATTTAAGGATGTACCTAAGAAAAAAAAATGTGACTTATATTGTAAAGAGTTTAAGTCTTGTGTATATAATAAATTCAGTTGAATGGGAAAGCAAAAACATACAAAGAGCTACATCTATACTAAAGGCAATGGAGAAGGAGAAGGAAACAATGTTTTGACACGCCCTCTCTCAAGATGTGCGGTCGCGGGTCGGAAATGAGTCCAATAATCTTGGAATAGAGGAATGAGTCCGGACTTAGGTAGATGTTTTGTAACATTTTCGGCTAGTTGATCTACGTACGTACATGGCGTGGGTGACATAGTTTGTTCTGGAATGGACCAGATCGCAAATAAAGTGATAATAGACCGCAACGTGGTTCATGGAAGATAGACTTGACAGATGGATTCATGGATATGTGGGCGTCCTGATGTTGATATCTTATGTTATGTAGACGTCTATTTTATCAAGTGATGTCCTAATAGAACTAAGTCTTAAACTAACCTCCATCTAATAAAATAAACGTCTACAAGAAAAAAATGTTGTAGACAAAAAAGTTGTATGCCCTATAACAACTAAATGAATGATAAAAACGTTCAAGAAAATGTCGTTGCTATTTTGAATTTTCTTTAATAACATCATCTATTTTGCCACTGGTGTAATTTCTCTAAATATCTTTAACAAAAATTTGGACCCTAAAATATACATAAATTTGGTTAATTTTATTACGGATCTTGGGCGAATGCACATGTGAGCACTTCCTCTAACGCTAGAGTATGAACTATATATACTTCTAGAGTACTTTTATACTTTTGTAACCATTCTATGTAAGTCTTTAACTAACCACAATTAGTTTGGTTTTTAGCACTAAGTATATGAAGATAAAATATTATTATTGATATACATTGTTTTTGTTGTTAAAAAATTGATTGAAGAGTCGTTAGAATATCATTAACAAGTCACAGTATCGAGAAGTATAGTGTTTGAGTATTCCTTTTGACTTGTTTCCTCCATTACTCAGCTTAGCTTCTAATAACGCATTTATTTCCAAACCAAACCCTCTTTTGTTTATTCTTTTTACCTCTACCTAAAAATCATGTTTTGCATTGTTATATAACTAAACTCTCACTTCTTTTACATGAATTGTGAATTTTGACAAAAAAAAATCAACAAACATGTTTTTAAACTAAATTACTCAATTTTGAATAAGACTGTCTAATGTACTCAAATAATACAAAATTAATCGATTTAATCCTCAAAAGTTTATATAGCTATATTTAAACTAAGGTTATGAATAACAAGTCACAATCTCTTGAATTACGGTCTTGAGTAATTCCTCACCAAATCTTCAAACAACCCTATTATCCAAAAGACCAAAACCAAATGATTTTTTTTTCTTTTTTTCTTTTAGCTTATAATGTCTTGCATTGTTATACAGCTAAGCTCTTATTTTGTTTTACATGAAATACTACACATGACATATGCATGACTAATCATATTTTTTTGGAACTTTCAGTCATATAGCAAAACTGCTTTTAAATAGATGATTTATTGTGTCGAAATTCAATACCAAATAGACTATTTTTATATTGGAATGTGAATATCATATAAAATGAAGAGTTGAGGTTTATATAGCTAATACTATTTTAATATGTAAATACATTAATTCACGTATAGAAGAATGCAGAAACCTATATAAATCTTTATCAGAAAAAAGCCTTACATAAATCCAATAAAAACGCATGCATTAAGAAGAACCTATATATTTCTAATACCATATTCCAATGAGAGCTTACTTCTAGAAGATGAAATCAAATCAAGATTATTTTAATGCACGAAACTTTGGTACAAAAACATTTGTATAGAAAATAAAAAAGGATTTTGGTAAGAAACTACTAGTAACAAATAAAAACACTTAATAATGGGTGTCTTGCGTCGTAGCATTGCCACTAAGAAGACCAATCAAGATTTCGAGTCTTTGGTGCTGTCCAGCCAACGACCACTTCTCTACTTATTATGCCGTAGAGAATACACTGGAATAAAATAATAAATACAAAAATAAGTCAATACATTATGCATTATTTCTAAATAGCATTCAAAAATGCTCTCCAAATTTTAGGAAATTGACTTTAAATCATTGATCAAAATATCAAATAACCTCATATGTTCGATAAGAATCCTTTAGTCAATCCAATCAAATATATACTATAATGTCACTAGAGTAAACACAAGTTTCGATTCATTTCACTATTCTCATGGGGTTTAAGTTTAGTGCTATGTGTTCGATCAATAACAAAGTTTTGTGTCTACGAATTTCACAAATAATTCATTGGAGAAAAGTGAGTAAACACATTGACAAATGAAGAGTTCAGCTTTCGGCATTGTCAAAAGGATAAGCACCCAATTTACCCATAATTGGTTCCAGCAAAATACAAATTTGTTCCATTGAGTAAGAGAAATAGAGGAAGGTAATGATGATACAATATGTACAAACACATACATATAAATGGGTATATGTACAGCTTTATACACAAAACACAAAGTGGGAGATCACATGGAATAAAGAAAACACCGTCGTTGTTGAAGAATGGCGTGAAGAAGAAGTAGTAGGACCAGTACTAGTACCATAGTGCTCTCTTTCTTTCACATATCTTCCACGCGTCCCCAAAAAAGCGTAATCACTTAAGTTTTGTCAATCGGATCATAGATCCCACACAATGTCCTATTGAGTTGATGATCAAGAATGTATGTTCGTTTGAATCATCAAATACAATGTACATGTTTAATAGTTTAAATTTCATAGAGTAACAGTTTAAAACATCGCGGTTACTATCAATTATCCTAATCATAACATTTTTGATTAAGTTCTGTCACAAACTTGTTCCTCGTGATCGAACCGTGTGGATACTAGTTCAGCTTAGTTTGATATATATTGGATCTGATACTTATTTCGGAATTATGTTTGATTTTGATATAATTTTTTGTATGTAGTTAATTTACAAAATGTCAAAAATGTGATAGGTTTGATGGTTTAGTCTGGTCCGTCTAGTCCATAATAGGTATCGACCTAACGAACCGAGCTTAACCCTAACAAATTTAAAACATACTTAAGATCGTCCACGACGACTTCTCTACGACGATCTTTAGCTCATTTCTGACTCTTGAGGTTGCTAAATCAAATCTTTAATTGGGGGATTTGGAATATAGCAGTTTTGTACATAAGAGTCTTATCGAGATTGCAATAATTCTAGGACAAAACGTTTGGTCCCTCACTGACAATGGAGATCACATAGTCTGACAACAACAACAACAAAAAGTCCACTAGTAGAAATTTGGTTTCACTCACACATGACACCTTCCAAAAAAAAGAAAGATTGGATCTATGGAAAAAGAAACAAAGTGCGTCGTAGGGTTAGGCATTATAGAGCCGCAAAAGAATCTCCTTTGCCTACTTCTTCTCCTACCACCACTTCATAAACAGTAATATGTTACTGCACCACTCACTCATCATCAATCTCTAATTGTATAACACAGATTCTGACACATGTCATGTAAAATAGTCGAAACACTTCACCTGAATAAAGCTTTCGTATATAAATCACATATAACTTGTTTAAAATCTGGTTGTAGTAAATGGAATTAACACGTGAAAACTTAGTGGAAATAACATTTTTAACACCTGAAAACTTAAAACTTGGTACATTTTTCATTATTACAAACTTGGTAAATAGTCAAAATGTTCGCAAAATGACTAATAAATCATAAAACCAATCGATCATTACACAATTATAGATCTTTATTACAAAACATAGCATCAAAGATCAAATTTTGAACATACCCATTGAATCAAAATAGTAATCAATCATTACTAGAAGACACAAAAGCTTCAATTTCATCAAGAACAGAGCTAAACCTTGGCCTATCTTTAACCCTAACATACAAAACGCCATCGTTTTCCCCAAATTCACACATACCACATTTTCCTTTCTTCTCCCACAATCTCTCACCAAAACTACAATGAGCAAAATAAGCCTCAGCCAAAACGACAACGTTTGATTCTTCTTCATCTTCTTCATCAATAACTTCAATTGGTAATCTCTCGTAGTGATTCACTTTGATACCTTCCAATTCATCAAGACGTACAAGCCCATGTTTTGAAACCGAATAAAGCTCACCTCGGATCTTTTGACCCGACCCGGATTTGTTGATTAAGTAAGGGATTCCGTAGAGACCCGTAACGAGCGGGTACTGTAACCGGGTCGTGCGTTGGCCGATGTAAACGGCGTCGTTTGTTGAGATCAGATCTTCTAAAAGGAAATGGTTTCGATGGTTTCTTTTTAACGTTCCGTATACGAAGATGAGGTTCTTGTGTGATCCTCCCATGGCGGCGAGTTTTCTTGAAGTTCTTGGTGACTCGGGATGAATATAACTCGGAGGCCGACTCAGAAGAGAAAAAGATGTCTTTTTATCTTCCTTGCTTATTATGGGCTTTTGATTAACATCTATTGGGCCTTTAGGCTTTACGTGCTTCAAAATGATTTTTAATAAATGGGCTGAAATCACTAGAATTTTTAATAATTATACAGATGTTATTTTTTTTTTTCTGGTGCGATTAATTATACAGATGTTATTATATTAACTAAGAGACAAATACATAAATAAGTAAAAAAAACGCGATCACAGACTGTTATGATCTGGTGAAGATTGTGTTTTCGCCAACTAAATAGCCGATATTTTTAATGTATTTGGAGAAATTTCATAGCAGCAAGGTTGAGTTTATAAACATTTATTTATCTTTAATTTTTCGTCGTGTAAATGTAAAAGCGGATAATCTGGCACGAAAAATTCGTACCGAACCGCTTCATATCACATATGTAAACAACATTTTTCAAGAATGGCTCTTTTGAGGTCTAAATAATTTTAGATGACAAAAAAAAAACGCGATCACAAAAATGAAGGTTATTCAGATTAGTAATGATCTGATCTCTTATTGTCTTAAACACTTTTTGTAATTTGTCTTCTAGTAAAACTTAATAATATCTGTTCGATAAATGTGAGGCTTTAGTTAAAGGATGGTGTGACACACTAACAACACCAATGAGTTCAGATATCTTGTGGTCTTTTAAACAGAATAGTTAAGAGGTCGGCCAAATAGCTAACAGTAGCAGCATTTTCTCATTAACCACACACGTGTATGTTTTCTTTTCAAAAAGCAATATAGTATACAATATACTACTCGAAACAAACCGAGTATATATCTAAAACTAAAGCTATTAATGGTTGTGTGGTATGCTGCGAACCGGATTAAAGTCAGATCAATTTGCACATAATTTACTATTCACTATTGTGGACTAATATGCACTATTGCGGACTAAAAAACTCTACACTAATATGTATTTGAGTATAAAACTCTATACTATTATAAATTCATTGTTAGTCCGCATTTTTCAGTCTACTCATCAAAAGTTCCATATCAATAATAACAATGTTGAAATACTATTGTTTGCATACTAAAATATTGGTACACATGGTTAAAGGATGGTGTGACACATTAACTACACCAATGAGTTCAGATATCTTTTGTAGTCTTTTTAAACAGAATAGTTAAGAGGTCGGCCAAATTTGCTTGGAGTTTTGACAAATAATTAGATATGTTAATAATATATCATGGTGTTCGAAGAAACAGTAGCAGCATTTTCTCATTAATCACATACACGAAGCAATATAGCAATATAGTATACAATATACTACTCGAAGCAAACCCAATATCTACCACTTATACTGTACATAAATCCATAATCTTTAAAAAAAAATCAAAGGAAGAACAAATAGAATTTTGTTTGTTTCACTAAAATTTAAATTTGAAAATGCTCTTAATTAGACATTAATATTTTAAGTCAATCCGTTTTTATCTTCCGGTAACTAGAGTAAAACGTAGAAATAAGTATATTTCGGCTGCACTACTCCAATTTATTTTAAAAATTTTAATTACAATATTTTGTTCCTTCAAACATCAAACAATTGATGAAAGATTTATTTAATCCAACAAAACTTCAATAACAAATTCTATTTAAATGAAATATAGTATCAATAAATTCCTTACTACATTTTATTTTGGCCACCTATGTATAAAGGCATAAACACACCAAACATCCACTTTTTTTTTTTGAGCAACTAAACACACCAAACACCCCTAAAACGCGTTCATAGCGGCACAAAGAATTGATTTGGGCGTTTCAACACATTTTATTTAAAGACGACAAAGAAACGTTTAGCTGAATTTTGGAAAACGTATGAAATTAAAACCCTACCTTATACACCACTCTCACTCTGTGTGTTTTAAATTATCTTTGCGCAGGAAAAAAACATGCCGTGCAGAAAAACGATGAGATCCGTACACAAGACTTGAGAAATGTGAATGGTGTAAGTCAACAGTTGACCCAATTAAAACAGTACTCAACGGTCAATGCATTGAAAGCCGCAAATAGCAACACAGGGCCAATACCATACACAATGCCGGTTCTCTTAACCGGTTGGTTTCACTAAATTTGGTAAAAATCTTTCATTAATTGATTAATGTAGAAAATTACATTGATTTGATGCGGCATTTATCCAACTCCAAGCCCATTTATTCGGTTCATTGTATGGTTATATTATATTGAAATTAAACTTTTGTGGAGCCAATAATTTGGATTGGTTCCATAAGGTAATAAAACAAAATAATACAAAAGTGTGTGGGAAAGGATGGATATTTCTGAGTCAGATATGGAGTGCCGTGTCTCACTCATTGCTTCACTTTATATCAAACTTTCAATATTATTGTTATTGGATCATATATATGGATTTTTCTATAAGGCAGTCAATTTCTCGATGATATTTTTGTTAGCTTTAACATAGGATAACAGAAACATGAAATATCTTTCGACCGTCGTACAATAAAGAATAAAAACAAGAGACATAATTTTTTTTTTTTTTTTTTTTTTAACAAGAGACATAATTCTCCATTTATATGTATCATATCAGATTATGTTTATGGCCTTTTGAATCTAAAGACATAGTTAATGGTGTTATTTTATGAGATAAGAACGTTTACTTGTCATTGGGCAAATAAATGTTTCTAAGTAGTATATATATATATATATGCATTTTTCATGGAGGTTTAATTAATTACTCCCTCCGTTTCAGTTTAGTTGTCGTTTTAGGATTTAAATTTTGTTTCATAATAGTTGTCGTTTTAGGTTTTCAATGCAAATGTTTGGTAAAAATTCCAGTTTTATCCCTACTGTTTTAATGTTTTGGCCAATGAATTTTTTTATAAAATATATTAATAAAAGGTAAAACAGAAAATTTAATGTTTTTCTTAATTTGTGTGAAAAAACCTTAAACGACAACTAAAACGAAACGGAGGGAGTATGCAATTAACTTGATATTTAATCACCATCAACTAATAAAGAACCTGAATGTATCCAGTATCCATTGATGCTTGTATATTTATTTCTATTAACCATTTTTTTTTTTATGTATGAAGTATTTTTTGTTAAAGTTGATTTTAATCCTTTAATTTCAACTTTCTTTAATTTTGAAATTTAAAATTGTACCATATTCTCTTAATCAATGTTTCAGTTTGGCTTGGTTTGGTTGCAACCTACAAAATTTTTTTTAGCAAGAATATTAAATTGTCCACCTATAAAATTTGATAGCAACATACAAAACTAGTTATTAAAATTGTATTCCATTAATGACGGTATTAGTTTAAAACCGAACTTCCCTTTCAGGTGATGCATGTTGGAATTAGTGAGTATTGACTTTGCAAACTTAATTTTCCTAATTAATAAATTAAATTGAAACATCAACAAAAATCAAACACTAAAACACAAAAGGGCATTGTGTAATCTTTAAACCTAGATTTGTGCAGTATCTCCTCCTGATTTTATTAAATCAATGAAAAAATTATATGGATTAGGTTTAGTTCTCCAAATTAAAAAGCTTATCTCTCTTTGTAGCCCTACGTACGATGCATACAACATCGGTCATTTGTTTACATCACATTCTTTCCAACTCATACTTATAAGTAAGCATCTAATAAAAATTATCAAATATGCATTTTTATGTAGAAAAGCATAAATGATGTAATAGCGATTAACTTTTAAAAAGATAGCTTTGCATCAGTGTCACATTGTGTGAGAGGTTAGGTTACTGGATAATTGATTTTATTATAATGAGATTGGATATCATTAAGATATAAATGTTATCAACTATGATCTTTTTGTTACAGTCATGATTTTATCATGGAGTATTTAGTAATCTATAGATATAATCAACTAACAATATAATATTACACGATCTTTTACATAGTTAGCTATTGATTTTCAAAATAAAATAATTTAGAAAAAAAAACGGAAAAGAAAGATCAAATCATAACGTGAAGTTTGATGATGGTAATTCATCTAAAGAAACGTATATGGGTCAATATTATTTTGCGCCATTGTCAAAATGTGATTCGTCTAGCAATAATTTTCTCTTCCCACTAAAGAATTAAAGATATACTTTTGAACTATCATTTCTACTAAATTCATAAAATTCTGAAAAATATGTAGGTCTTGAATAGTTGTGGTTTTTCAAATGGTTTTTAGATTTAATTTCTTCAAAAATCTATTTTATAACCATTTAAGATTTGGAAAAAAGGATTCCTTAAAACATAGGAAATTTAGATTCTAACAGTTTTTACTAATTTCTTAATAAAATTCAAAATCCCATTAATTGAGTTTTTGGGAATTTGTTCTACAAATTTTTTTCATTTGTTTTTTATTTATTTTTTGCAAAATCTATAATCTGAAAACCACTTAAAATCTTCCAAAAAAATTCATGGCCGTACTTTATGAACTTTCTAAGCAATAAATTTATATAGTTGTTGGAAATAAGTCTTAGCTATAAAAAATCAGCATAACATGTGGCAATCATGCGATTCAAATGAGTATTCGAAGAAGAAATTTTCTACGTCTACGTTAAAAAGTGGTCTCCCGCATTAGCATTAGTCTATTAAGATAAATACACAATCGAACAAATGCATCAAAGGATTGGATCATCGTGTGCATAAATAGTTGGCAACAAGACATAACGAGTACACTTTTCGAAAAAGAAATATACATATATGAACATCATTGTCATGAATACTCATGATCCCCGAATCGAATTTGATCCTATTACACACTCGATTCTCAGTTTCTCACTCTCTTTGCAGACAAACATTACTTTGCAGATAGTGAAAACTCTCATAAACACACAATGACACAAACACTTGTGTATAACACATGCGTAGTCTTATACTCTTATGTATTTTTTTTTCTTTTTAACCAAGTTCATCTATTTTCTACCTTTTGAATCCCAAGTTGGTGATATTTATATTCAGTATAATTTGGTACAATTTTTTTAACCTTGAAAAAACAAAAATTTGATTAAACCGACTCGAATAAACCGAACCGATTGAATGCTTGGACTTAAGTTTATGAGAATTTATTGTTTTAGTGAATGATAAAAATGTAATTTTTCAATAAAACGCTAAAATCTAGTTTTTGTAAATTAAATTTTTTTCAAAGTTTTATTTTAACACGTATATATCAAATATAGCACTATCATATTCGAAAACTAAAAACTTGAAAATTTTATTGATATTGTGAATGATAAAAATAGCAAAATTATATTTTCATAAATAATTGGTACACTTTTAACCAAAAAAATTGGTAAACATTAATCATCTTTCTGATAATTATGTTATGATTTAAACCCAAGTTTAAAAATAAAGAAAGCACCTGATGAAGAAACAAAGAAACATGTAATGGAATTGAGGATAGATATGAGATGTCAAATTGCAATAATGGAGCAAGACCTTTCTCAACACAAAAAATCATCTTTTGAAAAAAATGAAAAAATATCACAACTTTTGAGCAATGGAAATAGTTATCAAACTCTCACAACCAATAAATGTGATGACTATATAATATTTTTGGTGGAAAAAAAAGAGTAAAATAATAGAAAGAGAGAGAGATAAGACCAAAGAAGGACAGAAAGATATTTTTAAAATAACAAAAAAAAAGGAAATAATCAAATCAAATTAGAAAATTCCAAGAGGGTTCCTTGAACCCAACGCTTCTTAGGTTCGGGACTTTAGGTTCGGAATTAGGTTCGGAAATATTATAGTCGACATTGGGAGGATAAGTAGGACTCTTTCTCATTGCTTTTCGCTTCGTCTTCTCTCTAAAACTCTTTCTCTGCAAGAAACCAATCTCTCTCTCTTTCGCTTTCTTAAACCCTTTCTCTCTCTAAAACCCTTCCTTTTTTAAGTAAAAAGTTTTGGTGCTGACTCAAAAAAAGGTTCGGTCTTTTACTGCATTTTGAAATGGCGATTGAAGATTACGAGAACCCAAATCGAGAAATCAAACCTAAGAACAGAAGAAGCTTCATGGTAATTCTTATCATAAACCCTTTTCTACATTATCACATTGTTCAAACTCTGTTTTCTCATTGTTAATTCATAGTTTTTTCCTCTGTTTACATTGTCTACTCTTTGTGTTTATACGAATCTTTTACTCCTTAATTTTCGATTCTAAGATTTGGGTTTTCGTTGAATTGGAAATTTTCACTGGAAACAATACAGTTTTGTTTTTTTTTCCCTAATTTCTGGTTTTAGATGTTCAAATTGAAAATGCTCTGTTTTGGTGTAAAGAACAATGCTTTCGTTTTTCTTGGAAGAATCTAAACAATGTTCTTTGGAAAATTCATTATTGATTCATTAAATAATTAAATTTATGTGTCAAAAAGAACAATGCTTGAAGCGTTTGAATAATGTAGTTGGTAGATTAGGGTTTTAAATTGGGGGAAAATAGAGAAGATGAAGAATCTTGAGATTAAAATTAGGATCTTTATCGAACTAGATTCACGGCTTAATATTCGATTCCGTACTTATCGCTCTTAAAATTGCTTTTGTTTTTATAACAACTTCAAAAAAAAAAAAACAGAATATATTCTTCAACGAATTTCGGGATTCATTATTATCTTTGGTTGCAAGATTATAAATAAAGATTAACCATTAGAGTCAAGAGTCTCCTCAAGTCTATGTAAAGGAGGAGACTTTTGATACGTATAAGTCAAAAAACTGTTTTTTGTCTTTGGGATAATGGCTAATGAGTTATGGTGTTTGCAGGAAGAAGAGAATCAATGGCCTCTATGGCTGAAACCTTTACTAAACGAACGCTTCTTTGTTCAATGCAAGTCTCATGTACACTCACCGAAAAGCGAATGCAATATGTATTGCTTAGACTGTACCAAAAACTCGCTTTGTTCTCTCTGTCTTAATGACCACAAGAACCATCGTACCATTCAGGTATGTTGTTGCATTTCCCAAACCAAAGTTCTCTTGTTGTTGTTTTTTTTTTTTTCGGTTTTGAATGTTAAGAAGTTGTTGGTTTGTTGCAGATAAGGATATCATCTTATCATCATGTGATAAGGGTCAATGAGATACAGAAGTACTTAGACATATCAAGCATTCAGACATATGTGATCAATGGCGCAAAGGTTTTGTTCTTGAAGGAGAGGCCTCAGTCTAGGCCTGGTAAAGGGGTTACTAATACCTGCAAGGTCTGTTATCGTGGCCTTGTCGAAAACTGCTTCCGCTTCTGCTCTATTGGCTGCAAGGTACATTTACCTACTTACACTCCAATTACCATTCACTCTTGCTTGTTTACTGATATGGAAAAGAACACAATCTAGGGACAAATTCTTGACACTTTGAACATCTATTACCAGACTTTCCCTTGTTATGTGGTTCCTTTTAGTTAATTACAGAAGAAAAGTTTGAAACTCTAGAGTTTTGGTCGTCTTTTTCTTGCACACTTCGATAACTCTGAGCAAAAAGTCTTTCTTCTGATAAACTTCTTCTCTGTGTTTTTGTGGTATTTGAATCAAAAGGTTGCAGGAACATCTGGAAGCTTTGAGAAGAGAGTTAAGCATACACAGAATGAATCAGACAATTCATGCAACAGTTCTGGAGTGGAGAATAACAGTTCAGGAGCAGAGAATGACAATTCAAATCTGCAGAGTCTCAGCCCACCAACACCTCAATTTCCTCCTGGTTCTCTGCGAAAGCGACATAGAAAGGGAATTCCTTACCGATCTCCACTGAGTTGAGATTGAATCAAGAAGAAGAAGAAGAAGCTTGTGTTACGTTTTCAGTTTTCCTTAATATACGAGACACCAAAAGATAGTGCTATGAATTAGTCAAGTAGCTAGTAAGTGTATAGATACAATATCTTCTTGTAAAGTTTTAGTGTGATGCAATGAGTGATATTATGGTGTTTTTAAGTATGAGAATGTTGGTTCTATGACTATGTCTTTGTTGCAAAATTTGGTTTTTGATAGATTATATAACAATAACAGATGATTAATTAAGTTTCACAAACCCAGATCAAAGAGATATACAACATATTCCTCCAGTTACAATAAATGTTCTGGTAGTACACATTAAAAAAACAGACTACAGGGGCCAAAACGTAGAGAAACTAAAGTAAAGGAATCCAATAAGTTTTAAAATTCCTCACAGTTTTGCCACTAAACTTCTCATCTTGATCAAGTATAACCCTGCTTGTACTTCCTGAAGATATCCTCAGTTTCCGCATTTCGGAACGCGCAGCAACCGATAATGTAAACGATGATCAACCCGATTAGCGCCAAAAGGAGAAAGAGATCCGCTTTTAACCAATCTACCTTAATATTTGCGAGCAAACCGGCTTTACAAGAATCACAACTATAACACAAAGTGTTTTGATCATTGCTCCATTGTAGACAATCCATATCAGCAGACATATCTATGGGACTTATCCAATAAGTTGGGTTTACAAATGTGAAACCACATTTTGTTGGGGGCTTGCAGCAACCAGACTGAAAATAAAGAAATGGGGTTAGATTTAAATAAAATATAAATATCGGGCCAAAAAAAGTAATTCGGCGTGACTGATTAAGTGCACATAGTGGAAGAATCTAGAAAGTTGGGACGTTTTATATTATTTTATTAAAAGGTTAAAACTTTTCCAGTTTTTGGTTCCCACAAAGCCTATAAGCTAAGAATCATTTTCTATTTTATAATCATCACCTCTTCCACCTGTTCTTTTCGTGGCCATTCCATTTTCCCCTTGTACTTTTTATTTATTCAATTTACACCCTAAATTTGAATTTCCTTAAAACAAAAGAGAAATGTGATATATACTTATGAAAATTTCAACTTTATTCAAAAGGATCTTATTTCAGGTCTTTTTTAGACAAACCTAACAAGCTAAGCACCAATGTTATCTTTCATTATCACCCCTATATTTTCATGCCCATTCTACTTTCACCCTCATACTTTTTTCTATTCAATTTACACCCTAATTTTCTTCAATCAATGAAACAAACTAACACAAAAAACTAATTAAACTACAAGGAACAAAGAAAGAAAACAGCAGAAAAAAGGTAAACTGCAGCAAGAACTAAGAATCACCAAAAACTTGAAGGGGCAAAAGAGTCAAAATCAAGAATTAAGGGGCAAAAGATACTTACTTGAATGGGATCAAGATGAGCATTGAAGAAATCAAGAGCCAAAGTGTATCTCTGATTAAGTTCAGGGCAAATAGAAGTAGTACTCAAACAAGTACGAATCCTTTCCCATTTATAAGATCTCTGAACTCTTCTACGTAACCAAGTAGAGTAATCTTGAAGACTATACTCAAGATAAGCTCTACTAGGTTCTGGATGACCAGCGCCTTTAATGGTAACCATGTAAATAAATCCGACAAGAACACCCAAAAGTACAATGAGAACAAGCATGGCTATTAAGTAAACAACAAGAAGCCATGTTATTCTCCAAAACCCTCCAATGAAACCAGCGAGACCTACTAAGAGGATCAAGACTCCGAGGATTATTACTGGCCATTGAAGAATCTTGACGCAGGAGTTTACTGTTCCGATGGCTAGCCAGATTCCGGCGCCGATGACCGGAATAGAGAGGAGGACGGTGATGAAGTTAATGCAACCGATTACATTGTTGCTTAAAGGCATCTTTTTTGGGAGAGGTGAGAGTTTTTAACTCTGTTTTTGTGTTCTTGAAATCTGTTTGGTTTGAATAGAGAGAGAGAGATAGAATTAAAACTAAAGAGAGACAGAAAAAGAAAAAGATTCACATGTGTGAAAAGTGAATAATGTTTTATAAATATTTTTTTGGTTTGAGGGGATTTAGTGTAATGGTAATAACTTTGAGAGAGGAAGATTTACATGTGTGAAAATGAATCATGCTTTTATAAAAAAAGAAGTAATTATTTGAAAAAAGAGTGGATTTATCATTTCTTAAATTAGGTATATTGACTTTATCTTTCTTAAAAGAGAAAAAAAATCAAAGCTATATATTATTACACTTTTGAAAGTATATATTTAAAATTAGTGTATTGGTTTTCAATTTTGATTACCAAAGGTGAGTACAAAATAATGTTGATTTTAATGAGTTAATCATAAGAAAATTTTGGGAAGATGAGTAGATGACACACTAATTGACAGATACCCAAAGTGTCTAGTTATCATTACTCTATTTAAAGTGAGTAAAAGATAAGTATTGATGAATTAAACAAAATTCTAAAAGAAAAATTAATTTAAATACACATTTCTTACTTTGAAAATAGATAGTTAATTTTCATTATTTTTTTAAATTTCGATTATATTTATGCTTTAAAAAATTATGAAGAGCTTATAATGATTAAATTTAAATCTTAAAAAATAACAGTTCAAACTAAAAACAATCTTGAAAAATTAACTAGTAAAAACTGAAAATGCAGATTCAGGGAATAGCAAACTGATGGACATCAAAGAGATGTTTATATATGATAAAGTTTCATCAGATTATATCAAATGACTAAGCTGCTGACATGGACGCGAGAGCTAACGTGGCAGAGCTGGAGTGGATGGTGTGAAGATGAGGTACGTTATACAAGTCGAGTCTCTCTTAATCATATAGTTCATTATGAAATCGAACTGAAAATTATCTTTCTTAAAAATACTAGTATCTCTTCCATACTCACTAAAATCACCATTGATAGTAACCTTCTGTAAAAATTATCATTTGGTCCTCGATATATATATATATATATATTTAGCATCCGTATACAATAAAATTTGTACGTGATTCACTCAAATTAAGAAACATACAAAACTTTTAAAAGAGAAATTAACACGACAATGTATTAGTTGAAAAATTTATTTAAAATATCAATTTCGTTTGGCGATAATTTCAAATTAATTTTTAATTAATAATTATACATTTTGATTGTGAACACGACATGTAAGTGTTTTATGCAAAATGACTTCGATAACATATAGCTATGTTTAGTGTCACATGATCACACTAGCTAATTGTTTCAACAAATATTTCGAATCTTTATCTTATTTTCAAGTTTCAAATATCATTAAATAAACTATAAAGGTACATATTAATAAAACACAAAACAAAAATCATATTCATATCCTAATCTCTTTATATATATGCAAACAATCCAAAAAATAAAAATCTGAGTTGTTCCATTCATATTTTGCGTAAACTGTAAGACAAAATGGCACTCTAAGATGAGTTGTGATGCAATCGTTAAGACCAAGACTTATCAAAAATCTGATGCAATTTTTGAAGCTGCAGCTAAGAGTCTATGATGGAGGAAATGCGAAAATTGTCTGATAATAGTGAAGCATGTTGAAGGGTGCAAGCACATGACCTACATGTATAGTGTTTCTCAGTGAGTTTTTTTTTATTGTGTAAAAGTATGTGTTGGATACTTACTAAGATTGATTTGTTGTTTTAGTCTTCAAAGTCGTTGCAAGCACGAGTTTTATTACACCTGTAAAACTAAATATTCAAAAATGATAAATTCATTAAAAAAAAGTTAAAAATAGCAAACTCTATAAATGCCATTCCAAAAAATCTGTAATAATCTTTTGTTTCTATTTATAATAAACAACACAATACCCTTCGTAGAACGAACCAGATATGTGAAAAATGTGAACATGTTGACCAAATTCACATGTAGTCCAAAAGAGATAATGAAGAAAATCTTTATTACGTGAAGAAAAGTCAAGAATTCCACTTCTTTATGAGTACAAGATCGTTGGTACCCAAAAAACAGCGGGTACCCAAAAAAATTGTGTATTGTACCAAAAATGATGAGCATTTATCATCCTATCCGGTATGAGTGCAAATTAAGTCGAAAGATAGCAAAAATTTATACATCAAATAAAGCCAGACTTATATATCAAATAAAGCCCATCTATAAAAGATTTAAACTATTATGGGCCACTGAAAAAAGGTCCATAAAATAGTGTTGTGGATGTTGATGGTAATATAACAACATAAGCTACCGAACACAACAATCTCACTCGCAATGATGACCGATGTCTCAAATCTAATGTAACAGTAGATCTAAATTAATTTATCACAAACAAGATTTAGATACTATTGAGGATAAGTTCGTATATTGTTATACGATTATGGTTCTGTTAGGATAAAATCTCATAGCCCTATAGTTTAGGTGTTTCAACTTATCTTAGACGTTGAGTCTCTTGTATAAATACACAAGTTGTGTTCATTAATAAAATCAAGTTGGATCAATACCTAAATCTACAGATACGATTAAACGTAAGATATTTTATTAGATTTTCCATTTGCATGTTAGAACTTAGAATCTTAAATTGGATAACGATCGATCTTTATAAAGTGTTAGCCCTTGAAATTTTATAAACACCCTTAAAAAGATGTTTAGTCTAACTAACTAATATCCAAGATCGAGAGCTTAGCTGAAAAATGTGATGATTTATATAAATAAGAATCCAATTATATATAAAAAAAAATTCAAACACTCACAAGTGTGCTAATTTATAACTTACTATCAGAAAATGCATAAAGAGAAGAGTAAAACAACTAACATGTTATGTGCCATTGTAAATTCACATTTAGTCTTTACAGAGTCAGAAAAAGAACCTAGGAATTAAAAAGAAAGCTTATACCTTTCTTTATTCTATGTGATAAAATTCAAAGAAGGAACAACAAAAAAAAAAAAAGAGATCTCTCAGAGAGAATGAGTGGCATTTGAGTGATTCAAAGAGAAGTCAAATGGTAATTCTGACATTGATGAATAACAAAAAGGCTCCTCTTCAATGATACTTAGCATGTGGTGAACTGCTCCTGCAATGTCATCTACTGAACTTAGCTGGCAACTCTCTTCCACCTTTCAAGATCCAAATAAGAAAATGATATAAAATTTACAATTTTAACCCCTGAAAATAACATTATGTGAATTTCGAAGAAAAAGGTCAAATAATAATATTTCACGTGGCAATAATTGAACCTGTTTTCAAGAAATAGGTGAAAAAAATAAGAAAAATGACTCCACCAAGTATGGTAATAAATGTTGGACCAAATCTAGTTAAGAGTTCATAGACATTCCTTTTATATGCTCTGTCCCTTGGACCGCACATAATCTACCGTCTAGCTTTAAATTCGTAACACATATTCCCAAAATACCCCTCCAATTGTATTTGAACAAATCCGGTTTAGCTCTGAGTTGAGTCAATTATGATGCTAAGAGTTGTGGTACCATAGTGCTCATTAGAGTAAAAATAGCAGAAATGTTCGGTTTAGTATGGTTTAGTGCGGTTAAGATGATAGGGGTTTTATTATATTACCTTAGCGCTGATGGAGTAAATAGCATAAGTGTCCAATGTTGTGACACTAAGGTGAAGAATGGAGAGGGAAAGCGATTGTAGAGCAGCCACCAGCTTCGAAAGCTGCGGCGGTCTGGTGGTGGCCATCGTGCTCCATCGGAAACCTCTTCTTCTCGACAAGATTCTGATGTTAGCATGAGTTTCGATTAGAGTCACCTCAAGATCTTCCATAGGGGTTTTCACCGAGCTTGTTGAGCCGTTCCTATTCTCTTGGCTCGGATCGTATGAGTGAAGAAAGAACTGCGATAGAGATAGTGAAGACGGTTGATGAGGATTCTCATGTTCACCATTTGAGTCTTGACTTGTTGAAGAAGTAACCGACTGGTTTAATTTAGCATTATGAAGCTTTTGAGCTTCAAGAGATAGTAATTTGTGTTCAAGTTCTTTGATGAAATCTATGGCTCCACCAACTATTGAAGCTTGATCACCCTTTCATGGAAAAAAAATCCACCAAAAAATAAACATATAAGTAAACAAATAAAAACCCAAATATATTTGTTTAAACCCTTTTAAAGAATTGGCCATAATTATTGAAACTCGAATAAAAGATTTAAACCGTTATAATGAATCTTTCATAAAAATTCGAAACTTTTCATCATTTTCAGTGAACTCTCAATATAAATTGAAACCCATATCAAAATAGTAAACCTTTTTAAAAAATACTCCATAAAAATTAAAACCCTAGTTGAAAATTTGTGAACATTTTTTTTTTGTTTAAGGATCTAAATTATGTAAACATTAAAAAAAAAACATCCATCAAAATTAAACCTTGTGAGCAAAAGGTTGAGGCATGAGAGATCGCAAGACAGAGAGATGTTGATTCATTTGTCTTCTTCGGTTTCTTTCGACGGCAATGTGAGTCATTCGTTGATTCTCAGCTTCTTCTTCGTTTTTGCAAACCCTAGGCTTCCTCCTCCTTCGCTTCTTCCCTCGATTCGTCGCTGGTGGTTGTCGCGGTGGTGGCGGTTCTTGAAGAGATATCTCCGGAATTGTCTTCGTGGATATGATGACATCATTTTCCGGCAATGGCTCGAGATCCACGAGAGACTTGAATGGAGTTGGTGAAAGAGTTTCGGAGAGCAAAAAGTTTAAGAGACCGTTTGATGATAAAGCTTCTAGAGTCATTTTGCTCTTCACGACGTTTATTCCTTATTGAATTACTAAGTATCATTGATTTATATAGCATCATTCCAAATCTTTCATTTATTATTGTTTTTATATAAAGTTAAAAAAAATTTGTGGGCGAAAACGACATTTTCGAAAAAATAAAAGGCAATGATTAAAAGGAAAAAAAAATGACAAACGTTGAAGCTATGGTGCTCTGAGTGTGTACATGTGAGACATTATTTGATTGTGATCGGTACTATCATGGAAGGGTAGCTTCTGAAGAAACCTTAGTTATGGAATTTGCTGAATGACATACTTTTTCATTGAATTTTGTAAAAGTTTGATTATTGTTTATTGATAAAAACATGCATAATCACAATCATTTTTATGTTTCCACATATTGTTATACTCTTGGCTAACTTATAGTTACAAACCTAGACTCTAAAGGAAGAGATATAAAGATCATATATATGCTTTCTCAATATACAAGAAAATAACCTTTTTCAGACATTTATCCATCGTATTTATATAATTCAAAAGAATTTGGAAAAAAAAATCATAAACTAGATATATTCGATGTAAGTTAACAATTCAGCCAGATTTAACCGATCGACTGAGTTATCGACGCTGAAGAAAATATCATGTTTTGATATATGGTTAAAAGAGATGTCTAAGAGTTGGGGGGAAAAAAATGACACAAAGTGTGTAAATTGTAATCATCTCCCAAAATCATAACGTACAATTTTTTTTTTCAACGAACTCATAGTGTATAAATAAATATAAAATGCATATGTATTGAGATGAGAAAAGGATTAGAGAAGGAAGAAGAGAAATGGAGTGCTGGTGGCACGTGAGATGGGTCAGAGAGAGTCCAAGGTCTTGTTATTTTCTCGAAATTGTGGACCATTCTTTCTTTTTCACTTAATTACCCTTTTTACTCCCCTAAAAACCTATAAACTTTTTACATTTTTTTCAAGTTTCAACCCAAAAAGAACTTTTTGCAACCCCCAAAAGAAATCCTTTATATCATACATTATTTTTTATTTTATTTTTGTTAAACTAAACATATCATACATTATTCTTGTTAGTTGCAAAACTCAAATTTCAATACAGAAATGCAAACACACTTGTTTCGATGAAAAACGAAAGAAAACTCAATCATCTAAATGGAGACCAAATTCCAAATATTCGACTCAAGAAGAAAAACAAATGGGACCAAACCGGTTAGGTATTTAGCAATGTTGGACCGTGGGGACCGGACAATAACATACACATAAAGAGACAAATGAGTGCTGGAAGAAAGCAAAATTTCACAATTGCTATTTATTTTCCTCTTGAATATATATCCATAAGATTTTTAATACATGTATAATATTGGGAAAAGTGAGTAATTATTATTTATTAATTGCAATTGTATGCTTATAATTAAAAAAGGACTGTCTCCATTTCATCAGTCAGTTTTGTTTGCACATTAGAAGGACCAGAAGAAGCTATGACGGTAAAAAACACAGCCCGTGATTTAAAATAAAATTCTCTATTTATTTAAATTACTTTTTAACTATCTGCACTTTTCTGTTTTTTTCTGATACAAAATGTCAGATCTCTCAAAAACAAAAACGTTAACTTTCACGAATTAGACAACAGCTCCGGACACAAAATCTATCAAATATTTTTGGTAACAGAAACAAAACACTCCATGCAAAATTCTACAATTGATAAAGTATACAACCAAATTAACGACCAATAATTAGACTTCAACTACTATATTTGTTTATTCTTTTAAGACTTAACATTTTTTTTTTTTTTTTTTTTTTTTTTTAAGACTTAACAATTGCCTTTGCTCTAATACCCAAAAAAGGGAAATGTTAACTTTAAATGGTTAGCAAACGAAAATCGAACAAGGTTACACTAGTGTTTTTTTTGTGATAGGTATGCACACTCCTTTTTTTTTTTTAATTTCGTTTGTTTTTTTCGATTTCGGATTTTCGGTTTTCGGTTTTCAAAACATAGGTCCGAACTAAAACAAAATTTTACTTCCGTTCACTTCGATATGAAATGTTTTGATTTGGTTTGGATCCGTTCGGTTTTGTATTAATAAGTTAAATAAAATGAAATAAATATACTAATTATGATTAATATTATAAAATTTTGTATATTGAAATAATGAAATTTATTTTTATCTGTTTAACTAAAATATTAATTTTATGGATTTATTTGTTTCCGATCGGTTGCATGATTGCATGATTTGCATCAACTTTGGATTTGGTTTGAGTTCTTTTGATACAAATTTTCTTTTGTGACCTTTAGGGTTAGAATTATTTCAGGAATAAAATAAAAAAGTTTGGTCCAAAATTTCAGTTCGATTTGTTATTTATTATACCCACCACCAGGTTTTTTGGATAATCTCAGTATTTAATTAACAGTTGCTAATAAAATTCACATTATCTAATTAAGTATACACACTTAACAACAATCAGTCTCTATTTGTGTTGCTTAATCCAAAAATTATAATCTCTTAATTTCTTTGACAAGCAACAATGACCGTTTGCTTCCAATTCCAATGTCTCTATCTCTTATCAAGATTTAACTTAAAAAGATTCCTGTGTATGTTTTATAAACCCATAAAACGTGTCTACTCTAATCTGATTCGTTGTATCAACAAACAAACACGTGTTCATGTCTCTTAAAATTTACGAAAACATCATCTCTAACATGCAATAGATCTTTGTACTTATGTAAAGAGATTAAGAGAAGTCAGTGTAACATTTTACAAAGTCCGAGAAACAGAGAGACAAGAACAACAAAGAGGACGAAGAGCAGACACTGTTCTTGTCAGATTTGTCCACGTCGTGAGACTAGACTCAGTCTTATCTTTAGTCCTCTGCAAAAAAAAAAATTCTTACTGTTTTCTGTTAAAAACAAAGAAACCTAAATAGTAAAAAGTTGTATAGAGAAAGTTCAAAGTTCAAAGATTAGCTTTTTAACTGTGTTCAGAAGCAGCACATGAGTAACATGGCTTCGTTTTGGGACCAGTGGTTTCAAAAGTGGCGTCTTTGGTCAGTTGTCTGAAGTTACTTTGGTCCGTTAAAAACACTGTGACCAAAACTCTAATCAAATAACTAAATTAAACAAAGGAGATACACTTAGCCTAAAAAATTATCAGATAATTTAGCTATATTTAAGAGCTTGTTGCTCAATATCTGATCTCAATTCATTGATGTTGTTGAAGAAAGTTTGGCTAATATTACAAATATATCTTCAAATGGTTAAGAGAGTTCTCGATTATCGACTATAATTTAGTATGAAACAGCCCTTATGCTCTCATGTACAAATCAAATTTCTTCTATATGATACTCTCAATGTCTTTAGGATACATTAGTGCATTACACTCAATAGCTGCTTTGATTTTGAAATGTGTCTTCCTTGCTGCTTGGTGAGATACCGTCTCCCGTAAACCGGACAACACTGCTCGTCTAGCCGATGACGGAATCTTCATTCCTTTGTTGTAACACGACAAGAGCAGCTTCGAAGCACAAACAAGCCGCCCGTCTTTGCATAGATTATGCACAACAGAAGTGTAAGTGAACTCATCTCTAACTTCCATTGACGCAAACAACCTCATCGCACGATCTACGTGGCCCGCTTTGCACAACCCATCAATCAAACAGTTACAAGTGACGACACTCGGCTGCATCCCCATCTCTCCGATACGTGCCAAATGCTTCTCGGCTCCTCCCGTATGGCCTATCTTTAACAAACCATTGACTATAATCGTATGCGTGTAGTCATCAGGTTTCAATCCTTTCATCTCAATCTCCTCCAATAGATCATCCACTGCATCCAAATTCCCATCTTTAAAATACATATTCAACAACGTGTTGTACGAAACAATGTCTTGACTCCGTGTACCGCTTCTCACAAGCTCGTTCATACACCCATACGCCTCCTCTGCTCTTCCGGTTTTAATCAAAGCACTAACAACCGCACAATTCGCATACCCATCAAACGTATACCCTTCTCTCTTCATCTTCAAAAACAGTACAAGCCCTTTCTCAATCCTCTTAGTCTTAAAATACATTTTAAGCACCGTTGTATACGTAACCGCATTCGGAGTATAACCCGATTTCCTAAGCTCTCTCAGCATCCAATTCACAGAACCAACCCTTCTCGCTTTACAAAGACCATTAATAAGAATATTATACGTCATAAGCTCCGGTTTAACCCGACTCTTCAAATGCTTAAACAACTCAATCGCATTATCCGTATGACCGCTTTTACAAAGCGCATCAAGCAGAATATTATACGTATCAATCCCCGGAACCAACCCAGCTAAACGAATATCCTCATGAAGAATCCGAAACGCTTCTCCATGTTTCCCTAATTTGAAGTAACAAGACATTAAAGTATTATAACTCCACATATCAGGAGACAAACCTGAGTGAAGCATTTCGTCGAACAGTTGGAGTACACGATTCAACATCAAGTTTTTAGCAGCTCCAGAGATCAATGAATTATAAGTAGCAACATCAGGTTCGATACCAGCTTCTCTCATACGACGTGTAACAGCATAAGCTTCATCGATTCCAATGAAACGAGAGTAACCTTTGATTAAAGTGTTGTAAGTGATAACATCTGGAAGAACACCTAATCTGATTCCGTCTACGAGTAACGTTTCTGCTTTCTCCAAGTTTCGGAATTTGCAGAGAGAATCAACGCTTATGTTTAATAACTTCGTTGAGATTCCTGGGAATTTCAGCAATCCACGAACCATTCTCCGAGAGATTACTACTAAATCGAATCAACATAGAAGAAGAATTGTTAGGTTATTTAGGTAATTTGGTTGCATTGAAACGTGAGGATCACGTATTTTGACAGATATGGAAGAAACTCGAGAATTCAGAAAAAAAAAAATCGAGAATTTAGGAGCAGAGCTTGACGATGACGAATTTTGGTCTTGTAAAACGACGTCGTGTAATACAAGACTAAGTTAAAACGTTGTCGTTTGAGTTTACAAGCCATCCTCGCAATTAAAACGACGCCGTGTAATACTAACTTAAAACGCTGTCGTTTGTTTTATATTGACCATCCTCGCAAGTGAAACGACGTCGTATAGATAAAGAAATAATCTTTGTAATTACCTAGGAAGCACGGAAGCTTCGTCAGAGGTCCGCTTCCCGCTTCGGAATCTTAGTCGGAATCGGAAGCTCTTGGAAGCTTTCGGAATCTCGCTTCCACAGCGTTTCTGAAAAATTCATTTTGGAAGCTCGTTGGAAGCTTACGATTCTATTTTGGAAGCTTGCGCTTCTATTTTAAAAATTTGATGTCACAAAATAAATAAGAAATATGAAATTATTTTTGATAGTTTTTAAATACAACAAAAGAAAAACCAAAACTAACTTTGCATACTAATTTTGTATTTTATTTTAAAAAATATCATAGTTAGAAAAATGACAGCATCATGGATCATTTATTTGGGAGATGTTGAAATGATTAATTGAATTAAATTAATTTCGAGAAACTTTAGTTTGATGATGTTTTTATCGGTAAAAAAAATTTAAAACAATTTTATTTGATGGAATTAGTAAAATGAGTATGAAGATAATAATCTTAAATTTTTGACTTTGAACTGTACACTATTTGATTTTTAAATATAGAGAGGTATTTAGAATTTATGTATTAGATTTGTGTATTAATTATAATTTTGTTATATGATATAATGTTTAATGTTTATTATATATGTATATATATTAATTTTTATATACGCTTCCAACACGTACCCACTTTCTATAATTTCTATAAAAATCGCTTCCACGTTTCCAAACGCTTCGCTTCCGCGTACCCGCTTCTGATTCCATGCAACCTAGGTAATTACTAATTAGGAAAAAGAAATCTTTGTTTCGACGGTCACTTCTCACTTTTGACCGAATTTTTTTGAATGAATTAGCCGTTGTGTTTAACGGTAACTTTTTTTTTAATAAGTAACGGTAACTTTTAAACGGCTAAATTTCTGAGTTCTAATTCTCTATATATACGTCGTTAGTGTTAACCATAATAAAGATTAAAAAATCATTCCAATTCAAAAGTCTCTGTTTTTTTTTTTTTAATTTTCAGTTTATTTAGTTTTTGTTCATCGTTACAAATCAAATCATCGTTCAAAGAAGAAAAATTCAAGTAAGTTCGAAATCTAAATCTTTTTTCTCATGTATTATTATGATTCTGGTTTGGGAGATTTTTATAAATATACCAAATTATATAAGAAATTTGAAAACTACACTAAGTGTTATAGTAATTTGAAAACTACTTTTTTGTATTAAAAATTTACCATAATACCCTTTCTATTAATTTAAGTACTATTTAAATTAATAAATTAAAAATAATATAAAAATTTTAAATAACTAAAATTCGTTATTATTTATTAATAATAAAAATCAAAAACTTATTTACAATTTTGGGGTAATCATATATTATCTAAAATTTTGAATAAATCAAAAATAAAAAATATTATTGTTGATAATATTAGTAAGATTTGTAATTTATTTAAAATAAATAATTTCAAACTATATAACTTATAATAAAAAAAAAAATTCTTCTTATTTTTTGGTAAATTTATTCATTTTATGTTAATTTATTGATAAATTCGATTTTTTTTGAACTTTCGACTTATTTTTTACTTTTGTTTACTTAATTTTCTTTTCTGTTGACTTATTATACAACACTCAGCTTATATTTTGACTAGTTGATTTATAAAATAGTCGATTTTTTGAACTACTGACTTATGTATTTTGTTCATTGATTTATAATTTTTGTTGTCGACATGTTAATTCATGGTAGACTTAATTCATTCTATGTTGACTAATTAATAAGATCGATTTTTTGAACTGTCGACTTATATTTTATTTCGTTGACTAAATTTATTTTCTATCGACTTATTTTAAAACAGTCGACTTATATTTTGGTTGATTGATATTTGAAATACTCGACTTTTTTAAACTAATGACTTATTTAATATTACATCGATTTATTGATAAGGTAGATTTGTTGAACTGTCGACTTATATTTTATTTTTATCGACTTAATTTTCTTCTCTATTGACTTATATTAAAACAGCTGACTTGTATTTTGGTTAATGGATTTCTTACATTGTCGATTCTTTTGAACTATTGATTTGTTTTTTTTCTTGAATAGAGATAATTATTTTTAGTTATAATATTTAAATTAATAATTTATTTTGGAATTAAATTTAAATTATATAATTTATATTCATAAAAAATTTAAAATAAATATAGTGCATATATATATTATATATCTCAAAAATATTAACTATGAAAAAATCTAAAAAATATTTTTTATATATAATTAAAATTCGTAGTTAATATTAAACCAATCATTATCCAAAATATTTACTACATCAACCCAAAATCTAGATAATTTTATTATATGATTAAAAGTCAAAATTTATATCATAATTATTAGTTTAGTTTCATCATTATCTAACATTTTCACAAAAAAAAAAAAATAAAAAAATTGAGCATATAATTTTTTAATATGAACAGTTTAATTTTGAATTTTAAATAATATTTGTAAAAACTAACTAATCAAATTATTTTATTTTCATTTTCTGAATTTTTAGTTATTAATTAAGGACAAAAATGTCATTTTGAACAAAGAATAAGATACATCTCAAATTGTTAAAAATTATAGTATACATTTCAAATTTCCAATAAAATTTAGGGTATACAATCTAATTATTCCTTCTGGTTTCAAAGTTTTTGTGTTTTCTCAAAATCGAATCCTCTTTCTTATGTTTTCTCATACCCTGTTTCAAGACAACTGAATTTGTTCTTGTTTTGATTCTCTGTGTTGTGTGTTTTTGGACTCATTATACTAATCTGATTCATTCTTCTGTTATGATTGCAGATTCTGGGTAGCAAAATTCTGGAAAAATGTGGAAACTTTTGGAAAGTTCATGATCAACTTAAACCGTAAAGAGACAAAACTTTATATCAAGTAAGTTTAAATCTAACCTTGAATTATGTGCTATGTTTATTACTCGTAATCTGATTTCTAATTTTCAACCTGGAATGATATGTAGCTTCATGATCTTGTTGATGTTTTAGTCGCTTTTTAATATGTCTCTTGCATGTTGTTATCTGAAATTGGATTGGAATTAACTAGGGTTATTGTAAATCGTTATTAAGGAGTCACAATCGAATTTGTTTCTCTGCTTTATGTTTTCTGGATTTCTATGGGAAATCATCATTAGACTAATCTAATTCATTGTTCTGTTACGATTATAGATTTTGGGTTGCCAAATTATGCTCCAAGTTTAATTCGATGTTCTTCTCTAATTATAGGAAACAAAACTAATTAATCGTTTTGCTAAATCAACAGCTTTTGAGTTGCCGGAAAAAATGTAGAAGCTGTTTGAGAAAGGTAAAACCGTTCATAACGAGACAAAATTATCAAGTAAGTTGAAATCTAAATTCCAATACGCTTCTTCATGTTGATCGTTTAGTCGTTTTAGAATGGCACTTGTGCATGTTTTGCGTTTAAACTTGGCTATTTTAAAATTTGTTACAGTTCATATGTTATAGAAAAAAAGTGGAATGTTTTTTGTCAAGTTATTGAGATAACAAATTTCACATTTGCATAGACAATTTCTTCAAAAGATTTGATATAATCTTAACAATTTCACAAATTATATACAATTTCACATTTGCATAGACAATTGAACTCACTTTAAACATAGATTATATAATTTAGTTGAGAAACTCGAACACGTTTATAGATTTGATATATAATCTAACAATTTCACAAATTTCACAAATTGTTATTGAACTCACATGGAGTATAGATTTAGTTGACTAATGTGGCACATGTTTATAGATTATAAATATAGTAAACTAGCTACCGAGTGTTGTACATTCTGTCCGTTGTACATGCGGAATCCGAGTGTATCTTTGTGGGAGATGGACATCATAATCGTAATAAAATCTATGTACAAATATCTTCGCAGGTTGACAACTCCCATAGCTCATTTGGTAGTGTACAAAACCAGCCTACGATCACAAGAGTCTGTATTTTGTCAGCAACCTTCAATGCTTCATTTTTTGCTAATCGTGGATCTCGATCAATATTGTCATGAAGTTTTTTCATTTCGTGCGTTCCAAAAGTATCACATAGTCCAAGAAAAACTAGAATTATTGGCATATGTTGGTGTTTTCCAAAACAAGTGATCGATATTCACATACAGCGATTTACACCGTTGGTATTAAATAACTCTAATGATGATGTAATAAGACGACAAAAAAATCTTGTAAATTAAAATTGCCAAATTAATTAACGGAAATAAACATAAACAACTTCCCGTCTATTTTAAAATTGCGATAATAAACAGAATACAGAAACAACTTCCTATTTTAAGGTGTCTTTTTTTTTGCATTCGAAATTAATTAGAGCTCAAAGAGGCATTCCTGAGAAATGTTGTTTACTGTTACAAGTGTATTGTTTAATTCATTTTCACACACCGTTATATAAAAAGTCAGTTTCATATTAGTTTTACAGTGGTTTTTCTTTTTTTACCTATCCATAAACCAAACAACACCATACATTTTCGAATATCCAAAATGTATGTGTAAACCAATCAGATATTTTAACCATCTAAAACCTGGTTCGGTTCTTCGGTCTGAGTATTTTGTCCAGACCTACCTACTTAAGCAGTTAAGCATGTAAGACTACTGCTGGCCTAAAATAACAATTAAAAAAAATCAATAAGAGTGTTTGTAGATGTTATAAATTAAATAAATTTTGTTTGACATGAACTATTCAACTTTTTTTTTTTTTTTTTTTTGAACTATTCAACTTTTCATTTGAATATATCTAAAATCCTATCTAAATAAGAAATACAAAAACAACAAAATGAACTAATTAAATTGAAAATAGTTTGTAAATTCTCTTTTAACTTCCTGATGATTCCGGTACAAGAGATTGACCAGAAACTTCACCAAACCGGCCTCCTCTGTTTCTCATAAGCTCACCAAATGAAATACAACTCTCTGTTTGATTATTGTTATGTCTTCTCGTAACCTTAATCTTAACATGATCCGGTAACCTCAAAGTATACCGATCTTCTTCCTCCGGTTTATTCCTCACAATTGAATGTCCCGTTGTTTTTGATCTCGAGAACTTATCCGGTAACGTCTCAATCTTTCTCTCGTTGTTACTACTACTTTGTCTCGACAACATAACCTCGTTTGATGTTGACGTTTGATCTTGATCGCGATTTTCATGTGCGTTTTCTTGTATGACTTCGATGATCAACTCTTTGATGTTTTCGGGCGCGTTTGGATCTAAATTCCGACGACATACAGGGCATGTTTTGTTAGACTCAAGCCATTGATCGATGCATTCTTGATGAAAGACATGGTAACAAGTTGTCAAGAGTCGTAGGAAGATGTGTTCTTCTTCGAATTCAAGAAGACAAATCGCGCATTCGAGACCGTATTTGTCTTCCCTTAGATCTTTGACGGATGAGAATGGAAACAAAGGGAAGGATTGGATGATGTGTGGCTCTAGACCAGGGTTAACCGGTGGTTGAGCGGGATCTTGTTGTGCTTGGACTTGATTTTCGGGCAATCCATTGCGGTAATGGTGATTCCAAGCTTCGGTGAGAGTGTGGTAGAAGCATTTGCAGAAATAGAGAGCAAAGAAACCGATGAAGAAAACGACGAGGAGGATCACGGTTAGGATTATGACTAGAGGTGGTTTACTGTAATGTTGCGGTGGATATGAAACAGTAGTGTTTTGGTTGATCGGTTTAGCTATCGGCATTGAAGAAAAGAGTGTCGGAGATTGTTTATCTCCGCCGTGGGAAATTTAAAGACTGAATGTTTATTTGGTTTTGCAATATATAATTTTTTTTTTTTTGCAAGTGTGTTAAAATTTTGTGTATGGTGACAATGTGAGAGTGTGTTTGTGTGTGTTTAGAATTTGTTTACTTAATTTAGAAATGAGTTTTGTTAGTTGTGTGTGTGTATGATTGCTTTAACTTGCATTGAACGAGTCTTTAGTAACAATATTTTAACGAGTCTTATTTAGCATTTTGAGATAACATGTTTGCACTATAGATATTACTGTGATACATGCTAATTAATTTACCTATGTATAAAATGTTAAAAGATAAGATGCATGCACTGTAATATTCCTTTTATGTCTAACGAAGAGGAAACTATAAGATAAAAAGGTATTTTAAAATACCTTCTCTGTTTCTAAAATCAGTTGTGAATATTTTGTCAAATTATTAAATAAAATTTTCAATTTGTAACTCAATTTGATGGCCAAAAAAGAGATCAAGAGAGCAAACTAGAAAAGTTGTCTGTTCTTGGTTTTCACAAATACTCATATTTATTTTATGGAAAAGGAAGAAGATATGAGAATGTGAGAGTGTTTGTTTAGGATTCGTTTACTTAATTTAGAAATGAATTATGATAGTTGCGGGATTTACTTGCGAGTAATCTCTCCTCGACAATCAAGACGAAATGGCCTCCTTCCGGTCTTTTATTTATTTTTTTTCCTTCTTTTAACATTAGATTTCTTCTTCGTAGTTCTAATACTCGAGCAGACTGTTTAGCCAAAAAAACTCGGGTTCGAAATAGTCTTTTTTCCATGTAAGGAAGACGGTTCCTGATTGGCTTTCTCTAGCGGAAAGTATTTTTTCTGATATCTTAATAGAAATGGTGATTGAGTTGCTCCTGCTACCTCCTCTCTAGCTGGTAATCACTCTTAATCCTGCTTACTAAGTGACCCTGAACCTTTTAAACCTTGTAACCCTTTTAACCCTCTTGTTTTGTGAGAAGCACTGTATCATCCTCAGTTGTTCTCATATACCACCTTATCTGTTATCTTAACCCTGTTGTTCACTGAGATCTATGGAAAAAAGGATTCCCTCTCACCAAAAAGGGAAGGGCTTAGCCTGCAGCTATTCACCCCCACCTCGCAAACGTATCCAAGCCCCTGATATTGATACTTCTGACCTGATAGAAGCAAACTCTTTAACCCTAATTGGTCGCTTAACCAACCCTTCCTGTCAACGACTCTGGGCTCTGTTCCCTTTCCTCTCCAACCGCTGGAATCTCAGAGGTAAAGCAGTGGGATCTGATCTTGGAAAAGGATGCTTCCAGTTCAACTTTGACTATGCTGAGGATATGCAGAAGGTTCTCGACAATAGGCCCTATCACTTTGATCAATGGATGGTCATCTTGCAGCAGTGGGAACCGATTATATCGGACTCCTTCCCATCTTTGATTCCATTCTGGATTGATATCCAAGGCCTGCCAAAACATTATTGGAAACCTGAGATGCTAACGTCTATTGGTGAGGAGTTGGGGGAAATTTTGGACATGGAAATTACCTCATGTTCTGCTAAGCTTAAGGTGCTCCTAAATGGTCTGCAGCCTCTCACAAAAGAATATGTCGTTGACTTCCCTGATGGTAGCGAAGCCCTAATCACTTTTGACTATAAGAACCTAAAAAGCCACTGCCTGCACTGTCAAAGAATCACCCATGATAAGAAGACTTGCCCAGGGTTGATTCCTGCCAAAGATCTCCGCAAAACCACTATCTCAGCCCCTCCTTCCCAGTCCTTTGCTTCAAAAGGAACCTCCAAAAACTACTACAGTCCCCAGGATAATTTTCTGGCTCCCAATTCTCAAGGCTCTGAAAGTAACTTCCCTCGAACCAGATATCCTTCCCATCTCAAAGAAAAACACCATCAAATTGATAATAGGTCAAAGTCTTTTTCGGAAGCCAGAACAAATTCATACAAAACAAGGGATCACAGAGATGAGACTTGGAGATCTTCTGAACGTTATTCAAGACCACATAATAGAAACCATCATACTTCCCATCATTCCAGAAGGGACTCTGCATTACCATCTTCAAACCCAAACCTCCAATGGAGGGAAAAAACCCCAGTTTTTTCTGAGCGTGAAGCCTCTGAATCCTCCAGACCGAGAAGACCACCTCTAGAAAGGCTCTGTAGTGCAACTTCACCTTCAACCCCTCCGCCTATTCCAACAAATGAGGAGATTATGGGTGAGCTTAGGGAAGTCACCTTTCAGTATACCAACTGTTCTGACCCTACTGAGAGTGCTGCAAGAAGAAGAAGAGTGCTGCAGGGTGAAGCACAAAACTTAATGGCAGAAACAGCCTCTCAAATGCTTGATGCAGCAACAAAAGCAAATCAAACCTTTCTGGATCAACGGAGGGCATCCTTACCTGACTCCCAGGAGTTAGCCATCCTCCTGGCTTCTCCTCACCTCTCCCAGTCCCTGTAAAAAAGAAAAGAGGTCGTCCTCCCCTGAGTAAGCCTCAAAACAAAAGCCCACTGCGACTAACTGGAGCTAAATCTAGCAAAAGAAACAAATGTACCATCCAAAGCTCCCCTAAAAGGAGAACAGTCCCTGTTGCAAATGCTCCTTTGAATGGGGAAACCAGTGATCAAGCCAAAAAAGCCCAGTCTAAGGCCTCCACTAGTAAGGCTGCTGCAAAAGGAAAGCTTATACCTGCTATGGTTAAAAAGAAGGTGGATTTTCAAAATCCACCAAATTCTCTTCCTTAAAAATGTTAAGCTGGAACTGTTGTGGGATGGGGAGCCCTACAACAGTCCGGCGGTTGCGTGAGATACAGTCCAATATCTCACCTGATATCCTTTTCCTCATTGAAACCAAAAATCCTGATCTTGCTGTTGAAAAATCCCTGGAGTGGATGCTTTATCCCTCCCATTTCCTTGTCTCCCCACACAGCCCGGGTGGTGGTGGCCTTGCTCTTTACTGGAAAAATGATGTGGATATCACCATCCTCTCCCCCTGTCAGAATTTCATCGACACACAAATCAAGTATGCGGGAAAGCTGTTCTATGCTACATTTTTATATGGAGAACCTGACAGGACAAAAAGAAAAGCCATTTGGACTCAACTTTCTGACAAAGGAGAGACCAGAGAAGAACCTTGGTTCCTGACTGGGGACTTCAATGATATTATTGATTCCTCTGAGAAATAAGGTGGTCCTATTAGACAGGATGGCTCTTTTGTTGATATTCGATCCTTTATGGCACAGTGTGACCTCTTTGACCTACGCCACTCTGGCAATTTCCTGTCTTGGAGAGGCAAAAGGCATGATCACCTGGTTCACTGCCGCCTTGACATAGCTATGGCCAATGGTGCTTGGTCTGAAGTGTATCCTCATAGTCATAGTGAGTATCTCAGATTCGAGGGATCTGATCATAGACCACTTCTCACCATCCTGGATCTTACAAAGAAACAGAAGAAAGGCATCTTCAGGTATGATAGACGTCTAAAAGAAAATGAGGAGGTTACTTCTTTGATTAAAGAGGCTTGGGAATTTGATAAAGAAGAATCTGTTGAAGGAAAACTAACCAGATGTCGTAGAGAGATCATTGCCTGGACAAGGATAAAACACCAAAATAGCCAGAAACTCATTGAGGAAAATAGACAGAAGCTTGAGGAGGCTATGGTAAGCCAAGATCCAGACCCTACTTTGATCTCAACCATCAACCATAATCTCTTACTGGCTTACAAATCTGAGGAAGACTTCTGGAAGCAAAGAAGCCGTCTGCTATGGTTATCTTTAGGAGATCGAAACTCTGGTTATTTTCATGCAATAACTAGAGGAAGAGCTGCAATTAATAAATTTTCAGTTATTGAAGATAATGATGGAATCCCTCAATTTGAAGAAGAAGATATGTTGAAGGTTATTACCAAGTACTTTGATAATCTTTTCCTCTCCCAGGAGACTGGAAACTTCTCTCTGGTCCAGGAAGCTCTAAAACCCTGCATCTCTACTGAAACAAACACCAAGCTTACCCTTGTGCCAACTGAGAAGGAAATTAAGATAGCTTGCTTCTCCATACATGCTGACAAAGCCCCAGGCCCTGATGGCTTCTCTGCAAGCTTCTTCCAGTCAAACTGGAATACTATTGGCCCTCTTGTTATCTCTGAGGTTCAGTCCTTCTTCTTGTCTGATCACCTACCAAGAAATTCAAATCTCACTCATATCAGACTCATTCCAAAAATTACAAGCCCGCAAAAAATGGTGGATTACAGACCTATAGCTCTATGCACAGTTTACTACAAGATCATTGCTAAGCTGCTAGCAAAGCGTCTCCAACCTGTCTTACAAGGCATAATCTCATAAAATCAATCTGCCTTCGTCCCTAAGAGAGCCATCACAGATAATGTTCTTATTACTCATGAGGTTTTACACTACTTGAAAACCTCAAAGGCAAAAGAGAAATGTTACATGGCTGTCAAAACTGATATGAGTAAAGCCTATGACAGGCTTGAATGGGGTTTCATCAAAGCTGTTTTAGAAAGAATGGGCTTTCATCATAAATGGACTACCTGGATTATGCAATGCATTTCCTCAGTCTCTTACTCCTTTCTCCTGAATGGTGCAGCTCAAGGACATGTAACTCCCTCTAGAGGTATAAGGCAGGGAGATCTCCTCTCCCCCTACATCTTTATTCTTTGCAGTGAGGTCCTCTCTGGTCTTTGCTCTAAAGCTCAGGAAGATGGGTCTTTACCTGGGATTAGAGTGGCATTGAGCAGCCCGAGAGTTAACCATCTCCTGTTTGCAGATGACACGATATTTTTCTGTAGATCTGATGAAAAAAGTTGCAAATCACTCCTTCAAATTATCAAAAGGTATGAAAAAGCTTCTGGTCAATTGATTAACAAGAGCAAATCTGCTATTACCTTTTCTGCAAAAACTCCAGAAACCATTAAGCTAAAGGCTCACCAAACCCTGGGAATGCAACAAGTGGGTGGTTTAGGAAAGTATCTAGGGCTTCCTGAGTTTTTTGGCAGGAAAAAGAAGGATATGTTTAACCTGATTATTGACAGAATTCGTTAGAGAGCCTTGAGTTGGTCTTCAAGATTCTTATCCACTCCAGGCAAAGCCACTCTGCTCCAATCGGTTCAGGCCGCAATGCCAACGTATACAATGTCCTGTTTCAAGCTCCCTGGTTCTCTTTGTAAACGTATCCAGTCAGCCCTAACAAGATTTTGGTGGGACTCCTCTGCGGAAAACAGAAAAATGTGCTGGATCTCTTGGTCAAAGCTAGCACATGCTAAAGTGAATGGAGGATTAGGCTTTAGAGATATACCGAATTTTAATGATGCTCTGTTAGCCAAGATAAGCTGGAGGATCCTCTCTAAACCAAACTGTCTCTTGGCAAAAATTTTGCTGGGAAAGTACTGCAAATCAGATACCTTTCTGGATTGTAGCGTGTCCTCAACCGCCTCACATGGCTGGAGGGGTATTTGTGTGGGACGCGACCTCCTGAAATCTCATCTTGGTAAAGCCATTGGCTCTGGTAGTAATACTCTGTTGTGGCACGAACCATGGATATCTCTTTCTGAGACGATCATCCCCATGGGGCCTCCAACAGAATTAAGCAACCTGCAGACAGTGGATAGCCTGATTTGCCCAAGATCAAAAACCTGGATCAGAGAAAAAGTGAATCTTCTTCTTCCAACTTATGAAAAAGAAATCCTTGCCATCCGACCAAGCATGACATGAGCAGTCGATAAGCACATCTGGTTGCTGACAAATTCTGGAGACTATTCTGCAAAGTCTGGTTATCAAGCAGCCACCTTTTTAAAGGATCAAATCTCTTCTCACCCTGGGGATCGCCAAAGAGATAGCTCATCTGACTTTAATTGGTACAGAGACTTATGGCACATTGATTGCCCACCTAAGATCAAATTCTTCCTCTGGAAGCTCTTGCGTGGTGCTCTCCCTGTGGGAGAGAATCTGAAGTCCAGGGGAATTAATCTCACAGCGCAGTGCCCTCACTGTCAAGCTGAAGAAACGGCTCTTCACCTCTTCTTCCACTGCCCCTCTACAGTTGAAATTTGGGAGCAGGCTCCATTTAAAGCTCCACTAATCCCTGGTAATATCCTAAGCGTTCATCTGGGAATTGAGTCCTCTAAAAACCTGATAACTCTCCCGCCCATTGGATCTGGATCCACACCTCTGATGCCTTGGATTCTTTGGACCATATGGACTAACCGAAACAAAAGGATTTTCGAGCAAAAGCAGGCCTCTGCTACTGAAACCCTCTCCCAAGCTTTGGGCCAAGCCAGAGAGTGGTGCATCGCTCTCCAAAGTCAGATCCCGCCAAACCCTCTACCCAAGCTCCCCGTGACAGACGTGATGACGACGGAGACGATCCTCTGCTCCACCGATGCGGCTTGGCGAGAAGAGACCAAATCTGCGGGCTTCGGATGGGTGTATACCAATCGATTCTCCAAGCTGGACAGATCTGAATCCGCTTCTGCCTCAAATATCGGATCTCCCCTCATGGCTGAGGCAGTTGCCCTCTTTCTGGCTCAACAACAAGCCCTCGCCTTGGGTTTCAAAAAACTTCACTTCGCTTCAGATTCGCAATTGCTGATCAAAGCTCTTACTTCAGAGTCTCCTCAGAAGGAACTCTATGGGATTCTCCAAGACATCCTTTGGCTCTCTAACGATTTCGATGAAATCTCTTTCTCTTTTGTTTCTAGAGAGAAAAACTTTCGTGCAGATGCACTTGCAAAATCTGCTTTGAATTCTGCATTTATTGTACCAGCATCTGTACCGGTTTCGGTTTAAATGAAATTAGCTGTTTGACAAAAAAAAAAAAAATAGAAATGGTGATTGATAAAAAAAAAAAAAAGTATTTCTGCAGTGCCTAGCATCTTTTTAAAAAAGTTTTTATAGCTTCAGTCCAATTATATATTTATTTACTGTAATTACCACATATGGCCAAACATTAAATGATGAAGAAATAATATGTTATAAAGTTTACGGGAAGTAATGATAGCTGCAACTATTCGTGGCCTGGTGGTGATGCAAGCATGCGTGAGTGCTTTCGCATTGTGTGTTCGAATAGTTGCGTCCACCATAAACCAAACTCAATGTCTATATTATACAAACGAGGTATTCTTAAATACCTTTTTTTTTTGTATACCTCCATGGTTTGTATGTCTTATTTTAAGTTTAGTTTTATACTCCCTCCGTATTTTAATAAGTGTCGTTTTAGGATTTTCTTTTTTTAAAAATTAGATGTCGTTTTCAAATTTCAATGCAAAATTTCTTACTTTTTAATGTTTTATGATGTATGTTTTTTTCTTTCAAAGTGTAATAATATCCTCCATATTTTTATAGTTGATAATTTAAGAGAAAAAAAAAGTTTCAAAATTAAATGATAATTTCAACTTTCAATAAAAAAAATTTAATTTTTATTGCTTTTGACCATTTGTATTATACAAATTATTTTATTATTGGTTGAGTTGTTTTTAAAAAAAATGTAAATGATATATTAATTTAGAAAAAAAAATAATCTGTGCAACAACCTCAACATCAACTAAAAAACTACGGAGTACTAGAAAACTAGAAATTATGAATTTTCTAACTCAGTAATTACTTGTTGGTCAAATAGTGAGGAATTTGATCAGAATAACATAGTCTCGTGATTAGTTTAATTCAAATAAGATTTCTCTTATTATGCTTCTATAATTCTTCATCTTTCAAATAAATTAATCAATCAATCTAACCAAAACACTTCACATCATAAATAAAATATTAACGTGTTAACTATAGTAAATCGACAAACGTGTTATCTCTTATAAGAACGAAACTTCCTATATAGTAAATCGACAAACGTGTTATCTCTTATAAGAACGAAACTTGGTTGCAGTCGTTACTCTCGGCTCGTTGGTCTAAACAGCGTGTGGCTATAGACACGAGACCAGAGTTCGAATAGAAACGACTGCATTTGAAGTGATGATGATGAATGATGATGATGATGATGATGATGATTGATTTCCACATGTGAGGTACTCTAAAGTACCTTCTCTTTTTAATCGCATGGCTTGTTAAGAAGCCACGTGGCAACTTAACAACGGTAGATCTCGGTCTCGGGAGCTTTTTTAGCACCATATCCAGTGCTAATCCTTCACACGTGTCATCATCATCTCTTCATTAATGAATATCACATCCAATGGCTGAGCTATGTATATTGAAAAATTTTACAAAATAATTACAAAATTTGTAAAAGCAAATAATAATTAATGAATTTCGAGTAGGAATGTCCCAGTTCTAGTCTCTAGAATTTATATTTGTTGTATAATAAATTCAGATTTTTTTTTATAAATGAGATGAAGAAAGTGAGACTTTTATCACTAATCAAATCACAAAAAAAGGAAATATAAAATAACAGAGAATTAAAATGACCGAGAAACTAAAATCGCCACTAAAAAAACAAAAAACCCTGAAAGAAGCCTAATTTCGAGATCTCTATATATTTTTATCTAAAACCAAAAAAAAAAAAAAAACCAAAAAAAAACACAAAAAAGAGCTACAAAAATCTTCTTAAGGTTGTGTAAACAACAAGAAGAAATCAAGCTCTCTCAAATGATACTAAGATCGAATCACCCTAACCATAACCAAAACCAAAACCGAAACGAATTTCTGGAGCAAGTCCATTTTATTGACCATGATTAGGCCAAAGATGGTGGTACATTTGCATCGGATGAGGATGAAGGGGTTGTTGTTGTTGTTGAGCTCCATAAATCCCATTAGTATTGTCACGGTGCATTGCAGGAGAACCGCTCTCATTCTCTTCTGATGACTCGCTCGATGGCCCTTGAGAGACTGATCCAAAGTTCAACATGTTAGCTGGCGCTGAAGCTGGTTCAGGATTCTGGCCCCGAGCATTGTTAATGCTACTTGGTTTCGGTTTCTTTGCTTCCGCAACAAAGCTTCCTACTATGACCTATAACACATTAGGAAGCAAATGAACATAAAAGAAACCAATTATGATGATGTTTCCGCTTAACTGTACCGAGATGAAATACAAAACCTATTAAAACAAAACTACCGAACATTTTTTTAAACGGAAACTGAATAAAACCCCCAAAAGTTTAATCCAAAGTGCCAAACCGTCTTCTTAACCCGAATACAATAAAAAGGATTCCGTAACAAGAGTTCACATTCTATACCTGGACTTGTGTTGCAGCTACTAGCTGACCAACTACACTGCCACCTACAATCCGGCCATCGGGTCCAGCCAAAGACACACTCAAGTTACCACTTCTGTTGGTGGAACCATTTACCTCATAATTCAAAAACGAGCCTGAGAGAGTAATGATCTCGAATCGTCCCTGGAAAACCCCACACTTAAAACTCTCAACACTAAAGACACAGATTAAAGCTTAACACCAAAGACAGCAAAAGAACATAATTTTAAACCTCATAAGTAACGATTCCACTAGAATGAGAAGCTTGACGAAGCGTCACTCTACCAACCGCACCACTCGCAGAAAGAACACAAATTGCTCGTGGCCCTTGATCCGAAAAAGCCATCACCTTTGACGCTATGTCCTGAATAAAGTAAGTAAATTTCATAAAGATCTAACAAAACAACAGCATTTAAAACTCATTCCTCCCTCAAAATTCACTAAACCAAGACATTTATTTCAATCTTTTCTAATTTACCAATCTTCAACCATCAAACCAAACACATTTTCAGATTACTAAAACAAAACAACAACATTTTACCTCTCCTGTCTTCACTTCAATGACATGTGGTGTAAACCCTACTCCTGCAGTTCCTCCTACTCACATACACACACACACACAAACAAAACAAACCCATCAAACCAATTGCATGTAATCACAAACAAAATGTGTTAAAGATTCAAACTTTAGAGTTGTTCTTTATACCTAAAGCATCAAGCTGTTTCTTGCTAGAACCAGGAGGTCTTCCTCTGTTTCGTTTAGCAGGAGGATCAGCAGAGTTACCATTTCCTCCTCCTCCTCCACCACTATCTCCAACACCACCCTCACCACCACCACCACCATAAGAATTAGAAGCTGCAGAGAGAAGAGGAGACGTCGGAGCTAAACCTAAAGCAATGCTACCATCAGGAGTATACTTTCTTGGCCTTCCTCGCTTCTTCTTCACTTGTAGTTGTTGATTCTGATTCTGATCCTCGATCCCGAATCGCATCGGTTGAGAAGAAGGCGATCCATCACCAAAACCAAGCGATTCAAGAGTCTTCTGATCCATTTGTTGTTGCTGATGAAACGTTTGAGATTGTTGTTGTTGTTGATTGCCAAAAGGAAGACGATGATGATGTTGAATCGATTGAGATGTGGAAGTAGGAACCATTGATGCTGCGGCGGCGGCGTTAGGGTTACGGTAATGAGACATTAACATTCCCGGTGGTGGTTGAAGCTGGTTATGTGACGGTGGGGTATCTCTGGAATCCATTAGAGAAGGAAGGAAGAAGAAATCAAACTCAAAGATTGTTTCTTTCGGCAAAATTTTCGTAAGGATTGAAACTTTCTGTTTTGTGAATTCCGAGAAAATAGAGAAAGCGTGTGAGAGCTAACAACTCTCTCTCTCTCTTTTCACACACATACAGAGAGAGTCTCGAGGAGAGACTAGTGAGAGAGATGAAGTGTGGCGGAAAATGTAATTTTAATAGAAATAGAAATGAAATCTTTTTATTTATAGGGTTTTTTTTAGGAGATTTTATTTTGTTAATTTTAACTGAATTGATATCGTCATTCAAGAATATATTTTATTAGATCGTAGTTTGTTTTATATTATGATCCAAATTATAGCAGAAAATATTTGTGGTCATCCGTTTTTATTAAGAGTTTATAAAAAAAAATAGATATAAAAATACTTCAGTTTTGGGATGAAAAGAGAGTATTTGCATTGGATGTAAAAAAACATACTATAACTTATAAAATGATTAATTTCGCGGGTTTGTTATGGGATAATATGGCTCGATATATGTTAGAAAAACAGACGTTGCGGGTTAGCCTATGGTAGATGTTTAAAAATAGATATCAAGATGTTTTTGATATCTATTATCTATATAGATTTAACCGTTTTAAGACCGTTGTGAGAGTTGTTCGTAACGGTAAAAAGAAAATCGACACTAATTTACCTCATTTTGTGACGGTATATTTGAGGGTTGACGCACAAGTTAGTTCTTAATGTTCTTTCATAAACTTAATTTAATTTATAAATATCATAGATTATAATTAGTTTCTAAAGAGTCATAAATGAAGAGGATGTGAACAGCTCTCACAATGATATAACAAATTAACTTTTTAAGAAATAGAGAATTTGATATCTTTTTCTATTTTGGCGATTATATGAACAACAAGGTCGATTTCCAATTCTTAGTTTGATCGCAAATGATCCCAATTTTACTGAGAACGTTTGAATGCTCATAACTGCTTATAGCAAAGTGAATGTGGTAATTATGAATCGTGACTAAAAAAGACAAAGAGAAAGACACGAGACTCTAAGATCATCTTTTCCCCGAACAATTTTGTATAGAAACAGAAAAAGTTGGTTCTCTGTTTAATTTATGATTATCTTATGTAAGTCTATATATGTCATCCATCTGAGTGTTATGCTATGAAATTTATTTTTTCATCTCTATTAAAAATTTTATTAAAGAAAAAGTTTTATATGGTGAGAAAAATATGAGATTGATTGGCAAATGACCATGTCTTATGTGTCACAACTTAAGTTAAAATGTAACATTAATGATCCTAATAGTTAAAAAGCAAACGGGTGAAATCTTAAAAAAATATCAATACTTTATGACAAGATTTAAAGATTTCAACTCCATTATTCGTCATTCTTCAACATGGGAAACACAGAACAATAATTCTTAATCGACCAATTGATCTTACATTTGAGATAACTACTAGTTATTTAAACTGGATAGTATTAGATTTTTTTTTTGAGGTTTTGAAGTTACGTGAAAATCTGATATAAAGTACATTAATTAGGATTCTCTTCTTTTAAAATGAAATTTATAATTTCTGAAAAATGGAAACAAAAGTACCAAGTTGATCGATAACGATTTCAGAAGTTAAAAATCCTAAAATTTGTTCAAAATATGTACCAAGTCTAAAGTTTCGAGGTTTCAGTGATATTTTGACTGACATTATACGACTCTTTGTGTTTGTAGCTTTTCAGAAACCTTACGTGTGATATTTAATCTTATGTTCAAAAGAGCTTTCTTAATAATTACTTTGTGAATTTAATTATCAGTGACATTGTTACATTTGGAGTCTGTTGACAGCATAAAATAAATAAAGTTTGAAGTTGACATTGTGACTAAAACGGTTACCAAAGGCTTCTGCTATGCTCTTACTACGGGAAATTGGGGCTTGGGAAACACTGCTGCCAACAGAGTATGAGTCTCTCACATAAGTTGATATATGTATGTGGCTATATTTACAATTAATTTATATCATTCTAAGTTTTATTTAACAACAAGTGTTAAATCAATTGAAATATTTTTCGACCTTGTCACATCTGAGAGATAATGTGTTAAATTCTTGATATTTTGGACCAAATTTTTTTTCCTAATCAAATAAACTAACCTCACCTAAAGATGCGAGTTAGGTACCAAAGATGTCAACAAACAATTTGTTCACATAAATGTTCAGTCACAACCTCAAAGAAAATTTCCAAGTATAGGGTTTAATAAGCAAATGAGACATTATTATTGAAATCACATGAAGAAATTTTACATCTTGAAGTTTCATCCAAGTGATGTCTTTAAACTTGCCGTTATGACCATCAATGACAATGCTAAGCTGCCATCGTGAATATCAACCCAAATTAACGGCCACATCGTCAAGCTTCAAACAGTTTTCTCAAATCGCATTTTTGTTATATGACACTCATTTTATTTGACACCTATCCAACTTGAAAATGAACTATGATAATCTATTACTTTTACAATTTCCAGTTGGTTTCTCAAGAAGTAGCAGACTTATGATCACTTCAATTGGCAGAATTCCAAAAGACGTGACTGGTTGATTAAACATATTATGTAACAAGCTTCGAACTATGCTAAAGTAAAACTAGTTTTTCATTAACACATTGCACCCGATTATACTATTAAAAAAAATTCGACTGCTTTCACAAATACTCAATATCACGTTCGATTACACCAAAATTAATCTAAACTATATCTCGTAGACTCGTACAATTTCACAAACAGAGGAAAAAAAACAGAAATCAATACCAAATTAAGACATAAGAAATCATATTAACACAGATATCTCTAATGGACAAAACAAACATAAACAAGGTATAAAACATATTTAACTCTTTTGTTTTTGTTTTGCATAAGGAACAAAAACTAGAAGCCATGAAACTTTTTAGTCTGATGTCACTGAGCCTGAACTGTGTTTTATGTTCAGCATCTGATCTCGTAAGATCCCGCTTTCGTTATGTATCGAACCCACTCGACCGTGTTGTAGCCACTCTTCTCCCATACCTGTCAATCATTCCGGTTACCAGTCAGATCCAAAAAGTAGTTAACTTTTGATAGCTAACTAAGTAAAGCAATCTACGTTTCCAAGACCAGAGAAGCAAATGAAGCAAACCCAAATCATATAAAAGTTCTGAACCAGATTTAATGGCACAATGGCTTAGAGATTTCGATACTTAGCATCACATTTTTTGAAAAATGGTAGTTTCGAAAGTAGAGAAATCAAGCGTACCTTGAGAAAGCGAACTCGCAAACCAGATGCTGTGAACATTGGGACCTAGAAAGAACAAAGCTAAGACGGTTAATAATCGCTCTAAACAAATCTGGTTCTATTTAACAGTGCCAACACGAGAAGATGATTGACCTGAAATTCCATTTGGATTGGTGGTCTTGTCCAAGATTTCTTCTCTCCCATTGTTGAGATCAACTCAATTTCTGCACTTAGTGTGGACTCTGTTTGTCCAGGGAATTTTCTTATCCTAAAGAGTAGAAGAGAGAAGCCAAATGATTGATAAAACACCAACAAATAGAATTATAGATATGAACCTGAGGGAAAATGATATAAACTCACTTCCAAACCAAGCAATCGATTGATGGATTGTATTTAGCACGACCAGTTGTCACTTGGAAATTGGTCTTGGCTGTTTGTTTTGGCACTGGAATTTTAACTACGACCCCAAGGGCAAACATTTTAGCACCAAAAACACTTTTGACCTGAAAAGCCAAAACACGGGAACTGTAAGAGAGCAAAGATCAAGCTGATTTTTTTTTTGTTTCCTTTAATCTTTGAGAAAAGCTATGTACCTTGACATTTACTTCCATGCGTGTACGACCAAGTTCTTTGATTGTTGGTAGTACGCGGAAAGGCAGATTTACACCCTCTGTTATTCGGTACCTGAGACATCATCAAGTTAGTACATATTTGGTACCAGAACAATTTGCAACAGTGGACATTTGAAAACTTACTTCATCAGTTCAAACTCTCCATCAGGTGGTACAAAACTAACGGTCTTCTCGGAGTTGAATCTTGTCAGGTTCACACACTGGTGAAATGTGACATCATCAAGCTCAATGGTTTTACCACTGCACAAAACGAGCAAGTCAGTTAGCAAAAAGAAAAGTCAGTGGCTACTGATGTTCACTGATTTAACAAAGCCTACCTCTTAGCTGGGCGAGATTTCATTTCTGATTCCTTCTCAAGACCAATTTTATCATTCAACCCCAACTTCAAATCAGGCATTCCCGAAAGGAAACATTTCATTAAAACTTTCCCCGTCACATCACACCGAAGAACGTTGCCTAACCGTTTTCATAATGTGCAAAACCAGTCATACAAAGCGAATCAAAAAAGATAGACAACTTCATAAAAACTTCAGAAAAGGCAATTATTTACCTTTAGAGGACATCAGAAGGTTTACACTTTCCACAATATCCAGAAACACCTGCATTTGAGAGAATAAACGATATCACTTCCGCACAACCTAGCAGATCTATATACACACAGAAAGTCACTCAACACTTACCTCATTCTTTTTATAAGCAAGACCCTCTCTTCTCCAACCAACAGCACCCGTAACTTGTAATGTTGCATTTGGAACAGGCTTGTCCTTTGGCTGTAATGAAAACAAGCTTATGAATGCAAACATATGAAGTGAAGAAACAACGTAATCTCTATTTATTGCGGGAAACACTGCTTCACTTGGAAGAACCTCACCCCAACACAATTCCAAAATCTGATGTATACACAAATGAATAAATGCCCTTACCTTCGATGAAAATGGAGACCGTACACCTTCCTGAGTGATATAAAGTTTCAAAATTTCAGGTGAGAGATTTTGTGGATAGCCAAAGTCCATAATCTCTGCAATTCAATACCAAATATCATTCCTTGGCGTTGGCGTTACCACAAAATAAAAAAAAACAAAGACAACAACTAATGCAACTAAACGAGTGATAAGAAAGTGATTTGTTCATGACACTATTAGGCTTACTTACCGTCCAACAATTCATAAATCAAGACAAAGTTATTTCTAATAGCGTCTTCATCAAAAGCTCCACCAAAGTATGATTTGAACAAAGCAACAGCCTGAAAACGTAAATCAAAACCAGTAGTAACTAAGTCAGCATATAGAATCAAATCTAAATCTCTTGAACATTTCAACAAGAACCAAAACTGATTTTGGAAAATGAAAGTGAAACTAAAAACCAAGTTTACCTCAACAACGAATTTGAATCCACAAGCAACATTAGCATTGCTACTGACAACAATGACAATGTAGACATTGCTGATTCGCATATAAACAAAGGAGCAGCCACCAATCTGACGCACAGGACAATTTCCTAACTCTTTCGTCTGCATTATATGCGTACGAAATGCATCCACCATGTTTCCCCTAAAAGTCAATCACATCCAAAATCTCAAATCCCATAGCTAAAATCCTAAACGAAGTGGACTACTTAGAAGCGATAAGAACAAAACACACAGCTGAAAATGAAGCCGAAATCGAGAATTTAACAGATCGACGGCGAAAAAGGAGAAGCTCTCTTCTTACCCGACGTCATCACGGTAGGTGCGATTTATGAGTACATCGCCACGGAGATTCAGAAAGTAGATGGCGGAAGCAGCCACCGGCATCTTCGATCTGAGAAATTGAAAACGCAGATCGGATAATTAGACGATCTGGTTTCAGGAGCTTTGAGATTTGAGGTTCGACGAGATCTCGACGACGGAGCAAAGGAAGAAGACGACGACGAAGAAGTTGAACAACTGAAATGCGATATTTTTTATTTTCTTTTTATCAAAAAATAGAAACAAAATTGAATTCAGTCGTCATTTTTGAATGGGCCGAACATATATAAATGGGCCTGTCTTAATCTGCTACTGGGCCGTTACGTCTTAATTGTTTTTTATTCTCCCACAAAATGAGATTTGTTAAATGACGTTGTTGAAATTTCTCTACATGTAAAATTGGTAAAGATGATATTCGTTTCACGTTGATGGCAATAAAATCAATCACGATTTAGGGCTTAAATGCTTATATTAGTTGCATACTGTAAAAATGCATTAGTCTACTGATCTACTAATGAAAAAAAAAACTAAATTGTATAAAATTTATGCGAAAAACGTTATGATTTTCTAGTTATATTTTTAGTACGTCCGTAATATATATAGCAAATTCACTTTTTGAAAACTCAAAACCGTAAAATTTTGATGAGTGATCAAAAGTAAATTTTTTATAGCGAAATCTTGTTATAATGTGGACATAAAAATATGGTATATTTCAGCTGTTAAAAACTAAATATATATGGTTGCTAGAGCTAGCCAATCATCCACTTAACTTTTGTTACCTACATTATATTATTTATTATTTAATCGTAGTTACTTTTTAAAAAATTTATTGTTTAATGATAGTTACAATCAAAATTCTATAGTAAATAATCTACATGACCAATTTTACAAAACAATGACAAACTTTTGATTAGATTAGTCATTTCATCTGAATTTGCTTGTGTGTTTTTTCTTTTAAATTGATCAGCACAATGTAATAAAAGTTCTTAATTTTCAATTACTAACATTAACACGGAACTTAAAGTTTGTAAAAGTTTCCAACTTTTTTTTTCGAATGCTCTCTGATGTGTAATGATCGCAAAAAGAGACTTTTTTTTTTTTCATGAGAGAAAAAAATAATAAAAATGTGGAATATATATTTATATAGCGACGCCGTTAAATGATAAAAAGAAGATCTTGCTCGATCCGTCTTTGATCCAAAAACAATTTCATCTTTTTATAATTTTGTTGCAGAAGAAGAAGATTAACACAGTGTTCACGAGAGAGGTTAAGGACAGAGATTTTCTGGGTTTTAACAATAGGGAAATGAATATTGTTGGATTAAGAAGCAATCGGAGAAAGTAGAAATCGAGAGAGGGAAAGGGATATTCGAAACCCTAGATCATCCATTTGAGATCAAAAAGCTGTTAAATTTGAGGGCTTTAGATCGAATTTGATATCTGGGGTTAATGGGTTTTTTGAAGAAGTTAACGGGTATACTTGGGTTTGGGCATAACGATGGTGGTGGTGGGCATGGAGCTGTAAAAGAAGAAGATGTTGATGGTGGAGATAACACTGGAACAGTTTCTGGTGATGGAGATAAACGTCGGGAAGAGAATCAACCTAGATTTCGTGAAACTGGTCCAAGGAAAGGTTTTGGTGTACCGGTTCAAGTTGCTGTTGAACGGTCTAATCCTGGTCCTATTCTTCAGCCTTGTGCTGCTTCAGATGGTGGTATTCAGGTTAGTCTTCCTTTTTGATTAATGATTGGTTATATTGGTGTGTGGAAGTCTAGGGCTTATCAAATTCAGAAGAATTATTTGAATTGCTACTTGTTAGATAACGAGTTATGGTAAAGTTTTATGAAGAGGTGTAATGTGGTATCTCATACTTGTTCTGTAGCATGATTGTTGATTCTTGTCTTTGGTTTGGATCACATTAAGTTGGAATATGAATTGGTTTGTGAGTTTGTGAAAATCAGTCGTCTTTGTGGCCTACAGCTTCACATTGATGAACATCATTTCCTGTTCTACGCCGGTGCGTTGCTTTGTTTTCGCTTTAATATGGCTTTGATATGTTTGTGTTTCATAAACAGTACTTTCTATGATTCAGTAGATGACTTTACGTTTGTCATTTCTGTATGGTTTTTCTCAGTTATCTGAATGATCTTATAGAACTAGATGCCTTTGTAACTGTTAGCTCTCTTTTTACTCTGTTCATTCATCTCATCATCTGTGCATGTGAAAGTGATGTATAGTTCTTAAAGATGATGCCAAGTCAGGAATATATATTTTAGCTTGTTGTATGATTAGTTGCGGCAGAAGAAAGTTCCTAGAAGCAAGTAGTTTCAGCCTTATGTCTTGATGTTTGGGTATTAATTATAACTCATGAGGCTAAAATAAAGACTTGGAAGAATCTTGATTGGTTATATTGGTAGAGAAAGACGATAATAAGCGAGTAGATGTAGATTGCCAAGATTATTCAATGGTCTTTATGTGTTTATGTGTATCTGTTTATTGAGTTCTTCTTGATGGCATTGACTCAACTTAGTTGAGCCGAGAATTTTACTATCGAACTTCTTTTCTGGATCAGGGACTACGTTGGTACTCAATGCGGCTTAAGATTGATGAAGACGGAGATGTTGCAGATGAGTTCTTGGAAGACAATAACTGTAAGACTTTATCAAGAAAGTGCAAAACAAAAGCTGCAAAAGTGAGAGGTTTAGTGATATCTTCTGATGGGAAACTTCAGCCATTAATGCATTGAACAATGAAAACCAAGGAGAAAGATTTGCTGAATAGTGTGATTGAATCAGAGAAAGGTTAGAACTTATGTTTCATTAATTTCGAGATCAATCCATTAGATTCCTGATTTGATTCTTGAGCACTTAAAATGTTATTTAACTGTGAATTTAGTTTTTGAAAATAGACAGTGATTCTCTTTGGGATTATCTAAAAACATTTGTGCAATTGTGCATTACTACCAAGTTCTTTGTGTGCACACATATGATCTTATCTTATACAAGACCTCCATTTTCGCTAAAATATTATGCAAATGATTGTTAATATTTGATTCTTATTGCATTTGAATATAAGAAGTTTAAAGAAGTATTAATTATTTGAAAATCGTAACTAACTATAGAAATATGATGTATATATGATGTCTATATTAATTGCACAAGGCTAACAAATTATAAATTTGTATGCAACAGAAAAAGGTGAAATGGAAAAAAGTAAGTTTAAAAAGTATTGATTTTCAGAATATATAAAAACACAATTTGAGCTTCACCAATTGAAAAAGTATGTTAGAGAAATACGAATACAATGGTTCTAGTTGGTGATCACATTTAAACAAAGCAAATACTTCCTCCATTTAATAATATAAGTCGTTTTAGGTAAAATCACGCCGATTAAGAAGATTTACTTTTTAAAAGTTCAGCCAATCATAAAAGAGACTGTACAATATAAATAATCATAACATATAAAAGTAATATATAATTTGCATGTAAATTCGAAACCGACTTATATTGTGAAACAAAAAACTTTATTCAAAACACCTTATATTATGAAACTGAGGGAGTAAAACTTTTTAGCATTTATGGAGAAGGTTATTAGATAGAAGGACAGATTATAATCTTCTCCCAAAAAAATTGAACCATAGTTTTATTCTTCCCTTTAAAAACTACTAGCCCAACCCCTTAAAGCTGTAATTGTTGAACATCAATTGATCGGCGAAATAGTAGTGGGTTGCGATTTTTCTTTATAATTTGTTCATTTTTCCAACCTTTTTGATTGAGTAGATTGAATCAATTTTTCAACTTATTCATCTCAATTGATAAAAAGTGAGATGAATGGTCATTTAACTCTTTCAACTTCTTATTTTAAGTCAACCATATTTCAACTGTTTATTGCATCCGTTCGTTTCCACCGCCCATTTCTTCAATATCTTTCCAGTCGTCTCCAACTTATCTCGAATTGTATCATTAATCGAACGATGCAAAAACAATATTACGCTTAAAAACAAAAGTTTTCTTAAATTTGAAAGAAATTGAATACTTATTTGTCACAAATCTATCCCCAAACTCCGCCGGTGTAATAGAAAACAATTTCTTAGAACAATTTTTTTTTCCTTAGAACAATTTACATGCAACGTGTCAAACGTTTTATAGCTATGAAACCAAAAAAGTCCACTTTTGTTTAGAGTAATAATTTTTTTTGGACTTTTATGTATGCAAACATACATATCAACTAAATTATCTACAACAAGACTATATATAATTTGCCGAACGGCATGAAAAACTTTCGTATATTGTTGTAATATTATGTTAGTCAATCGCTAACATCGGTATCTATGTGATTGAAATTTTAAAAAGAAAATATATTTTTAAGGCCAAGGACTTAGGAAAAATTAAAATATCTACGAGGAAACCATATCATTAGTGGCATAAATTTTATATTGGGATTGTCCTAATCGCCGTCATTAATTATTTTATTATTGAATGATTACCTATACTATTTACTAGTAATTGTGTGATTATTACGTCGATGAGTCATAGGTAGATCAATTTATTTAACAATTTTGATATTATTTTCTTTCTTTTTCGGTCTTCTGCTGTCACCAGGTTGTGGACAAATAGTAATATTTCAACCTAACACGACAAATTATAAGTCTTAGTCGTGTAATTGATAACAAATTCTCACCCACGTAATCAAATTTATTTTCACTTGTGTATAATAAAAAATTTTCAATGAATTAGGTATAAAAAAGACAACGAAACTTGAAAAATCCAACTCATTTCATTTGTCTGATACTTGCAATCGCTTATAATCTTTGGCTGTATTATGACTTTAGCGTCATTACAATTTTAAAGAGAGCTAGTTATGTATCTTTTTTTTTGTTAAAACTAGTTATGTATCTTGCCTACATTCAGATGCAGATTTGTTAATTTTCTGTATCAGAGAAAACATTTTTATTTAGCATAAGAAGATACCTGATCAAGATCCAAAACAATGTCTTTTGATTATTTGAATGAATTGATGAGTTACACATGCATGCATATGAATGATGAATCTAAATATTATTCTGATTTTTAATTTAATTTATAAGTGCAATATGGAACGTCCATTAATAGTCTTTTTTTTAATGAACGGCCTTTAATTTAGTTTTAATATATCTTGACTTTTTGTTTTCCCCAATTTATGTAGCAAAAAGAGAAAATAAAAAAATTCTTTATATTCGTTTGCCCAAAAATAAAAAGTTCTTTATTCACCCATCAAATTATTGAAAGTCATGTGAAAACCAGTCTAAACTCTCGTCACTTGTACATTAAACAAGAAAATAATTAGTTATTAGTTTACAATATATTATCATCTAAATTACCAATGCTATGTTTCCAGAAATAAGATTTAAAGTTTTGCAGGTCTACTAGAAAAAAATGGTGTGATAAAATTTTGTTAGGTTTATAATGGTACAAAAAAAAAAAAAAAATCAGACCATAATCTCTCCCAACAAAATATAACCGCAGAAATAAATAAATTGTACACACATACATAGACAATATAAAGACAGACACACAATTAAAACACACGTATTGAATCATTATTTGCTTCGTCGGGCCAACTAGTCTCGTGTCTATGCGTTGCATATAGTATACGTATATGCATACAATTATATATAGAGACTACACCAACACCAAAACTCTTTCATATTCAACATTTCTCATTTTGAACACAAAAAAAAAAAAAACAGAACAAGAAAAAGAATGTCGAACAGAGTCCATGAAAGGAGCATGGAGATGGATGAGGAAGGCTCTACAAAGATGAAGATGAAGACGAAGGTTCTTGAACTTCCAAAGAAGATCAAGAAGATTCTAAAGAGTATATGGAAAGTTGGAAAAGATGATCCAAGGAGAGTGAAACATGCTTTAAAAGTAGGAGTTTCTTTAACACTTGTATCCTTATTGTATCTCATGGAGCCTCTCTTCAAAGGCATTGGAAATAGTGCTATTTGGGCAGTCATGACCGTCGTGGTCGTCCTCGAGTTCTCTGCCGGTAACTAGAACACTTAAATCAAATTATAATTTTGTATTTTGTTTTTGATTACTAAGTGGTATATAATAGTCTCAAGATCGAAACCGTAAACTCGTTTTCGTGCTTAACTAGATTATTTGGTCATTTGGTTATATTTCAGCTCGAATGTTTTATCCATGGTCTATTTGTGAGAAACTCCTTGTTCATAGACGTTTATATATATGGGGACTAGTCTAGCGTTTGGACGGTGATAAAAAATTTTAAAAATGCATGTACAAAGATTATTTGCTCATACCAATAGCTAAAATGATTAGTGTATAAATATTTTGGTAATTAAGCTTAAGTGATTTTAATGATGTAAATGGTGTTTAATTAATTCAGGTGCAACATTGTGCAAAGGGCTTAATAGAGGATTAGGGACACTAATTGCTGGATCTTTGGCATTTTTCATCGAATTTGTCGCTAATGATTCCGGCAAGATTTTCCGAGCTATTTTCATTGGCGCTGCAGTTTTCATAATCGGTATGTACTCATATATTTATTTATCACTCTTTCATAATTGGAACTCTAAGAAATGAATAATTTCCAAAACTTAATATCTATAACTCTACATTTGTTACACCCATTTTTTTATGTGACAGGAGCGCTGATAACCTATTTGAGATTTATTCCATACATAAAAAAGAACTACGATTACGGCATGCTTATATTTCTCTTGACGTTCAATCTAATAACAGTATCGAGTTATAGAGTTGATACTGTGATTAAAATTGCACATGAGAGATTCTATACTATAGCCATGGGTGTTGGCATTTGCCTACTCATGAGCCTTTTAGTTTTTCCTATATGGTCTGGTGAGGACCTTCACAAATCCACGGTCGCTAAGCTTCAAGGCCTCTCTTATTCCATTGAAGGTATGTACTTAAATATTATACATTCAAAATTGATTGTTATATATTACTTCAATCTCATCCGACGTGAAATTTATAAGCAATGTAGAATTTTGTTGGAATCAAGAGATATAATAAAACAGAGATATTTTGATCATAAATTAGGAAATTTTGCTAATTTTGATCATTTTTATGGTTCGTAATGATATTGGGATATGTTTGTTTTTTAAGTGCAATTTTTTTAAATTTTTTTGTTCCAATTAGTTAAGCTGATTAAATATTCGGTATTTTTTTACTAGCATGTGTGAATGAGTACTTTGAAGAGGAGGAGAAAGACGAAGAAACATCAGATTTATCAGAAGACACGATCTATAACGGATATAAGACTGTTTTGGATTCCAAATCCGCCGATGAAGCACTTGTAAGTTAATTTATATCGAAAGTTTCTTCCAAAACTTGAATAATCAAAATTTTGAATGTATATATATGAACATGTGTATATAGGCAATGTATGCAAGTTGGGAGCCAAGACACACAAGACATTGTCATAGATTTCCATGGAAACATTATGTTAAAGTTGGATCTGTTCTTCGTCAGTTTGGTTACACTGTTGTTGCTCTTCATGGTTGCTTAAAAACCGAAATTCAGGTAACTTCCAAATTTGGGCTTTGGCTCTGTAAAACTTTATTTCTCATGCTTTAAATTGAATATCTTTTAACAAAAAAAAAACAAAAAAAGAAATTCAGGTAACTTTCAAATTTTCTTTATTTATTTTAAAACTGGAAATTATAGTTAGTTAAATTAAATTATTGAATAACTGTGAGTACATAAATTATATCCTATAGTTTAGTTTTTGTATATTGATATATAATATCGATTGTGTTATTTTTCAAGACTCCGAGGCCTCTTCGTGGACTCTTCAAGGATCCTTGTGTAAGACTAGCAGGAGAAATCTGCAAGGTTTTGTCGGAACTCGCTGCAAGCATTAGAAACCGACGTCACTGCTCGCCGGAGATTCTCTCCGACAGTCTCCAAGTTGCATTACAAGATCTCAACACAGCCATTAAATCCCAACCTAAACTCTTCCTCGGCGCTAACCAAACTGGCAACGTTTCTCAAGGCAATAGCGGTAGACATAACCCTAACGTTGCAGTTTCACAACACAATAATAAAGACACAAACGATGCTGCTTCACATCAAACCGTATCACGTCTTGAGCAAAACACTGGAACACCACGCGGGGAACGCTTGTCACGTTTTGGACCAAACGTCTCGTTTTCTAGATTGAGGGCTGATACTTTAGAACGGAGATCCGCAGCAGCGACTAGCGAAAGAAAGATTCTGAGGCAACAATTGAGCAAGATTGTGGTGATGACGAGTCTTGAATTCTCGGAGGCGTTACCGTTTGCTGCGTTTGCGTCACTTCTAGTGGAAATGGTTGCTAGGCTTGACAATGTGATTGAGGAAGTGGAGGCGTTGGGAACGATCGCCTGCTTTAAGGAGTATGATAACAACGTTGATCAGAAGGATGTGGAGGTTCGAGTCGAGAAGCCGACTGATCTAGTGGTTGGCGTAGAGTGAAAGTGCGGTTGCGAACAGTTTTGGTTTGGACCATGTCCATGTCGCTAGTAACCAACATCATGATCTTTAAAACTATTTTTTGGTTAGGTGGCTAGCTAGCTACGTACTACACCAATTGAGCTACATACATATTCCGGGTTATAGTTTATGATAAGATTTAGGAAGTTAAAAATCGAACTAATCGGTATGATGAGATTTGACTTTATGGTTTGATTTGATTTGGTTTAGTTTTGATGTGATCGATTCTCTTTTTGCAATGATGCATGGATATTGATTTTTTCGGTACTTATATTCGAAACATGTAACATGCATGAGGTGCTGATTTTCAAGGGTTCGCTAAGAAAAGTTTATGCGTAATATTTCTGCTTTGTGAAAGTCATTATTTTTGGTAAGTCAACCAGAGACATCTTGTACTCCACTCAAATGCTTTTTGGACCAACTAAAAATGTATTTTCTCAACGCTTACTAATACTTTATGCTACAGAATATTTACATAATAATGTAGTATTGAAGGAAAAATAAAATAACATAAATCGAACCAACTAATGAAAAAGATGTAACATTTTTGGGGGTTTCTTAGATATTTTTAGCAAGCAGCTACTTCACATTTGCCCTTTTTACATAATTTCATTTAAAACGACAAATTATATAGCATGTTATATTGGTCCCCCTTTGTATAAGTGAATCATCATCCCACACACACACACAGAAAAAAGACTGTTTCAAAATTATAATATTGCTTCTATTATAGATGTAGATTTAAAATGGGATAAAGGTTGATGTAAACACTATACAAATCTTTCTTTTTTACAATAATTTTATAAATTTCTAGTTATTATTTTAATATCGTTTAAAACTTGTGAGTTTAGCTGATATATTATATGAATAGTAGGATATAACGAATTGCCCGAATGATGGATCGCGAAACATTTTAGTTGAATAGAGTTTCCAAAGAATTGTAATAAAACACTAGTAAATCTAATTTTAGTAGATTAATGAAGTTTCAATTCACCTAAATACTTTTTTAGCATGACACGGTATATATGTACAAAACCATATTTTAAAAACATGAGGATAAAATTTAATTGAAAACGTGAAAATAATAGATCATTGTTTACGTATATAGTGAACGATGAATTCAGTTATTATTATATACAGTATAGATATATAAGTTGTGGCTTTTATTCTTATCACTCTCATCAAATTAATATATATATATATATATATAGGTTAATAGTTGATAGATTGTAATGTCAAAATAAGGTTCAATGGTGTTTCCAACTAATCATTGTAGTAGAGAAATGAAAGCATCATTATTGTCCATTCATTTTGCGACAAATTGACATCCATTAATTTGTTTTCCATGTCGACTGCTTATTCATCAATTAAACACCGACTTTCATGGGAGAAATCCAATTAAAATATAATAATTTTACATCTAAAAGGACCGTCCAAATCTTAAAAGAAAAAAAGTCTCTCATAATAAGATACTATTGATAGTCCGACTCTACAAAAATATGAAGGTTTGGGATTTATCTAGAAATCAATACAGATATTTGGATATTTGGAGACAGGTAGATAAAACAAAAACAGATAAATGAGAATGAGATAAATATAGAAAAAAAAAAAAAATAGGGACATTATGTTAAGTTTCGTAGGCAATGAGTGAATTTGTAAATGTTGCTTATTTATTATAGTAAGTTTCATCACATTTTCAATGTGGTATTCCTAACACGTTTTCTCAAAATGGTGAATTTTTTCCATTATATTTCTTATCGAATTCCACTCTAGAACCAAAAAATAAAGCATACTTGGAACAATAAACTGAACTCTTATAATATGTTAGGTAATATGGACTTATCATTCAAACTATTTGATAATTATTTTAAGTACAATGTTTGATCAACACACTAGAAGAGAAATGGTGTAAATAATAAAAAGGAATTCAACATGACTCAATGGAATAAATTTAAACGATATCTTTGTCATTTTGTTTTTTTTTTTATGGTACGTCGGTGATGGTTCTTTTATCTGGTCATAAATTTACTTTATAAAATATCTTTGTCATTTGAAAACCATCAGTCCAATACTCCAATCTCTCATCTTTTTGTAGTTTGTACCGTACAAAAACAAGATATATATATTATGTTCTTATCCTCTTAAGGTAAGTATGTGAATCACATGGTCGTACAAAGATATTGAAATTTTAAAGTTTTTAACTTTTGCACATATGATAATGACAATATATATAATCAAGCAGAGGTGGTGTTGTACGTTGTGTATTGAAAGGAATGTTTACGCATTCACAACGGCTTATCACTTATTATGAAAACAATAAACTAAAATTTTGAAACAACATTAGAATCCATTATTTAAATAAAAAAGTAAACTTAAGGTCCGATATGATTCTCTCTAGTTCACCCACTATTCTATATACAAGAAGCTAGAGTACAAGAAAACAAAAAACCCTTTCACATTAATAAAAAGATTATATATATTCTTTCATTAGAAGTAAACAACAAAACATAGAACTTGAAGATAAATATCAAAGAAAAAAATGTGGAACAAGGTCGAAGCACGGAGCATGGAGATTTCCATGGAAGATGAAGATTCTAGAAAGAAGAGAAAGAATGTTCTAAAACTTCCAAAGAAGATGAAGAAGATTCTAAAGAATCTATGGAATGTGGGAAAAGAAGATCCGAGGAGAGTGATACATGCTATGAAAGTAGGAGTTGCCTTAACACTTGTGTCATTATTGTATCTCATGGAACCTTTCTTCAAAGGTGTTGTAAAAAATGCACTTTGGGCAGTCATGACCGTCGTTGTCGTTCTCGAGTTCTCTGCCGGTAAGTATATCAACCACAATTTGCATTTTTCGTTTGTGATCTTATCTTAATCTACAGGAACAGAGAGATTAATCGAGAAAGATATCTTGTTCTTATTATAAGAACGTGTGAAATTAGAGCCGCCATTGAACAATAATTTGCATTTTTTACTTGTTATCATCTTGATTTATTCATACTCAGAAAGGATGTGTGTTTATGCATCTCTCTCTCTCTCTAAATATATATACACACACATATATCAATAATATATAAAAATGATGAATTCATCAGTTTCTAGTTTTTTTTTTTTTTTTTTTTTTTTTTGAAAATTTAGAAAAATTACAATTTCTGAATTAAAAATTTCGGGGGCCTAAGAATCAATTAATTAAGCCGAATTATGGCTGCACATAGAAAAAAACAAAAACATTTTAGCAGATTTTTTAATTGAAGTTAAGTGATTTTTTGTTTGAAGCTGTACTTACATTCTTCAAAATATCCAGCCACATGGTCGGTCCTCAAATGTTAATGGCTTAATACATTAGTGGTATGTGATAAAAATTAGTTGGCTACATTTTTTTTTGGTATGAAAATTAGTTGGCTACATATAATTGCAGGTGCAACATTACGCAAAGGATTAAATAGAGGATTAGGGACAATAATAGCAGGATCTTTGGCATTTTTTATTGAGTGGGTTGCTATTCATTCCGGTAAAGTCCTCGGAGGTATCTTCATTGGCACTTCTATTTTCCTCATCGGTACGTATTTTGGTATATATTGTTTCAATCACATATACGTTAAACGTTTTGATCGAATAATAAATATCTAACTACAGTAAAACCTCTATAAATTAATAATGTTGGGACCAAGAAATTTTATTAATTTAGAGAGGTATTAATTTATCGATAGATTTTACTAATTTTGTAATTTCTTAAAAAAATTATATATAAAAATAATCTTTTTTTAATAATCAATATCTTTTATAAACTAATTACAAGTAGAGAAGAAATTATTATGCTTGAAAAACAACACAAACTTTTTTTGAATAATAGAGTCATATTTCATTAAATTTTTTACATATAATATTTTAAATATATATCATAGTAATTCATATATGACATATATAAATTTCTATCATATGTTGATAAGTTAATTATAATATATATATATATATATATTGATACATTTATACAATTATTAATTTATGGTATAGATGAGACCATATGTTTACATGAGATTTTCAAAAAAATTATTATCTTATTAATTTATCGATTTATGTCATATTTTACACTGGTCCCAACTCGGGACCGGAAGAATTTATTAATTTAGAGAGGTTATTAATTTATAGAGTATTAATTTATAGAGGTTTTACTATACATCTAAATGTATATGTAGATGTTTTAGAATGAATGATTGAGACTGAGCCTAAAGAAACTTGTTACCATTATTAAGCATAGAAAAAAAAATCACATTATTAATTCAAACATTCAATTGATTTAGACATGCAATAAAAATAAAATATATATATATATATATATATACACATTATTTGCAACAAATCTTTTCATTTTTAATAATAGAACCTCTCATTTTGTTCTCTGCTTTCCCTCATATCTAACTTTTTTGTTTGCTTCATAGTTATCCAAAAATAATCTTCTAAAGCTTTTAACAATGAACTAATTTTCCACAATTTAAAGATATTAATCACATTGTATATTTCATATGTGTAACAGGATCGACGATAACATACATGAGATTTATTCCGTACATAAAGAAAAACTATGACTACGGTATGCTTGTATTTCTTTTGACGTTTAATCTAATCACAGTATCGAGTTACAGAGTCGATACTGTGATTAAGATCGCGCATGCGAGATTATATACTATTGGTATTGGTATCGGCATTTGTCTCGTCATGAGCCTTTTGGTTTTTCCGATATGGTCTGGCGATGACCTTCATAAATCCACCTTTACTAAGCTTCAAGGCCTCTCTCGATGTATAGAAGGTACATATTCCTTAAACCAAAACACTAGACATGCAAATTAGAGTTACATAATGTGAAGTACATAATACAAATATTGGTTTTTACCATACATAGCGTGTGTGCATGAGTATTTTGAGGACAAGGAGAGAGACCAAGAATCATCAGATTCAGAATCTGATGATGAAGACTTAATCTACAAAGGGTATAAGACTGTTTTGGATTCTAAATCCGCTGATGAAGCACTCGTAAGTCATCTTAAATTAAATATTTACTTCGAATCCGACTAAATTATTGATTGACATCGCGTATTAAAAATCTTTGTAAGCATAAATTTACATATTGACATATATATAGGCAATGTTTGCAAAATGGGAGCTAAGAAACACAAGGCTTTGCCATAAATTTCCATCTCAACAATATATCAAAGTTGGATCCGTTCTTCGCAAGTTTAGTTACACTGTTGTTGCTCTTCATGGCTGCTTACAAACCGAGATTCAGGTATATTTTCAACTTTAGAATGTTATTGTATATTTGTATATATGAATTATAACATATAGTTAGTTTTATTTAATTCTGTTTATGTTACATTTTTTCAAGACTCCTAGGTCTATTCGTATCCTATTCAAAGATCCTTGTGTTAGACTAGCCGGAGAAATCTGCAAAGTCTTGTCTGAACTCTCCGAAAGCATTCAAAACCGACGTCATTGCTCACCGGAGATTCTTTCCGACAGTCTCGAAGCGGCATTAAAAGATCTCAACTCCACAATCAAGTCACAACCTAAGCTCTTCTTAGGCTCTAACCTTCATAGTAACATCACTAACAAACACCTAAACGGCGACGTTTCACATTACAACGATACTAACTCACACGACATCGTTTCATATCACAACGATAATAACTCAAACGGCTGCGTTTTAGGACAAACTGTAGAACAGAACGACACCGTATCGCCACTTCCATTAAACAGCGTCGTTTCACTCTCTAGCTTGAGATCGGTGAAGAAATCGGCGGCGACCGGAGAGAAGAGGAGATTGAGGAAACAATTAAGCAAAATCGCGGTTATGAAAAGTTTGGAGTTTTCAGAAGCGTTACCATTTGCTGCGTTTGCGTCGCTTCTTATGGAAATGGTTGCGAGGCTTGATACTGTGATTGATGAGGTTGAGGAATTGGGAACAATCGCCTGCTTCAAGGAGTACGATAAGACTGTGGAGGTGCGAGTCGAGAAACCGGTTAATCTAGTGGTTGGAGATTGAATTGATCGGTACGATACGGTTTCGTTTGGTATAACAGACTGATTTTTCCTCCCGGTTTTCTTCGTGATTCGATTCTATTTTGCTATTAATTTGTGTTTTTATTTCCGAAATTTTGTAACACGAGGTGGTAATTTGAAGAGTTACGTTGGTTAAAAAAAATTCACTTTTTTTGTTTTGGTTACTTGGTAACTTTTGGCATAAACTACAGTAAACAGAAGTTGTAAAAGAAGGGAAAAAAAAAAAAACAGGGCCCAACCGGGTTCGAACCGGTGACCTATTGATCTGCAGTCAATTGCTCTACCACTGAGCTATGGACCCAAGTTGATGTATGATCACATATAGTTTTATTAATCCCTTAGCATATTGAGAAAAATCACATTACATTATAATACCAAAATAAGAAAAAGAAATTATAAAACTCATCAAATTAGTGAAAAGATGCAATTTTTTTGGAAATTATTCTTGTTTTAATTAATTGATATCCTATAACTTCAATTATGCTCCTTTTATATTGATTCAATTTCTTATCCTATATTTTTTTTTTTTTTTCTGTATTAAACGAAAATTATATAGTTTATAAGTGTTTAGTATTTTTTGGTCCCCCATCATTCCTTTTGTTAAAAGATTATTTTACACAAAATCATTGTTATCAACTTATCACTTACATAAAAGTTTATATAGTGACGTCACAAAAGATGTTATAATAGCTAGTGTGGTCCAATTAATCATTGTAATAGAAAATGAGAGATCGTTTGAAAGATGACAGTAGTGCATAAGCCTATTGAGACTTTTAGAAGAATCCATATGGAATATAAAATACAGTTTCATTATACTAATGACAAACATTTTCACATAAATATAATAATTCCATAAAAGGTAAGAAGTAAAAAAAAAAAAAAAAAAAAAACAGACGAAACTCATTCATATAGATATTAGACCAATGCTAAAAGTCTTCCAAGACTTAAAACGATAAAAGGTGTTTTTGTCGTAGAGAGAGACCAAATATTTCCGTCTATGAGAAATCTGAGTAACCGAATAAACCGGTTTGATCGTATCCATAATTTGTCCAATAACTGGTTTGCATAGACTCATCCATGTTTTGATCTAAGCTTGTACTCGCTGGAAAATCCATGTTTTGGTTACCGATGATCGGAAAATCAAAGTCTTGTTGGAAGTACTGAGATGCAACATCTTGGATTTGAGGATAGTCCTACAAAAAATTTCAAACCGTTAGATAAATAAACAAATGTTCGGTTAGTTATTAGTAAATTTATATTTGTGAATAAATCAATTCTCGAAATTGCATTCATTCTACAATCGTTTTTTTTTTGAATAAATTTTACATTCATACCAAAATAATAATATTTATAATTGTGTACACATACCTTTGAAGAATCGAGGATGAAGTCAGGTGAAATCCAAATGGTTGAAGAGTCAGTTTCAGTAGATAAAGGATTGGCAAATGAGTGAAACGGCATTGTTTCATCGCGACTAGGAGATGTTACACGGCTTGAAAAACCAGAGCTTTCTCCGGATCCAATTGTTTGCTCGCTTGGAATTTTTCGGATTTTCGAATTTGTTTTGATCTCTTTCTTCATAGCAACACGACATAATACAAAAGCTCCCTATAATTAAACACATTCAATTCTTAATGTTCTCTTATCAAATGAATTGAAACAAAAACATTAAAGAATATGATCAAAATATGAAGGTCTTACCTTCAAATTTTGTGATCCTTGTGATGAATCATCGTCGCATAGTCGATATTCATGCATGATCCAATTGCTTCTATCGCCTAACGGGGCACGACCTTTGTAGAATACTAGAGTTTTTCTATAGCCAATTATAGAAGATGAACGAGAAGTAATTTTCCTATCTTTTCCGGTTGCTTTCCAATAACCAGCCTTTGTTCCTCGGTTTGTACGAAAACCATTAGGATATTTTTTGTCCCTTGAACAGAAGAAGAACCATTCCATGTCCCGGTTTGGGAGAAATGACTTGTCTAAAAGTAACAATTCCAAAAATATTAAAAATTTGAAAAGTTAGAAACTATATTAAAAATATTTTTGGAAGTTAATGTATTACCTGGTAACTCCCAAGGATCAAAACTATAAAGATCAATAACCGGAATGACTTCAAGCTCGATCTCGAGACCTTCGACTTTTCTTTTCAAGTAATATTCGATGAGTTCTTCATCGGTAGGATGAAACCGGAATCCTGGAGGTAAACATGAACTTCCCATTTGCAATAACAAACTCACACTACGTGACTAGCTTGATACACAAAAAAGTGTTAAATCTTGATATCGATATTTCTTTACGTCACGAAGCTATAACTGTTAATATTTGGAAAATCCAGAAATAGAAACTTTTCTCGACGCTCGATTTGTTGTTTAGAAAAAATTGCAAGTCAAGTCGATTGTATTCTTCGTGTGACAAGAACATTGTCTGAAAGAAAACAAATTATTTCGTACAATAAAAAAAAAAGTAACCAAAAATCTTTAAAATGAAAAGATGTGGTAAGAAAGTAATATTGGTGTGAAAGCTTTGATTAAGGAATGATTTTTCTTAACAAGAAGTGCTTAGCGAATAATTAAGAGAGTGATTGTAGAAATTAGAAGAGGTTGGTAGAGTGTTGAATGGCTCTGGAGTGCTGAATATTTATAGCACAAAGTTGGTAGAACATTGAGGTATATATAAATGTAAATTGGAATTACAAAAGTTTGTTAGAATGTGGCTTTTATTTTTTACAAAATTATGGGTGACAGATAAAGTGATTAAGACATAACTTGTCTGAAGTGTTCTATGTAAAAATTCCAAAGTAAATGGACCTACCTAGATTCAAAAGGTTATATCATGTTCACACTTAGGCACAAGCAATTAACAGCTCATAATTCCCATTTTCATATATCTTTCATAGTTTTCTTCTTGACTTATCATTAATTTTATTTTCTATGATAGGCTTATCATTTCAATGTTCAACCATATAATTAATATGTGATTTACAACACAATCAGTTTTATGTAGATTATATATTTACTAATATGACAATGTAATGTTTTGCATCAATTGCTAATTTGCTATAGTTTCTTAAAACGTACCAATTGGTATAGATATTTTAATGTGTGCAACTTTTACACCTCAAGTTGTAACTTTCCCAGTCATATATTACTGTGATATTGAGTTTTAAAATATTGTTACACGTCACCATGCGTAGGACAAAGAACTTTTTAGTGTAACTAATCACTTTTATGTCATATGAAAAAAATGGAGAGAAGAAAGTGATAAAGAAAACTATTTGAGTCGGAACAAGCTAGTGGACCCGCGGCTGCTTTAATCAGACCAAAACATATCTAACATTTTCTAATTAGTCGATTTATTCATGCCTTTAAGAACGACCAAAGAGCCATTTTGAGTATTTGTTGGAAATATTTTTCAGAAGTTGTCATATACATGATATAAAGTTTCTTCTTTAGCCATTTTTGAATTACATTAATAAGTTCATATCCCGGAGATTAGTTTATTATTTAGCCTAAAATATCCCGTTTATATAAAGTTGCAGTTCATGGTTTCCCATTTAGTTGGACCGTTTTTTTTTAATAGCATTTGAAAAAAGGATGCCTAGATACGATGACTCAAATTTACACTGCATCATGACAAAGTCTTGATATGATAGGTCAATGAACTATTTGATTTTAAACATCACTAACATGAAGCTGAATACGAGTTTTATGCAGTTAACATGATAAGTCACATACTCTTAAAATTTCATAGTTAATTAAAACTAATATTATAGACATGGAGATGTTTTTGGCAACTAAAGAAGAAGAGCCAACAGCCAAGGGAGCTCCATGTGGCAACAAATCCTAAAGCTAAGGAGAAATGGTTTATGGTTCCTTTTACTGCAAGCTTAGATACGGGTAACATAACTTCTTTTGTGGTATGATCAACGATGTATAGACTTCTTATGGACAACTTCTCAATTTATTGGAGAAGAGGGTCCACGAATACGTGGCTTACTGATTGACTAGTATGTAGCTAACACTACTAATGAAGAAGGTTGGCGGTTTTCTGGTTCTCGAATCCACAATGTGGAGGTCTTCCTCAGCTACTTGATATCAATCCATGTCACAAACAACGAATATATATCTACGAGCATTTGGAGAAAGATCTCACATTAGAAAGATGAGAAAGGACTTGAGTAAGTATATAAGGGACATGAGTCAATCCACTTATTGTCAATTGGTTTTGAGCTGAAATCCCATAAATCAAAATTTAACATGGTATCAGAGCCCGAACACACACTGGCCCGTTAATCCAGCCCAGAAAGTGGCACGATCACCCCCACTAATTGATGGTCCAAAAAAGGCTAAATTCCGTCGAGATAGCTAGAAAAAACATTATCTCGAGGGGGCGTAATGGATTCTGTCAAGATTAATGGCTAGAAGAGTCATTATCTTGAGGGGGAGCAGTGCCGTGCTTATAGTGTTGGCAAAAAGGCATTTGCCTAAAGCCACCAAATTTTTTTTTGATTTTTAGGCCACAATTTTTTTTTTCATTGAGGTATTAGGCCACATTATTTTGTTTTAAGATTTTTTTTGCCTTATAATTTTTCTTTTATTTATGTTTGCCTTAAGCCACCGTACAGCTCAGCACGGCACTGAGGGGGAGTATGGAAAAAGATCCCACATTGGAAAGATGAGAAGGGACTTGAATATTATATAAATGACATATGTCAATCCACTCATTGCCAATTGGTTTTGAGTTGGAAGTCTATAAGCGCAAATTTTTTTTTTTTTTTTTTTTTTTTTTTTTTTTTTTGGAGGAAAAGCTTTTGGTACTCCAAAACACCCTTTTAGTTTCTCAAACTCTTGGAAAATTATAAGGCAGCCACTGTTGGAAATCCCTTGATATCATCATGTATGGCTCTTGGATTTAGTACCCAAAACATGCATCCACCATGTGGATCGCTTGTTTGAATCAATTACCCACCCTCTCCCGTTTATGCTCTTCGGGAATACAATTGTTGAAGATAACATTTGTTCTCATTAATTTGTGAAATGTATGTGAAAACAAGAGACAACATGTTTCTACGTTGTCCCAATAGCTATGACTTGTGACGATGGTGCACCAAGATTGAGATGCCACATCATGTGATTCTCAACTTGCCTCGTTCTTCTAACATGACTTGAGTCTCCTCAACAAGATAACCAAGAATCCATCCTTCGTCTTATCGCAAGTCGCAACCCAAGCTGTTATAGTTACGCCTAGAGGCAAGAACGTACCAACTGGATCTTCAGTGTTATAGGTTTGTTTAAACAAGTTGACTGAGTAATACGTTACACTTGCTCTGCGAGACATCATATCGCTTAGATTTATGGATGCAAACCGACCATAAACCAACCATAATTTTTGTAGTTCTGAGACTTTTTTACTTGGTAATTTTGTTGTTTTAGTAGCTAAAAACCGAAAGTTTGATGTTGCTAGGTCGCCATTTTATGTTTTTATAAGTCATTTCTTTTAAGAAGTAAAACCAAAAACTGTAACAAAAAATATAATAGAAAATAAAGATCATCCTTGATAGAATCCAGGTTTCAACTATTATTTAGAGTTCATAAAATATCTAAATCATATTTAAAATAAAATTTAATCCAGTTCTTAATCTTCCCATAAAAAGAAATGTGAAAACATACCAAATGTAGAAAGGGATGGTATGTTATGTCCCGACATCCATATCGGTGGAACAGTAGGCCAACTAATATATTTGGTTTGACGACACGGTTTTAGTTTACATAGCAAAATCTTTCACGAAAGGTTGAATTTTTATAAACTATTTGTAATTGGTTATATGTACGTAATTCCCATTTATTCGGATATTATAAAATACTATTTGAATTTTGACTATGACATGTAGCATAGTTGCTTCCAATATTACTGATGTGGAAGTGGAACCATATTGTAAAAAAAACAGGATATTGAATATAGTATTTTTTTTGTTGAATCGTTTTGTTCGAAATTGAGAAATTCAAGTGGCAGAAGATTACTTCAGTTGACGGTAACATAGGTCTCCTTCTATAAAAGTGTACCTTATCATTTTGGTAGAGTGGGAATATTCCCCCACTACTTTACGTACATTCACTTTAACCCATGGTATCGTTAACAGAAATTCATTATCAGAAAAGAGAAGTTATTAACCCAAAAAACCCTAAAAGCATAAATAAATGCATCATATGTAAAGGAAAATATACTCAGAAAAAGTTTGTCTATACGAATAACGGATCTATCAATGACCACCCTTACACGGATACCTATATTTTGTAACTAATAATGTTCTTACGTGGTGAAATTCTAAATATGTGACTTGAATTTTCTTTGTATAAACTACATCATCATTTTGTTAGATAATAAAAGATTTAATCAAAATAACAATTGATAGATAGATTGTATTATAACAGTTAGTATTAATATTTTCATCATATCATATTTATTATTTAAGATTTAAATATGATAATGTGTGTGTTAAAATTACAGATGACGAAAAGAGTACATATGTTTTTATAAGTTTATAGATACTATTTAAAGTTCTCTTTGTAAAAATGCTTTCTTTGTAAGTACAATTATATTATACCTAGTTTGTGTTTAAAGATAATGGAAAGTAGTTAATCATTGTTAGATAATTAACAAATGAATAAATGCAATTATATTATGATGGTAGAAAATAAAATATCAAGTTAAGTTGAGGAACCTAATCTCTTCTACGCGGTATGTGATCCGATGTTCGGACGGCTCATTGATCGGCTTGATTGGTTTGAGATCCAAATCCTTATATATGAAACGTACGATCATATACACGAATGCAACAACTAGTCTTAGACTTCTTTCTAGTCGTAGTTCAAGTTTATGAAATATAATAATTTTGAAACGGTAAAACTATGTTAGAATTTGAAGTAAACTAAATTCATAAATTGGAAGCTTGATAAAGGGAGAGGATGAAATTGGTGTCAAAGAGAAGCCATGAACGTTGGAAAAGGAGAGGACTCATCTTATCACTTAATCACACTTTGTCTCCTCACCTTTTTCTTCCTTTTGCTTTCGGCTCTCTTCTTTTCTTTCTTTACTTTATTTGCTTCTTTATTTTTCTTTCATCTTTTGTTTTTTTGCCTCTTCAAGTTTTAACCAACTATCATCGTTTTTTTGAGTAACGGAAATTTGTTTTGATGTATCATATAAGGATGCCAAAACTATCAGAAATAGAATAATTTTGTTATAACTCAGGCGTATATCATCATTTTATGTAGACTAATATTCCGTTGAGTGGATGTAAATTTTTTTTATGTGTGAAACTCTAATGACAAAAAATTTATATCATGTGAAAATCGATTAGTGGTTTGACCAAACATTACTATTTTGTTTATTTGACTAGTACATTGGCAGGATTTGTTTTGTAGTTGTTCACAATGTCAATGTCGTGTAAATAATTGGGTATCATTTTCATGAGGTGTGAACATCGCAAAAAAGACAAGACACTAACAATAGAGCAACATTTGTATGCATGAGTAAACATAATTTAGCAAAATCTGAATTATGTTTGGAATAACTTTTATATTATCATTTGAGAAACAAATACTCATATGCGACTGTTGAATTTTGGATAATTCGGATACATTAAATCACTAAGAGAAAGGACAAGAGTCAAATTCATGTTCGGATAATTTTGGATAATTTTAATATCTTATTTTTTGTTTCTTTGACAATTTGACAAAAAAAAATCTTTTCAATAATTTAAAATAAATTTTTAGAAAAAGCAATTAGATAATCTTATATTTTATTATCATGTTAAGTTTAGAAATTAAATTTTCAGTAAAGCTTTTCATTAATTATTTACGTCTTTTTAATTGTTCAAAAATTATATATGGAATAATAACTCAATTTTGCTGACCAATATATAGTATTTATATTAGTGTTAATTTTAATTAATTTTATTATTTATTTATTGGTATAAGATTTAATTGGACCATTAGATAATTTTATCTATTTGCTTTTTATATATTTTAATTATTTTATTAACGTTTATAATTATTTGACGATATTTTTCAGTTAAAGTCTTAATTATTTTGCTAGGTTCTATATAAAACTCACAACAAAAGTTCAGTTAGATTCAATAGTTACTATTTAGAATTGTAAAAATTTATCTAGATTCAGCCGAAAACCACTAAAAAATTTAGACAAATTCATCTATTCAGTCAAATTCAGCCAAAAATCCTCAATTACTATTTGGACCACATACCAATGTTTTTTTTGTTCAGCTCATACCATTGTTTTAAATACTTGTTTGAGTGTTAACCTCATATTTTGTTTCTAACATCTTGCTATTTGCTCTGGTTGCCGACTCTTTCAAATTGCTAACTTTAAATTATGTAGAGATTAGGTAGGATCAAATTTTACTTCTTTCATTTCCAATCTACGAATTACTCCAAAATTTGAGTTTGCACGAATTCCTCACCAATTACAAATATCTAATAATTCATCCAACTTTGTAGATGTTGACGAATCCGGGAATTCATGTGGTGCAATATCTGTATTTACAATAGTAAATGTTTTTTTAATCAAAAAGCTATAAAAAATCATATATGACATGCTTAATTATTGTTTTCTTCAAGATGATTGTAATGTTGGATTTCCAATTACAATATGTATATGTATTCAACCAAACATCCTTGTAGCTGCATGTTAACCTTCTTTTGCTTGAAAGTTGTAGGTCATAAATATTTCAACACGACCACATAATTACGTCTTATATTATTATGCGATTCTTATATATATATATATATATATATATATATATAAATGTTAATCATAAGTATAAAATATTTAGAAAAATTACCAAAACTGTGATTTTACTAGTTTTATTTACAGAAAAGAAGAAGATACAATAGGTTGTAGAAAACTATCATTTTGGTAGATTATTTGATCTGTGATAATTTTTTTTTGTTTTTTCAACGGTAGATCTGATAACTAAGAAGCTTTCTGTTGTATTAAAGTAGTAAGTAAATCATGTGGAAAACATTTATGACAGATCTCAGCTGTAACAACAATTTCTTCCTTAACTTGATTTCCATCAATACCATTCTGAGTTGCACCACCGTTTCTTTGCACTTGACCTCCATCAATTTATAAAAAAGTTAATTTAAAAAAAAAGATTCAATAAAATTTAATTAGATATTTTTTATATTAAAAACAAGTCTGAAAAAATAAATTATAGTAAAACTACAGTATCAAAATATTTAAGTCGTACAAATTAATAAACTTTTGGCATCTCAAAAATTAATATTTTAGTATTTGTCAATCTCGTGAATTTACTTTGATTTTACCATAACCAATAACCATACGCAAATATTAATGGGCTAACATTTATAGGCCCATTATAAGCCCATAACATAATATCACCTATCGAGCGTCATTTCAAAATTAAGATAAGATGTTCTGATAAACCTCTCTCCATGTTTCAGAGACACGAAGCCATCTTTACGCAAAAACCTCTCACTCTGCGTTTCTAATGGCGACTGTTCTTACTACAGCCATTGATGTCTGCTTCAATCCCCAAAATTCAGACACAAAGAAACACAGTCTATTCTTAAAGCCTTCTCTTTTAAGACAATCTCGTACCAGAAAACTCAACATTTCTTGTAGTTCTTTGAAACAACCTAAAACCCTAGAAGAAGAACCAATCACCACAAAAACCCCATCTCTCTCTGAGCAACTCAAGCCTCTCTCTGCAACAACACTCAGACAAGAGCAAACCCAAATCTTGTCTAAACCGAAATCTGTCTGGGTCAATCCAACAAGACCCAAAAGGTCAGTTCTTTCACTTCAGAGACAAAAACGTTCTGCTTACTCTTACAATCCTCAAATAAAGGATCTTAGGGCTTTTGCTCAGAAGCTCAACAGTTGTAATTTCACTGAAAAGTCTGAGTTTTTATCTCTTCTCGATGAAATTCCTCATCCACCAGATAGAGATAACGCATTGCTTGTGCTAAACAGTTTGAGAGAATGGCAAAAGACTCATACTTTCTTTAATTGGGTTAAATCCAAGAATTTGTTTCCCATGGAAACAATATTTTACAATGTTTCAATGAAATCTCTGAGATTTGGGAGGCAGTTTCAGCTCATTGAGGAGATGGCACTTGAAATGGTGAAGGATGGTGTTGAGCTTGATAACATTACTTATTCGACAATCATCACTTGTGCCAAAAGGTGCAATCTTTACGACAAAGCTATTGAATGGTTTGAGAGAATGTATAAAACAGGGTTGATGCCTGATGAGGTCACTTACTCAGCGATTCTTGATGTTTATTCCAAGTTAAGAAAAGTTGAGGAGGTTCTTAGTTTGTATGAAAGAGCGGTGGCTACGGGTTGGAAACCCGATGCTATAGCGTTTTCTGTGTTGGGGAAAATGTTTGGTGAAGCAGGGGATTATGATGGGATTAGGTATGTTTTGCAAGAGATGGAATCTATGGATGTGAAGCCTAATGTGGTTGTTTATAATACTTTGTTGGAAGCTATGGGGAGAGCTGGGAAACCGGGTTTGGCGAGGAGTTTGTTTAATGAGATGCTTGAGGCGGGTTTAACTCCGAATGAGAAAACTTTGACAGCTCTTGTGAAGATTTATGGGAAAGCGAGGTGGGCGAAAGATGCTCTTCAGTTGTGGGAGGAGATGAAGGCGAAGAAGTGGCCAATGGATTTCATTTTGTATAACACGTTGTTGAATATGTGTGCTGATATTGGATTGGAGGAAGAAGCGGAGAGGCTGTTTAATGATATGAAGGAGTCTGTGCAATGTAAACCTGATAATTTTAGTTACACAGCGATGCTGAATATATATGGGAGTGGTGGAAAAGCGGAAAAGGCGATGAAATTGTTTGAAGAGATGTTAGAAGCTGGGGTTCAGGTTAATGTGATGGGGTGCACTTGTTTGGTTCAATGCTTAGGGAAAGCTAAAAGGATCGATGATTTGGTTTATGTGTTTGATCTCTCGATTCAAAGGGGAGTTAAGCCTGACGATAGGCTCTGTGGGTGTCTGCTTTCAGTTATGGCCTTGTGTGAGAGTAGTGAAGATGCTGAAAAGGTTATGGCTTGTTTGGAGCGAGCTAATCGGAAGCTGGTGACATTTGTGAATCTGATTGTAGATGAGAAAACCGAATTTGAGACCGTAAAAGAAGAGTTCAAGTTAGTGATCAACGCAACCCAAGTAGAGGCAAGAAGGCCCTTCTGCAACTGCTTGATAGATATATGCAGAGGCAAGAAGCGGCATGAGAGAGCTCATGAGCTTCTCTATTTAGGAACACTTTTTGGTCTATACCCGGGACTACACAACAAGACCATAAAAGAATGGAGCTTAGACGTGAGGTCATTATCAGTTGGTGCAGCTGAGACCGCTCTCGAAGAGTGGATGAGAACACTTGCCAACATCATTAAACGCCAAGAGGATCTTCCCGAGCTGTTTTTGGCGCAAACTGGGACAGGAACTCACAGATTCTCACAGGGATTAGCAAACTCTTTCGCCTTGCATTTGCAACAACTCTCTGCACCATTCAGACAGAGCGATAGGGCAGGTATCTTTGTGGCTACAAAGGAGGATTTGGTGTCATGGTTGGAATCAAAGTTTCCACCTTTAGTTACTTCTCAAGCATGAAATATCATCCTCTGTTATCCTAAACTAAAAAGCAACATTATTTTTCCCAGTAAAGTTGTTTATAATTGTAATAGCATATTGAATTTTCAATCTTTTTGTATTACCATAAGGAAGAAGGAATCAAATTAGTTATTTGCAGTCTTATTCTCTCTTTCCCAAAAAGATTTGACTTTTCATAAAGATTCATGCAAAAAAAGCTCTCATTTCACAAAAGTAAACAACACATTCAATCTCTCTCTTACATGCATACACACCTTTCAGTTACAGTCTGAAAAGACCCATAAATATTTGGGACTTCCTCTTATAGCTTAGCAGCGCCAGCTATTCTGTCGCTTAGCATCATATGCTGCGCCATCATTGAGCATATCTTGAGCATCCGTCTCCATTCCGAGCTTTGAGAGCGCTAAAGCCTGCAAGTAAAAAGCTGTTGGCCATTCCGGTATGCACACCTGTGCCTGCATTGCATCTCTCAGTGCAAGCTCCTGTTGGTCTGTCATTAAGTAGGAGAAAGCCCTTCTAGCGAAAACTGTTGCAGAAGGAACCGGCATCATCCCCACCAACTGGAAACCATAGATACAGAAGTTAGAAATTCTTGTTGAACACTGAGAAGCGAGAATTATGGATTTGTTGCTTTCTTGTCTCACCTTTGAGTAGTATTCAATTGAGTTCTTGAAATCCTTGTCTCGGAACGCAATGTCCCCGAACTTTTTTGTGTTAAGCATCTCCTGCACTTGTTGTGTCCATTCTTGAAATGAAAGCTCATTTTCTGCACCTTCCTCATCTCTGTAACCGGTTTTAAGCAAAATGTCGTGAAATGTCGCAAGGTCCATCTTTGCACAGGCCTTTCCAAGAGGAGAAAGCATAGTTGGTAATATTACTGTGTTCTTTGGTAAGCCCATTAAGACATGAGAAGCAACCTAAGCAACAAAAGCAAAACCAGGATAAACAATTTGGATATGAAATTCATGATATTGTCGATTTCAGGAGGGATTATTTTAAACCTCTTCTTGCTTTTGTAGTGGTGCTACTGCAGAGAGAAGAAATTTGGTATCTGGTCGATCCTTTGCCTCTGATTGAAGGCATTTTGAAGCAAGCTCAACTAATTTAGTCGCATCTTCATTCGCATATTGCCCTTCAAGAGATGAATCCATAAGAAGCAATGCATTTTTCCCTCTTATGATATCAAGAGCCTGATATGAAACATCATCACCAATTCAGATAAGACACTAAAGAAAACCTCGGCTAATTGACGAGAAACTGACATAAAGTGAAGGTGACTAGAAGCACTTACATGGCTAGGTGGAATGTGTTTGCCGCTTAAAAGATCTAAAAGAATAGTTCCATAACTGAAGATCACACTTTCAGGAATGACTCTACCTGCAAAACAAAAAAAAATTAGAGACACTTAATCTTCAATAAGGAATTGGTTTGTCTTGAAGTACGATTCACAAGATCAAGAATGTTACCTGTCCGTAAAAACTCAGGTGGAGTATAAGCTAAGTTGGTACTGTAGCTTTTTCCATCTCTACTATTCTTCATAAGACCAAAAGTAGATAGACGAGGATCACCTTCCTCGTCGAAGAGGATTCTGTATGCATTTAGGTCATGATAGATTTTTCGGTTCTCGATATTGCAGTAATCAAGTGCTTGTGCAATAAAGTCTGCAATTCGAACACGCATATCCCATGGAAGTGGCTGCTTTTCCCCTACAAACAAACACAGAAAGAAGAGTGTAAAATATCTAAACAAGACTATAAACCAAGCTTATTACAAGAGAAAGATAAGACTATTACAGTGAAAGAGATGCTTTGAGAGAGTATCATTTGGCATATACTCTGCTACCAACAATCTCTCATCTCCCTCAGCGCAACAACCAATCAAACTGACTATTCTCTTGTTTCTAAGCTTCCCAACACCAGTTGCTTCCACCTGATTTCACAAGTCAATCAATCAAGGTCAACCACAGGACAAAGCTCCTATTTTTGTTATCTCAGGTTTCTATTTTGACTCTAATTATCAACAGTCAAGATAAATAGTCAATACATTAGTCGGATCCTAGGATTTAAAAGCAGCTATAAACCCAAAGTTGTGGACTTTTCTATAATTCAGCGGTAACCAAACTCAGGACAAAGCTTATTCTTTAGAAACCTGATGTCATTTTCCTTTTCTGCTACTTAAACTACACCTAAATCACCATTCTTTTGACAAGTCATTGATGTCACTTAGGGTCTCTACTCCGAGTCAATGAATCAGTAAACAAGATACAAAACAACAAAACATGCATTGACATATCTCAGATTTCTTACCACAAACTGTTGAGCATCAGGCCAAGATTGCCTAGAGAATCGCTTGATAGCTACAAGATGATTCCCTTCAAGCTTCCCTCTGTAAACCACATTAGGAGCTTTCTCTCCACCTTCAGAGACAATGCAGCTAGGACTAAACCCATTTGTTGCTTTCCTCAACTCATTTAGTTCAAATTCTTTGAAATTTTGGATTTCTTGATCCACTTGGTCCCCATTTACTGTAACCACACAACAACAAAAACATAGCCGAAAAAGGCAAATTAATCTACACAAGAGTTTAATTCCAAAAAGGAAGAGACTTTACAACTTTTTATCTGCTTTAAGCCATAAAAAAACCCTAACCCCACAAATGAAAGCAAACCCATAACAAGAACAGACGAAAAACTGCAGATTTACTTAGTAAGCAAACAAAATGTGAGATCTTGAAATCTAAGAGAATATTATTAATTACCTGATTCTGGTTTGTTTGGAGCTGATGGATCATCAGAAGAAGGTAGATTAGCTGTTTTGGAATGTAAACAACCCATTTGTCTCACATCAATCAAAAAGATTGAACAATTTGTTCTCCACAAAGATCAGAAATTTGGATAAGTAACAGAGATTTTTTGTATGTCTTGTGTTCTTGGATTGAGGTAATAAAAACAATGGTGGGATTTGATTTGGGGTTTGGATTTGTGCTTTGTGAGAGAAGCTGAGGAGGCAGTAGAATATAAAAATTTAATAAAATTTGAAAACTTAAAGACAAAAAGAAGTAGCTAGAGAGAGAGAAAGAAAGATCTGAAAAATATAGCTTCAAAAAGCTGCAGAGTTGAAAAAATAGAGGTAAGAAAAACAATAGAGTCATGTGAAGCAAAAGACCTTTAATTTTTCTGCTCTATAAGATTTTGCTTGCATATGCTTTTTTTTTTCCTCGGTACTATACACGAAATTTTAAATTTGGGTTTCAGTTTTTACCTGTGAAATATATATGAATTAACCAAACGTAATTTTTTTTTTATTCACTATGTTGAATCTTTTCAAATATGTTTAATTTACTTAAATTTTTTTGCTTTTTCAATATTTCCTTTTAAGAGTTCAACACCTTCATTGCACATAATCTTATGGCCGATAAAAAACACAAAACTGTTAGCATATTGAACCAATTTTTGTTTCCAGTTTATAAATAAAAATATAGTTCATAATAATGCTAACAACAAAATAAATAAAAAAATTTCTCGCTAAATAATTACCGACCGTTTTTACATATACTTAAATAAAATGGCTTAAATAGTTTAGTCAGCCTATAACATCTATTAAAATTGAAAAGCCTATATCAATTTTGGTTTTTATGGTTTAAACCAAAAAAAAGATCATTATATATCACTTATTTTGAATATTTGTATTACTTATAATTGATGTAAAAGAATTTTACATCACTTAAGTAAATAATTTAAAAATTAATGATGTAAATTTACTGTCTCTTTTCTATCTCTCTTTAAATTATAATAATAAAAAAAAGTTTACACCCACTTTCACACTTGCTCCACTGCCCATGGTCTTAGGCGAATAAGAGAACAGAGCATGTAGCAATTATTTTCATTATTGTGTTGTTGACTTTAATTTGTAGTTTAAAATAGCAGCGGTACAAATTTATACCTTCAATTATGTCACCAAAGAGTGTTTGAGATAAAATTAGACAGTAAACCATAAAAACAAAATTGATATAGGCTTTTCAGTAATTTACTGTCTAATTTTATCTCAAACACTCTTTGGTGACATAATTGAAGGTATAAATTTGTACCGCTGCTATTTTAAACTACAAATTAAAGTCAACAACACAATAATGAAAATAATTGCTACATGCTCTGTTCTCTTATTCGCCTAAGACCATGGGCAGTGGAGCAAGTGTGAAAGTGGGTGTAAACTTTTTTTTATTATTATAATTTAAAGAGAGATAGAAAAGAGAGAGAAAAAGAAAGAGAGAGAGAGGGAGAGTGTGTGTTACACCCGAGTGTAAAGTTACACCCGGGTGTGAGGAGAGAGACAATTTTCTTCTTTTTTTATTACCTCTAACACCCTTCAGCTTGCTCCACTGTGGATGCCCTAACTATGCAGAAAATTATTAACACTCGATTGAGCATTATTGATCCATGAGATAAAAATGTCAAGACGATTTGGTTTGTGTCATTCATTCTTTAAATTTTATTTTTGAAACATTGCGTTTTTGCTTATTTACTTTTGCTACGACTACGAGCCTATGACCATTTGATTTAAAAATTTATTGGACAAAGAAAATAGGTCACATCACATGACAAGTCTATCATGGGGCACGTGCCTCTACCTTCTTGGGTCCTGAATTTTTACCGAAGATGGAAAGTAACTATTTCTCTTTGCAACAATTTTATTAAAAATTAAGGGTCTTCTTTAAAATTAATTACTAGTAATATTTAGAAGTGTACTACCAACATAATCGGTATTTATTTTAGCATAATTCCAAAATGAATAAGTACCGTTATTACATGATTCTTTTCACACAAAAAGTCTTCGGTTGATATCAACCCCTTCACCGACAAAGTTAATAACGAATTTTCTATTTTGGAATAAAGATTTCCAGATTTTAATACTACACAGATCCTTAAATGATAGTACTTGTCTGAATCTTGAATAGTTTATCTTACTAATGTGGACCATAAACAAAAGAATCTTGGACCGAATCATACACTAATCATATGAGAATTTCTACAAAAAAATTGAGGATAAAGCAAACAATTTTCGATATTATTATTCTGGATTTTATATTCCAAATATCACAGTTACACAAAGAGCCTCTTTTGACTATTTTACTTGATGCAATGCAAATACATGAACTAATCTTTCAACAAATCTAAATAACTATTCTTCATCTATTACAAAATTCAAGCATCATCATCAACAGAAAAAAAAAATATGGAAAATCGACAATGCTTCATTCCTTGGATCTTCTAAAATTACGTGAAGAATCAAAACAAGCTTCTATATTGCTCTTTTGTAAATGTACTAAGAACTTGTCTCTGCAACAAAACCAGATAAAGATCAATCTTAAAACAATGTCTATTTGACTCAATAAATAAAAGGTTTTCAGCTTCTAACCAGCAATTCTTCTGTTGTAATTTTCTTGCAAGCTTGTGCTTGAGTCGATACTTTTTCTAACTTTCTTCTGCGTCTCTCGCTGTTTCTTCAACTTGGATAAACTAAGTGAACCTTCAACTGAATCATTGATGACGAAACAACTTTCAATGGATGCAAAAATAGAAATCGACGAGTGAAAGAGGATAAAGAACTATTCCAGGTTCATACCTTGCCATTCATATACAACTTTTTGTTCACCCTTGACGACTTTCGGATATTGGTCTATACGTGAATCCTCTTTGATTAACTCCTCAACCTGTGAATTAACCAAGAATATAAAGAACCATGAACCATGTCAGGCAACAAAAAGATTGAGAGTTGATTATAAAAACATGATACCTGCAACAAATTGTTAGAGAAAATCAGATCAAGCATCAGAGACAGAGACCAAAGACAGCATACCTTACTCCATAACAGAGGGTCTCTTCTTTCCCTAGGCAAAAGTAGATAATCACGTAACCAAGATGCGATAACCCAAGGCTCGCAATTACTAGTGTCTGCAGAATTTGATGCCACTGCATTCTCTTCCAGGAAGTCACAGACCTTATGAATCAATTCAAAATAAAACCCTGTTATATATTTTTACAAAAAAGACGAGGATAATTGACTAATCGAGATGCTGTACGGATAAGGGGTACCTGGTCGTATAACTCTTCCACTCTTCTTGAAAAATATCGCTTACGTTGAATTTTCCTACTCAATATTGCGCTGCCCACTAGCTGTACATCTCAACACTGTAAACAAGCTTGAAGATGTTGATCAAGTAAACTAAACCACTCAGAAGACTGGCTTTTTCTAAGAATACAATACCATTGCACATGTGGACGAGATAATTAAGATGTGCCTCAAGAGCCATTGACGCATGCGGCAAGTCAAGGGTTTGTAGCTTCCGGCTACGGATTCAGGGCACTTCAACTCATCAATCCTTCAAATAAATAAAAGAAAACGGAAGAATCTTTAATCAATAGTTAGTAACCAATATAACTACTTAATCAGTGATGAAACTACTAACCCATTAGAATTAGTCCTTTTCTCTAGTAGCTCGGTGACACCTTCTACCGCCTTTCCTTTCAAAAAATTGTAAGCAGACTCGTCTAAGTTATTCAAGCCGTTGCTACGTAGTTCTTTCCAAACATCATTCTCCGGAACCTGATGAATCGATGAAAGCAGCTTAGTGCAATGCTCAATATTACCACAATATGAACACACAAGTAAAACCAAAACACAATAATTAAAGATATCAGAAACATACCCAAATGGCTCCAGTGCCATAGCATTCATTATGAGCATATGCTTCACAAACTTTTCTCTCAAAATACCCAACCTGAATCCACAACACAACAAAGTGGCCAAAATTTAAACCAAATAATCAACAACAACACAAAAAATTTAAAAGTTTCGATTTTTCGTATAATTCAATACCAATTTCTTGGTTGATTCATAGATTTCTCCATCTTCTACACATAAATTTCTTTGCTTTTTGTATCCAAGATTACATTGCAACTTCCCTTGGTAACATTCTCCATTAATTGGACAAGGTTCACATAAATCTGAAACAACGAAATTGATTATTTCACAACGGAATTACACAATTCAACTATGAAATAAAGGAATTAATTATGATTCTAGAGCTTACCCAAGTCTGAATTGGTAAAATCATAGTTACTATCGCAGAAAGATTTAGTAGGGTTTGAGCTCAGAGACTTAGCGAGGAAATTGCAGGTAAAAGCCACAACACAAGCGACAAGCAAAACCTTCAATAGTCTGAAGAACTCTTCCTTGGAAGGAAAGAAGCTTTGTGGTGGCTCGAGCATTGATCTGATCGGAGAAGAAGAAGATTTAGGGTTCCGTTTTGGGGTTCTGGTCTCCGATTTGGGTCGCTTCCTTGGTATCGAATCCATGATCGGAAATTTCGCAATAATATAAAGTTTATATATTTTTAAGAATGTGCCAAAAGGCGAAAAAAAAAAAAAAAAAAGAATGTGCCAAAAAAAGAATAAAGTTTAGATGTTTTGAGGCTTCTTTTATGGGCTTAGTATTGATCCATTATGGGCCTAAATATAAAATTCAAAGTCCAGGAGGATTAACGAGAAAGAGAAAAACTTATAATTTTGTGTAACAACACCATTCCCAGGATTAGAAGGGATAGAATCCAATTACTTCCATAATGTTTAAAACTTGTTACTATTGTTAACAAAATTAATACGCGTTTTTTTAGTGATACGTATAGAAGTAACAGTAGAATTAAAGTTATACGCGTTTTATCTAAAGTATTAAACAACCCTCAGAAAAAAAAAAGAAACTTCTATCGCCGTTTTTGTCTTCCTCCTCCTCCTCACTGACTCTCCACTCGATACTCCAAAATCTCGATACTTTTCCATTAATTCTTCCTCAGGTAAGCTTCTTCGCTTTTCTTATCTCTGTTGAATCATACTCCTTTCGCTATCTTCCATTGATTTCGTTTCTCAAAGTACATTTTTTCAAGGTTTTTTTATCGATCGCGAAATTGATAAACCCTAATTCTTCACATTCTTCTTCTATCGTAAATTTCTTTTTAGTGAGATTAGTCAGGATTTGGTCGGAATTTTGATGGGTATCTAATTGTTGTATCGATTTTTATGGTTTTGATGTATAAACCCTAATTTCGAGTCTTTTGTTGTCGCGTAGATAAACCCTAATTTTCATTTGTTTTTATTATGCTTACAGGTTTCGTATGTTTGTGTAAGAATGGTTGCAATACCCAAACTTAAGATAAAGTTTGGTCCTCAAGGTTCTGTCAGAACATTCCAAACGTTTCCTGGTACTTCGAAGAAAATTGAGCATTCACTCGGTGAAGAGAAATCGAAGAAGCGTGGACCTGAAGAGCTAGATGATGTTCAAGCTAAGAAGAAGCAGAAGCTAGATTGTGATTGGTCTAGTCAGTGTTTGGCATTGTTAAGGTTTTTGATGGAGCACCGTGTTGGTTGGCTCTTTGAAGAGCCTGTGGATCCTGTTAAATTGGAGATTCCTGATTACTTCTCTGTAATACGAAAGCCAATGGATTTAGGCACTGTCAAATCAAAACTTTTGAAGAATGTGTATGGTAATGAAGATGAGTTTGCAGCGGATGTTCGGTTAACTTTTTCCAATGCGATGCTGTATAATCCTCCGGGCAATGAGGTTCACACGATTGCAAAGGAGATTAAGGAGATTTTTGAGGTTAGATGGAAATTACTCAAGAAGAAAATGGTTTCGAAATTGTCTGGGACTGAAGTTACAGAAGGTTCTAAGAGACAGCCTGTTGAAATCGATTGTTCCAGACAGAGCAGCCCTGGAACATCAGCTTCCTCTGGGGTTTTCTCCGGGGGATCGACAAAACCAGCAAACTCCGCTCTTTCGTCAAAGCCAGTGAAAGCGCAGAGCAAAAAGGATACTCCTGCTGTGACGCCGAAAGCATTAGCAACAAAGGTACGATATATGGTCAAAATCCTAGACTTGTTATCATTATCATCGTTAAGTTACTGATATGATTGTCATATATTTGATATTTTCAGGTGAAGATTACGAAACTTGATCAGGGCTTTGGAGCCAGTTCGGCTGTAAAAATCCCAGCCAAAGGTACATTGTTGGAGAAATTATTTTCTGCTTTGTGGCTTCTCAGCATTGGAGCTTATCATTTGCATGACATGCAGGCTCAGTTCGAACTGCAGCCTGTAAATGTGGTTCATGTGGTAGGATTATTTGCGTTTGTCTCAAGTCGTGTAGCTCATCTGGAAGTGAAATTTCTTCATTAACGGTATATACAGACTCTTTCGTGATCTAATTCAAATTTAATTTCCTCTTAGTCTTGTCACTAACAATAGGAATTCATGTTTCAATGCTCTTGTCCAACAGGATTGTCAAGTAAAGAACAATTCAGGTGCACAAGCGAGCGAGTCCGATCCTCAATCCAATGGTGAGAAATCTAAAGCTATCTTTCCTATTGTCCTTCAGAATCATATTCTATTATCGCTACCTTTGTAACAGTATACTTTTAAATTCTATATGAATGAAGGGTCTGTGACTTCAAAGAATGAGCGAAATGGTAGTGTCAATTCTCAGCTTGATAAACCTTCAAACAATGCTCTGTTGAATAATGGTAAGTTGTTATTCCTCTCTTATGAGTTCAATCAAATATGCGGAATTCCTCTTTTTTGTATAGTTCGGTGTCTTAATACCATTCTATGATTGCTACAGAGTTGAAAACGACTTTTCCTGCTCTGCCGCCGGTACCTCCTGAGAAAGCTCTTCGTGCTGCAATACTCAAAGCTCAATATGCAGAGACCATTCTAAAAGCTAAACACAGAGTAGTCCTTGACCAGGTTTCATTACGTTCTTGATCCCAATTACTTAAACATACACTTTCGACAGCTTATGTTTTACTAAAAGTTGATGTCTTGTTTATTGACAGAATAACAAAGCTGATCTAATTAGACTACATATAGAAAAGGAACAGATGGAAAGAGCACAACGTGAAGGTACACTATTACGTGTTCTAATGGAAGTAAAAAAAGGCTCAAACTTTTCGATGTTAGCCTCTTATGTTTCACAAAAAATACAGAGAAAGCTAGAATTGAAGCCGAGATGAGAGCTGCTAAGGTAGCTGCCCGAATGAGGGCACAAGCCGAGTTGAAACAAAAACGTGAGACGCAACGGCTTGAACTAGCAAAGGTATTTTGTGGAAATTCGTTTAAGAACCGTTTTTGGAGTTTCTTAAAACTCTGTTTTAACAGAGTGAAGAACCATGAGTCTAATATCTGAAAACATGTCTACAGATGAAAAAAGGCTTCGATTTTGAACAGAACAACCACTTGAAATTGGAGAAAGATTTTGTTGAAGTCTGTGGATGCTCTAGTCTGACAAGAGCTCGGTTGTTACTTAAAGAGTTGGGTCTGGTTTTAAGAAGTGATGATCGTCCGGAACTGGAAGAGATCGGGTCAGAAAATTTTGATGCAATGAGAATCGAGGATCTTGAGGAAGGAGAGATCCTTTAGAGTTTTTCTCTAAAAGAAACCTCCTGGATGTAATTTTTGACCATAACGCGAGTGCTTGTGACCTTAACTTTTTGTTAATATATGAAAATTCTATTAAATTATTTTTGTCTTAGTGTTCTAAAAACTGACTTGTCCTTTCACCATGTTTACATTTTAGTAATTAACTATGTCACATGTATCCTTCACTAACCTTTTCTGCTTTCAATGCTTTTTTTGATAAAACGTTGTGAATCGCATCAAATATGTTTTCACTAACCATATTTAAATTAATAGGTCGTTAGTCTTTCTATTAATAGAAAGAGACATGAGTGAGGGAAGGATTGGCAATTCACACTGGCACAACACGTAAGAGTAATCAACAGTAAAAGCCTTTTCGCTGATTATCTATCTCGGCTTTTTAGGGCTATAGGAGACCATTTTTCTTTTAGATATAGTTCGAACGATCTAGCTCGTCTTTGTAACATACTAACACTCATTCCTGTAGTCGCCGAACTAAAATTTTTTTGTTCTTCCCTAAAACCTCTTATAAAATACTTTGTTCGATCTTTGTATCAACATATATTTTGAAAAAGATGTGAAGTGATAAAATGAATGTAGAACACAAGGCTTATATTTTTTTTTTTTGGTAAGTAGAACACAAGGCTTATTATCAACAAAAAAAGTATAACATTTCACAAGGCTCATTCGTGGAATTTAAAATAAAATTTTCATGTGGTGTATTATTTAATCATATATAGAAGAGACATGACAAATTAGAAAAAAAAAATATAACCTTTTGATGAAAATATATATGATTCATATTATATATATATATGGTTTTAGTTTAGAAGATAAAATTATTTTAGTAAAATTTTCATTCTTAAGAATTTATAAAATGGTAACTTTAGTTTCTCTTTATTTTTAATTATCAATATTTTAAAACAAATATTAATTAATTGTATGATATAATATGTATAAATATAAACCTAAATCATAAAATTTTCTTACTATAATTCTTTGAATTATTAATTTGCCATATGTCATTTCTTTATAAATTGTAGGATTAAGTAAAAACTATTAAAAGAGGGAATTAAATATACATTTAGTTGCATATTTTATAAGCATATTAATAGATATAGTGCCATATCTAGCTAGTACTACCATTTTCTACAAAAAAAAAAATGATTTATTTGCAGAGGAAAAAATTGTTCTTTTCATGGAAAATATATCAAAATGTGAAAATAATAATCAGGGATGTTGAGATAAGATTCTTGATATCTACCCTCATTAGCTGTAATAGTGATCATTCTTGTATACCACATACTGTCATTAATCATTTAAATATACACAAATTATAGAAAATAATATTATTTTTAATGGAAAATTAAAACTCTATAGCAAACCCATAAACCATAAAGTCCAAAGAGTGAATCTTAAATCTCTATCTCCTTCTATAACCCATAAACCTTTCGATTAGATAAAAAAAGCCCATCAATAGTCTTTTGATAAAACTCTCTGTTTATCAATAAGTACGTAAATCATAGAGGCAAGAGAAACAATGGCGGAGAAAGCGAAGAAGAAGAAAAATGGAGAAGGAGGAACTCAGAGAATAGCGTTTTATAAGCTTTTCACGTTTGCAGATCGATACGACATCGTTTTAATGGTCATCGGGACCATCTCCGCCATGGCCAACGGCTTAACTCAGCCGTTTATGGCAATACTCATGGGGCAGCTCATTAACGTTTTTGGTTTCTCCGATCATGATCACGTGTTTAAAGAAGTCTTCAAGGTAATTGGACTTCAAATTATTGGTTATACGGTTGGTGAAATTTTACAATTCTTGACTAGTTGTTACTTGTTAGTCACTGATATCAGTTTAACTGAAATTAGAGGCTTAGAGCAGCTCCATCGATAGAAACTATGATTTCTTTTTAGTTATATAATTTCTTTTTCATTTTTTTAATAATCTAATCAATGGAAATATGACATGTGTCCATTAATTTGTAGAAACGCTTCTCATTGTTTCTCGTTTGATATAATTACTTCAATAATTTTTTTTTTATTAATATAATTTGGTAAGATATCCTCCTCCATCCCACCGATGAAGGTACCATTACACCTAATTACTTTTGGTTTGTGTACTCTCATATGAGAAATCACTAATAAATTTTTATGTTTTAGTTTATTATGTAAATCATCAAATTCACCAAAATTTGTCTTCTATATTAATATATTATTGTTCTTTTAAATTTGTAAAAAGTGATAATATTTTTTTCTTTTTGTTAATTCCTCTTTAAACTATTTTCCATTTGTTTGATTTATATATTACTTAAACGCATTAGTCAGTGCATGCATGAAACAAATGTTACGGTTTATATCGATTTAATTCTTGATTAATTTCAGGTTGCTGTGAAGTTTGTTTATCTTGCGGCCTACGCCGGTGTTATGTCCTTCCTGCGTAAGCCCAAACTATGTTATTCATCTCTTTCATCCTTAGCCTAACTTGTTTACAAAGAACTTTTTCGTTCTTTCGCAGAGGTCTCATGCTGGATGGTAACTGGGGAGCGTCAATCCACAAGAATCCGCCGGTTATACCTAAAAACAATTTTAAGACAAGACATTGGATTTTTCGATACTGAGACAAATACCGGTGAAGTCATCGGAAGAATGTCAGGAGACACCATTCTTATTCAAGATTCCATGGGAGAAAAGGTTTTAAATGATTTCTACGCTATCGGATGTTTCTTGCAGTACAAGTTTCTTAAACTTTTTTTTTTTTCTATGACTTTGATATCCTTAGGTTGGGAAATTCACACAGCTCGTTTCATCATTTGTTGGTGGATTCACGGTTGCTTTTATAGTAGGCAGGAAACTCACATTGGCTCTTCTTCCGTGCATTCCTCTGCTCGTGGGCACGGGTGGAGCAATGACCTATATCATGTCAAAAAAGGCTCAACGTGTTCAACTGGCTTACACAGAAGCTGGAAACGTAGTACAACAAGCCGTTGGGTCAATTAGAACAGTTAGTTTGGCGGTCTTTTAGAATTACATAGATTCATGTGTTACATTTCAATATTTTGATGTTCTTTGTTTATTCAGGTTGTGGCGTTCACTGGGGAGAAACAAGCAATGGAAAAATATGAGAAGAAGCTTGAGATTGCCTACAGATCTATGGTTAAACAAGGGCTATACTCTGGTCTAGGTATTGGTATAATGCTGGTTGTGGTATATTGTACCTATGGTTTTGCGATTTGGTACGGTGCTCGGCTGATAATGGAGAAAGGATATACTGGAGGTCAAGTCATAAACGTGATTATGTCAATCTTGACTGGAGGAATGTGAGTAAAACGATTACTTGTCCTTGAAGAAATCTTGTGATACTGAAAGCCCTAATTTTTTACACATTCAATTCACTTCGTAGGGCGTTGGGGCAGACATTGCCTTCTCTTAACTCTTTTGCGGCCGGAACAGCTGCAGCTTACAAAATGTTTGAGACTATAAAAAGAAAACCGAAGATCGATGCTTATGACATGAGTGGTAAGATTTTGGAAGAAATTAAAGGCGACATCGAGCTAAGAGATGTGTACTTTCGATATCCGGCTAGACCTGACGTGCAGATCTTTGCTGGATTTTCGTTGACTGTACCGAATGGCATGACCATGGCTTTGGTTGGACAGAGCGGTAGCGGAAAATCAACTGTGATAAGTCTAATTGAGAGGTTCTACGATCCAGAATCAGGAGTAGTTTTAATTGATGGGATTGACTTAAAGAAATTTCAAGTGAATTGGATCAGAAGTAAGATTGGTCTCGTAAGCCAAGAACCTATACTTTTTGCGACCACAATTAGGGAGAACATTGTATACGGCAAAAAAGATGCGACCGATCAAGAAATTAGAACCGCGCTTCAGCTTGCGAACGCTAGTAAATTCATCGACAAACTCCCGCAGGTAGTTAAACTTTAGGTATAACCACGTTGGTCGGTATAAACCAAGTTTAGATTTCTTAATTCTTTGTTCTCTTTTTCCAGGGTTTGGAAACGATGGTAGGAGAACATGGGACGCAATTATCCGGTGGGCAAAAGCAAAGGATAGCGATTGCGAGGGCGATTCTGAAAAACCCAAAAATATTGCTTCTTGATGAAGCTACAAGCGCTTTGGACGCAGAATCTGAACGCATTGTTCAAGATGCTCTTGTAAAGCTAATGTTGAGCAGGACCACTGTAGTGGTGGCTCACCGACTTACCACCATTAGAACCGCTGATATGATCGCTGTTGTGCAGCAGGGAAAAATCATTGAGAAAGGTTAGGGTTTTGAATAATACCTTGCACGACAAGTAAAAGTTTTTTTTCCTGTATATGAACAAAAGTTTTTATCAGGAACTCATGATGAGATGATTAAAGATCCCGAGGGAACATATTCACAGCTAGTTCGTCTACAAGAAGGATCTAAGAAAGAAGAAGCCGAACCAGAAAAGTGTGAAATGAGTTCCGAAATCGAAAGATCGGATAGCCATAGAAGGCACTCATCAAGTAGTCGCCATTCCTTCACCCTCACATCACCATCTGGTTTACCGGGAGTGATTAGCTTGGACCACACGGAAGAGTTCCACGAGAATATCTCTTCCACCAAAAATCAAACGGCCAAGAAAAGCAAGAAAGTATCATTAAGAAGGCTTGCTCACCTTAACAAACCAGAGATTTCGGTTTTGTTGGTCGGTTCATTGGCTGCAGTGATTCACGGTATTGTGCTTCCTGTCCAAGGTTTGCTTTTGTCTCACACAATCAGGATATTCTTTGAGCCTTTCAATCAACTAAAGAATGATTCTCATTTTTGGGCTCTCATTTTCCTCTCCCTTGGCTTAACCAACCTGATTGTGATTCCGTTTCAAAACTACTTCTTCGCTATCGCTGGAGGAAAACTAATCAAACGTATCAGATCGTTGTCGTTTGATAAAGTTTTGCACCAAGATATAAGTTGGTTCGACGATACTACGAATTCTAGGTAATGTAATCAAACATCTTCATTTTCTTTTTGGTTTCAGAACTGTTTTATGTTGTTTAATATTGAGTTTGTTTTTTGTCTAGCGGTGCGATTGGAGCAAGGTTGTCCACGGATGCTTCGACAGTGAAGAGTATCGTAGGAGATGCTTTAGGGTTGATCATGCAAAATATGGCGACTATAATTGCAGCATTTATTATAGCGTTTACGGCTAATTGGTTATTAGCTCTAATGGCCCTTCTGGTGGCACCAGTAATGTTCTTTCAAGCATACTACCAGATCAAGTTTATAACGGGTTTTAGCGCAAAAGCAAAAGTTAGTAGTTAGTATTCAACAACCTTGGTTAATTTCTGGTTCTATCTAATCTAACATGGTTTTTACTTCGATTCAGGGAAAGTATGAAGAGGCTAGCCAGGTCGCGAGTGACGCGGTGAGCAGCATAAGAACAGTTGCATCATTCTGCGCAGAGGATAAAGTGATGGATTTATACCAAGAGAAATGTGATGTACCAAAGCAACAAGGTTTCAAATTAGGACTCGTGAGTGGTTTGTGCTATGGTGGCTCATTCTTGGCTCTCTATTTAATCGAGTCCTTATGCTTTGTCGGCGGTTCCTGGTTGATTCAGACCAAGAGGGCAACGTTCGGAGAATTCTTTCAGGTATAAAAAAGAGTAGAAAAAAGTTATGAGGTTACATTATAATCCGGTTTGGTTCGGGTTTGTGATATTTGTGGTTTTTAACCTTGCAGGTTTTCTTTGCGTTAACTTTGACAGCCATAGGAGTGACTCAATCTAGTGCTATGGCACCTGACATAAACAAAGCAAAAGACTCTGCTGCTTCGATTTTTGATATTCTCGATACTAAACCGAAAATCGACTCGAGTTCCGAGAAGGGGACAGTATTACCAATCGTCCAGGGCGATATCGAGTTGCAACATGTTAGTTTCCGGTATCCTATGCGACCGGATATACAGATTTTTAGTGACTTGTGCTTAACTATATCATCTGGACAGGTAACAAACATGTAAACTAAGAACAAAAACAGAGGTTTTTTCGGTTTAGTTGTATTGAATTGATATAAATGGTTAACGGTTTTGTTTTTCAGACCGTAGCATTGGTTGGAGAGAGCGGAAGCGGTAAATCGACGGTGATAAGCTTACTAGAGAGATTCTATGATCCAGATTCAGGCAAGATTCTTTTAGATCAAGTTGAAATCCAATCGTTAAAATTGAGTTGGTTAAGGGAACAAATGGGTTTGGTTAGTCAAGAACCGGTTCTGTTCAATGAGACAATAAGATCAAACATAGTATATGGCAAAACTAGAGGAGCCACCGAGGAAGAGATTATAACCGCGGCAAAAGCGGCTAATGTGCATAACTTCATCAGCTCATTGCCTCAAGGCTACGAAACGTCGGTTGGTGAACGCGGCGTACAATTATCCGGTGGTCAAAAACAGAGGATAGCGATCGCTCGGGCTATTCTTAAGGATCCTAAAATTTTGTTGCTTGATGAAGCGACAAGCGCTTTGGATGCAGAGTCTGAGCGGGTGGTGCAAGATGCTCTTGATCGGGTGATGGTGAACCGGACCACGGTTGTGGTGGCTCACCGCCTCACTACGATTAAGGACGCAGATGTGATCGCGGTTGTGAAGAACGGTGTGATCGCGGAGAGTGGAAGACATGAGACGTTAATGGAGATTTCAGGTGGTGCTTATGCATCACTTGTAGCTTTTCACATGAGTGCAAACTGAGACAAAATGTTGTCAATGATTTACAATATTCTATTACTTAACTTTGTAATCATAGAGACTAATTCTAGTGCTTAAATATATTTAAGTAAAATTATATTTGATAGCTTTGTCAATCAATTGTCTTTTAAAGAGATTTCCTGTCTTTTTTTTGTCCTGTAAATCTTTGAAATAAAGAAATATAAAGCAATTTATTTTTAGAAAGTTCAAAACGTACCAAAGCGGTTCATGTCGAGCCGGACCACTGTAGTCTTATTACATAGATTGATAAAAAAGACGAGTAAAGAAAGAGTAATATGGAAAATTGGCCTAGGCCATGTAAATTTTCAGGATCTTCACCAATCGATGCCAAGATTCTTGGAGAGGAAGAGGTAATCAAGATATGCGATTACTGTTGCGGATGCAGAAACATAGCTTTGAATATGTATCTTGGCCGTTTCCTCTGCAAAACATTCAGAAGAAATGAAATAATGTATAGTAAGTAGCTTTCCAAAACATATCGAAGAATAAATAGATATCGGAACAGACGTTCTAATGCTTTGTAATCAGATTGTCTACAACCACAATTGTGTTTCAAACGCCAATTTTTATGTTTACATACAAAAAATGTTTCAATTTTAAGTTGGAAGCAAACTCAAAATGTTTCAACATTGTAAAAGGTTCTATTACACCGTTTGAATTGTAACGCTTTTGAATATATATAAGTTTACGAGGATTATCGTTGTCTATTGTTTATATAATAAAGTTAAACATAGATGTTTTACACCAGTATTACTTCTTAAAAGTTTACGGAAAGAATTCAATAAACTCACTAATTGATTACTGGTTCTTTTGAAGAAAAACACTAACAAGAAACACAAAAATAAACAAAATCTAATGTTGTTTTAACTCTATTTTAGTATTGTTCTTCCCTTTTTTTTTTCTCTCTTTTTTGGTCTTGTTGTGGTAGTTTTTCTCTTACGTTGAGTCTCATTTAGTTTCCTAGGTCAAGGTGTCTCTAGGAGTCCTAGGCTACTCTCTTGTGTTTTTTGGTGTGTTTAGCATGCTTTCAGGTCACTCGGAGGCTAGGAGATGCACTTGGAGATTTTGGAACTTGCTTAGTCTTATAATTTGTTTTTAGTCATTTTAATCATTTATGCTTTCATTGCTTATATTTATGTTGTCCATTGGTTAGACTGGTAAAACCCTTTTGTTTTAGCTTAAATAAAAAAATTCGTATAGTTAGTGTGCTAATCCTATTTTCTTGTGCATTTGATCTTAGTTACTAAAAGAAAAATAAAACAGAAAGTATCAACAAGTTAATTAACTCACCAGTTTCATTGAACATTCGAAATAGTTCAGCCTTTGAGAGAAGAAGAGAGCCAAATCCTGTAGAAGCAGCTAGCTGAATAGCCCACCCATGGTGCGGACCAAACACCTGATTGTAAGCTTTATATGCTGCATCCTTTAGGGGGCTATCAGCTCTACAAATCATATTCAAACACATTTAAAATCTTTTGATATTGACCCAAAAAAGAATAGTTACAACAAGTACTCAGCTAGCTAGCATGGAATTATTGCAACACATTTATATTGTGTTAATATATAGGGGCATAACCAAGTGATGATAGTTCAATGGTTATGGCTTATTCGTCTAGAACAGTAATCGTTTTCCACTGGATGCACATTCTTTTTGACCACTACGGATCGACTAATCCCATAGGAGCGCACCTGCATATCATCTTAAACATCTAGAATAGTGAGAGGCGAGCCCAATGCCATACTAGTGAGAGCGCATAAACCCCAAACAAGCCCAAAGTCCACTAACCCATACGCATCATTTTAATTTTTAAGCGAATGCGAATTTACGCCTTAAGACTTATGTTTATTAGGGATAACAATGTGGTCCTGACAGTATATAAGAGATATAGGTCATCCACTAATTGCTAATTGATTTTGAGTTGGAAGTCCATATTCTAATAATGTTGTCTTCCTACCATCCGGCCACCATCCTGAGGTAGGAAAATATGTTCCTAACTTATAGGACTCGAACCTAGGTCCCCCAAGCACAAAGGAACCACTAGACCACGAGCCTCTCAACACCAGTACAGAATTCACATGGTGAGTATAGATTTCAAAGATTAGTTTAGAATTTCAGTTACAAAAATGAAATATATAAAAACTTGGAATGACACATATGGAAGATGGCAAGGCTCGATTAAAGATGTCGCAAAACTCACAAATGAGAGTCTAGAGGAACACTTACTCAGTGGCTAATGTCTCTTCACATAGAACCCTTATCATTTCTAGACCACGCTTTACCCTCAAAAGGTTTCTTGTATGACTACCAACTTTCCTAACACGTTTTGCCTCAATATCTCTATCAACCATTGCCTCTAACGTCAATGTTGAGGGTGATGCCTTGGCAAGATCATTAACCTAAGCAAAGATTTTATTTCAATATTTTCAGCCAGTTATTGGGAACACAATGAACAATTCGTAAAGAAAAGACACGAAAGAAAAAAAAAATCTAACATTTCTATACAAGAAATTTATATTGTGTATAACAATGTCTTTCAATATATTTCATGAATACTACTCTCGGTGCCGGATCATATATACCTTGGAAACATAGTCATTCTCGGCAAACTTGAAGGCAGGCTTAAGGACGGTAAATATGAGAAAGAAGCGAGAGCAAGCGTGAGAAAACAGCTTCACAGGCACGTCCGAATTCGGCGTATTCACAATGACCGCTAGTTCCCTGAATGCGTCTGCGATTTCCTTGAACTTCATCGCTAATGGCTCCTTTCTCCCACTCTCTCTGATTTGGTTTCTTCTATATTTGATCTTTCAAATGATATCTAAATATTTGTTCGATGGAGAAACATTGGTGGGTCTTAATCTGAGAGAAACCTTATAAGTGCCAACTTGCCAACTTGCAACATAATTATTCCAAATAATAATAGTCAATAGCGTATTCTGTAGTCCGACCCGACAACGACAAGACAACACCATCAAACAATCGGACTATGGTTTTGAATTCATGAATCTTAGTCGGCCAAAATCGTTTGTGAATTTGAACCGCTTTTTTTTTATCATTCATAAATTATAGTAATTCGTAATAACGCAGGCCGAAAAAAATAAAAAATAATCCATTGCGGATCAAATACGGAACCCTCTTACATCAATTAATTTGTAACCTTAAACATAATAATAGTACAACTTTGTAGTAGAATAGAAAAGTTCTAGTAGAAATCCAATCAAATAATCCAAAACACACAATTACATCTTCAAATAAACAAATTGGATACGAATTCACATTACAAAACAAAGAAAAAGAAGAAAAGAAAACCGTATGATTTCTTGATTTATTTTCGAACTCCGTATATAGCAGCAATATAGAGAAGTTGTGTTGCCGAAAGTATTATTAGAAATGCCTCCATTGTCCTCTGCCGAGAAATCAAAACCAATTTAACTTATTTCAGTATTTAAAGTAACGAACTTTTACTTTTATTTCAGAAATCAATCGTTCTACGTTTTTATCAATTGCTATAATAACGAACTTGTGCAATAAAATGATATAATAGAGTTTTACTCACCAGACGAGCATTTCTCATCCCAAGTTCAATTTCCTTGCAGCCAAATCTACACAAGATCATTGAAAAAATAGAGGTTTCAATAACCTATAGATTGGTATGCTATTTTTGGTACGAAATTGATGAAATAAAAGAATTGATTATTAAGTCAAAAGTGTTGTTTCAACGTCTATACCCCATGGCTAAAAGTGTCAGCGACCAAGCAATGGTGGCGGCGGAGACAGCTGCTGGGAGACTAGTAGAAGTCCATGATTGGAGATGACTGATGCCGGAGATAACCGAGGCAGCTCCAGCAACTCCAGCAATTAAAGCAAACATAATGAAGAATCCGGTGGCCGCATTGCCCATTGGAAAATGTATTGGGGAGAAATGAGCCGGAAGACTATAATCCGCACCTTGATGAATATTTTTATTACAAGGAGGAAAAATATTGAATCTTGATTAATCGGCCATATGGAAAATTAGTTCGTTGGCACAACAAAAGGCTTGTAATAAATTTGAAGAAATGTAATTAAAAAATATTTATGAGTTTACAAAGGTTTTGCCTCACACATAAAGCACTCAATCTCTTATGTATCATGCAAATCTAAAACGTGTTTTAAAATTACTTGCATGCATAAATAAATATTGTTTTGGTTTTTATCAGACACTGAATTGGTGAAATAACTAAATAGAATTCATATATATATAAGCCGATACTAATTCGATCAAGAACTTGATACCAAGAAAGGAAAAGAAAAAATATAGAACAATGGACCATGCATTAACAAAAAAAAAATCATATACCAATAAGGAAGCCATGGTTGATAGCTTTGTTCATGGACCATGCACCAATTCCAAGAACAATGGCATACATACAAAAGTTCAGAACTAAAAGAAAAGAGGCCACCGGTTTCATCTGCTGTTCCACCATTTTTTCTTGGGTGTGAAATGACTTATAAGAGCTTAGGTTTTTTGATTTTTGTTAAAGCTTAAGAGCTTAGGGTTTATATATAGATCGATCCAAGAGAGTTTAGATTAATGGTGCTTTTCTTGGTTAAGGCTGTTTGGTTTTCTCGTGATTCTTAAAGGTCATTTAGTTCTTGCTCCTGCAGGTTGTAAAGCTGAGTTGATGTGGTTAACTTTTTTAGTCTCCAAAGAATCCATATTTTGCTTCATTCACAGGACATAATTAAATATTTGAAAAGTAATAAATAGAGTATGAACTAAATAAAAACCTTTGGAAACTTCAAGATTCTTTGGTTCACTTAGTTTCTTTCGCATTTTTCTTGTTTTATGTTGCTTTTAGACTTTATTTTCTTTTGATGTACACGAATAAATATTCTATTCATAAGTATAAAATAAAAAATCTCAGATACATATTACAGATTTCAAGACAAGAAAAAAAAAAGAAACGTGTATAAGAAGTTGTTAGAGGAAACCAATGATGGAGGTACCTTGGGAAGCAAGTCATATGATCTTAAGTTCTGGTAAGTGGTAACCCGTCATTACCTGCACAAGTATCAAGTGATCTGCAGAAAAAAAAAACAATCACATTCTCTATATTATAAAAGATCCCAAAAAGACATTGTGATATATATCGTCGGAGGACATTCTTAATAAGGCATGCTTACCCGGATTCGCTTCTTGCTTCTCTCTGTTTTTACAATGCTTTCTCCAGATTCTTCACCGTTTTCAGTCTCATTAGCCAAATTTTTTGGATTACCAAGTGGGTTATCCACTGATGAACAGTCATTGAAGAGGCTCACTTGTTCCTTTCCCTTCAATTCCTCATCACCAGCTTTGCTTTCATCCGCTTCATTCAGGCTAGCCAGAGATGGAATAGGGTCATCTGGGAGTCGTATACCGCATCCTTTTAGTAAGAGTCGAATACTAGTAAGACGAAACTCTATATCAACTTGATCACAGTCTTGGATTAGAGGAAAATGACAGTGAAATATAATCAGATGATTATATTTCTGATGCAAGGATAAAAATCTTGGTTCAGGGGGCTCAAAGTAGTTCCCGTGCTTGTCTCTAAACTGACAGTGTACCTGAATGTCTATAAAGCACAGCTGATGGTTCACGGTTTCTTCGGAAACCACGACGCAAGCCTTGAATTCGAAGAATGATTGTTGAGAGAGAGAAGAACGATGTAGAGGGATGGTAAGGAAGCTACCGTTAGAGCGGTAAGTGAAATATGGAGGCACCTCTACACCTGGTAAGACCAGAATCTGAGAAGCTGATTGTTGAATGAAGGCTTCTTGATTTGAATTGAAGCAGTTAGTAAAAGTGATCAATGCCAAGTTGGTTTGAGCATTATTGGTGTCTTCTACTTCCTCAGGCCATATAACTTCAGTCAATTGCTCACAATCTGAGAAGGCAACCTTGTTAAGATTATCGAGTGTGAAGATGCTTGGTGAGATGCATTTTAGCTGGTTACACTCCCACATTTCCAGTAATTCGAGGCTAAAGAAGTTTTCAATCCATCCAGGAACTTCTTCAACCGCTGTTTGGTTTAGGTTGAGGACCGCGACGTTATTTGAGATATTTGGAAAACTCCTCAGCCGCGAGCATCCATTGAGATTGAGGCGATAGAGAGATGGCAGGTTGATGCCTTCCGGAAGAGTCTCTAGACTTGAGCATCTTGTCATATCCAAACTACTCAATTTCTTGAGATTTTGAATCGTGGAAAGAGTTACCTCTGCCAAACTTGAACAATCACTTAGATTAAGTGTTTCAAGTCTAGTCGCCATCGAAAGATCTGGGATTTCTTTCAAGTTTGCACATCCCGAAAACACAATTTTCTTGAGGCTTGGTAGAGGCTGATGAACAAAACAAAACCAAGACAAATTTAGATATGTTTTAAACATCATGTGATACATTTCCTCTCCTAACTATACTTTAAAAATAATTAAATACCCCCAACAGAACACTAAATAAGTTGTTTTTCTTTTTCTCAAATTACCACAAGTTGTTATCATATATATCAGCTGATTTAGGTAACTTTCCAAAAGGTTTAGATTTTTTTTTTGGTATTTTTGTGCTAAACTAAAAACTTAGTTAGGTGACTTTAAGATTTATAATTTTGTAGTCTAGTTTTCTTATTTCTTATTTCTTATAACAAGACTTTCTAGTCTTGTAGTCAAAGATGCAACCTCTAAGTACACATGCAAACATATTTATATGAAAGTTGTCACAAAATGTGTTGAATGTGAAGAAATATTACGGATGCCGAGTAATCAGGTTCTTCATTTGTTTATAAAAATGGTTGACTTAAGATTTTCCAAAATCATTAAACATACTCCAAATCAAATATGTTTTAAATAACGACAAATTTTGATACTAATTAACCTATCAAACGTTAGTTATTGAAAGGTTTAGGATAGTATCATACCTGAACGCCTTCCCAAAATCTCTCATTCTTGGTTTGCCCCATATAAAGTTCAACGAGTTTCTCTAAATGCAACTTAGAGGGGAATTTTACGATCGATGTTTGGCTTAGATTGAGCTTTGAAATGTTTCTTGAGATATCATGAAGCTCCACCAAACTTGAACAACCGTTGAGTACCAAAGTCTCAAGATTTGTCGCCATTGAAAGATCTGGGATTTCTCTGAGGTTTTCAGACTCCGAAAAATCCATATGCTTTAGGCATGTAAGCAGCTGACCAAAATAGACAATGAAATAAACTTACCATCAAAAGAAAGTGTCGTCAAAAAAACCATTTTAGTAATCTAGCATACTTATTAATTTAATTCTTGTCAATGTTTTGGGTAAATGTAAGCATTTTCTAACTAGATGAACCGACCACATTTTGATAATCTATCGACACTTACCTCAACTCCTTCCCATAGCTTCTCAATCTTGCTGTTGGGCATTCTTAGCTCAACAAGATATTCAGGACAAAAATTAGACGGCATGCATCTCATCGGATATCCTGGCCAACTTAGTAACTTAAGTTTATCGGGAAAATCATCGAATCTTTCGGGTAGATCCCATCTAAAACCTTTCTTCCTTTCCAAGGAACTTTTGTAGAATTTCAGAAATCGGAGATTAGTCATCCCGTCAAAGGCATTCTTATGTATCCGCACCTTTTTAACCTCATCTATATCCAATGATATACCTAAAACCTTTTCAGTACCCTGAAATATACAAGAATCATTATATTAAAAACAGGGAAATTTTTAGTCTCATAGACGGAGTTATGGAAAAAGAAAGAAAAAAAGCTTACCGTGCAACCTCTAAGTACATCGCAAACATCCTTTGAGTTCATAAGGAATTCTCGTTTTCCAGGCTTGTCGGACTGTTTGCGAACAACATCTCTACCCATTTCTTGAACCAAACAATGCATCTCCACGATATTCGTATTATTCCATGATGGTACTACATTTATTAGGGACTTATTAACTAGGTGTTTCAGACCTATATTAACATCCAACTCACTATCTGCGAGCATCATCTTGATGTTATTGACATCCACACCGTTGAAGAGACATGCTATGTGACGAAGTATCGCTTTATCTTCTTCGCTATCTAACTCATCATAGCTGAATCTTAATGTTTCTACAATGTCTTTGTTCGGGCTCTTTCGAAGCCTTGGCAACATGTCTATCCAATCCTCCTTGTTCCTCCCTTTCATAACCTTACCTAGAATCACAAGACCCAAAGGAAGACCACCTGAACACGCTGCAACTTCAGAAGCGAGCTCCATGAAACCATCAGGCGGAGAGCTTTGCGTAAAAGCTGATCGACAGAACATCTCAAGAGCTTGCTTTTCAGATGGGAAACCAACCTTGTAAATATGATGAATCCCATGGGCCTCTAAAAGACGCTTATCTTTTGTAACCACAATAATTCTGCTCCCACTTCCAAACCATTGAGTTTGACCCGCCAAGGCTTCTAGCACCACTAGATCATCTAAATCATCGATAATGATTAGAACTTTCCGGTGCTTTAGTCTTTCTCTCAATGCACCTAAATGTTCTATCTTTATGTTTTTGCCAAGAATTTCAGATAAGAAACTCCCTTGCAAACTCAACTTCATGTTATGGTCGCCGGTTTTGGCTCCCCTATAACCTTCTATACTCTTCGATACGAAAGCTCTGTCTATGAAGGCTTTACCTTGGAAGTGACGAGAGAGGAGATTAAATGAAGCTCTTGCAATAGTAGTCTTGCCAATTCCCGAGGGACCCCATATCCCAACCATCCTTGCTTCCTCAGATTCCAAGCACAACAATAAATTCATCTCTGCGATATGATTGTTGATGCCGACAAAGTTATCAAAATCCTTCGATGGAGTTTCATTCAGTTTATGAAATATATCACTGACGATGTCCTCGATCATTTTTGCTTCACTATTACTAACAAACATGAAACAACATATATCAATATATAGTCAAATTAATGTCAAGTAGGAACATTTATATCCACAAATACGAAAAAAGTAACAATTCAAAGACTAGTACCAAGTATGAGAATGATATCCAAGGAGATTTGCTACATCGTTTAAAGCTTGCCGCCATAGTTGTATCTCATTCTCTGTTTTGTTCAGGCAAGTGTTCTTAAAGGCTTCTCCAAACTTTCCCAATTGCTTCCTGACATGAAAAGGATCCAAGGCGTAGAAAATGGGTATCACAATTTGTCCCAACTCTTCTTTGCATTTCAAAATCTCCACCAATTCGTCTAGGCACCATTTGGAAGTAGCGTAGTTTTCGGAGAACACTACCACTGCAATTCTTGAGCCCCTAATCGCCTGTATAAGCTCCGGTGCGATCGAGTGGCTTCTTTCGATCTCACTGTCTTTGAACGGTTTGATCGACTTGAGTTCGAGCTCCTTAAGAAAGTGACTGAGGAATGTTTTGCGGACATCTGCTCCTCTAAAGCTCGGGAAGACGTCATAGTCCCAATTGCGAGAAGAAGACATAGAGATAGAGAAACAAAACCAACACAATTTCTTGTAAATCAAGGAACTGAATTACAATGCAGAAACTAATGTCTCCTTGTCTTCTTAGCTGTGATGAAATCCTAAGCTAACAGAAACAGAGTGTTTGTTTAGGTTTTGCTGAGGAATGTTTTTTTTTTTTGAAGGAAAAGATATTTCAGAAAACAGGAAAACAATTTTACTCTATGAGAATCAAGAAAATATAGACGAAGAGAAATAGAGACATAAATTGAGAAAAAGACAGATGGGTCATTTGGGTTCCCACTTCTTTATCGTTAACGTCAACTCCAATCATGTTCACATGCAGAGACCTTCTAGAAGAACTAGTGTCGTGCTTAGGTTCATAACTTCATATAGAGAGGTTTTAGGCGAGTTTGAAAAAGTCTATGAATGGCAATAGATTTTTAAATGGTTTTTTGTTAATGCAATAACATCTCTATAAATTGCAAATCATATTTAATGCAAATGCTTTGTTTACTTGATAATATTGAAGTTCAACAACATAATTAGGAAAGAAGGATTTCGAATTTAAGGGAAAAATGGAAGTTTATTAAAAAGTTTAATTTATATAGAAGAAAATATTTGGATTTGAACATACGACATAGACCCAACATTACACACTTTAACCAATACCGTTATTGACCGGGAGGTTTCCCAAGCATAACAGAAAAGCATTATGGTCCAATAATTGTGACCAGGCCCGGCCCACCCATAAGGCAGCCAAAGCATTTGCTTTAGGCCACCAAATATATATAAAACATTAGGGCCACAAGTCTGTGAAGTTACCTTTAGTCTGTTGGTTGTGTAACTCATTGATGTGTCACAAGTTGGTGGGTTCGAGTCCTTACTTCTACATGTTTTGTTTCTCCTTTTTTTTCCCTTTTTTTTTAGTCGGTTCTCTTTTTTTTTTTGATTACTACGTGTTTTTTCCTTTCTATTTTGTGGAGGGGGAGAAAATTGTTTTTTATTTATTTATCAATTTTTGCTTTAATTCTTGTTTTCTTTAATAACAAAATTTCTAAATATTTATTTAATTTGGCTACTAAATCTTATATAATATTCTTAATTTCTTCAAACAAAAACTGAAGTTTTATATATATTTTAGTATTTAAATGACAAATTTTTAATATTAATTTATATATATAAAACTATATTATTTAAATATGCTTTAGGCCACCAAAATTCATGGACCGGCCCTGATTGTGACAGTTTGAACCCGTAGATTTATCAAATTAAAACAAAAGGAAAAGTCGATATATTGACATATATTGACATAAACATTGGTTGAATAGTATAAGAACAGTCACAGACAATGAAGAGAACATAGTCTCCAGATTCACACTCATAGGTTCAAAGGGTCATCAGCATGTGTTCTTGGAGGTTTGACTCCACAGCAAGTCCTTGTGTCTTGACACTATTAAGATAGAATATATTGACTTTGAAATTATTATACAAAATAGCTTGGATTTAATCTTGAAATAGAAGGAATTATAGATACCTAGGATTGACTCTGTTTCAGTCAATGACCAGTGCTTAATTATTCTGATCGGCTTCCTCCTTCTCTCTAACCCCACACGCTTATAGTGTTGTTGTCTTGACTCGCTTCAATATGGTCCATGAAACTGTGTACCAACGTTGAAAATATTGTTTTGGGGGGTTTTCTAAGTACCAAAACATAAACAAGAAACAAGAAATGAAGACCATATAGTCACAAACATCACAAAAGATCCTAAATATATGTCATATCTTGTAATTAGTATTGAAATTTAAAAATAATGCAGATAAAATTTTACCACAATTACAAATTTGGTTGACTTTGTTGGGCCCGCTAGGTTTTCATGGACCAGCACCGTCCACATATCGAGACTACAAGATAGAATAGTAGAACAAGTTTCTGCAAATCTTTTATTTTTCTGAAACAGAGACCAAATCCTTTGCAAGATGAAGCTGCACAAACCACACATTTGATTACATTATCTACTTTGACCATCTAGAAATCTAAAGAGAGATTATTATTTGTAATTCTTGTTCACTAAACTATACTATTGAAAAAGAAGGTGTTCAATACATGAGAATAGTTTAGAGAGAAAGGGAAAATCAATTATAGGAAGCTAAACATACAGACTCACAAAAACAGTGAGAACCATTGAATAGATAGAAAAGATAACTATTCCTAAACTTGTCTTATATTTCAAAATAGGGGTTTTCTTCTTGCCTTCTTGGTATGGTCCATTATTTCCAATAATAGACTACGTGCAAGCCAAGCAATTTTATAAGCACAAAGAGAATCAAAATAGAAACTAATCAGCAATTGAATTCAACTCTTTGGACGGTGGTAGAACCTATTAAACAGACACCTAACTAAATTAAATGCCTATATGCTCTGTGTCACAATTGATGTGGGAATTAAAATAAGATAGTTATTAGACTTATCTTGTTGCTCCATTATAATTTGTAACTGGAAAAACTATTCATTTCAATATTTACACAATCAAAGATTCAAAGTGACGTCTTGTGTTTGTCCTGGGTATCGGAGA